TTTTCTTGTCTTTTTTTTTTTTTTTTGCCTTTTTTTGCAGGATCTTGCTGTATAGTTCATCCAGGATTTGAACTTACTGTGTAGCCCAGGCTGGCCTTGAATTCATGGCACTCCTCCTGCCTCAGCCTCCTATATGTTTTTTGAGACAGGATCTCACTGTACAATTCAGTTTGGCCTAGAACCCGCTACAGAGCCCAGAATGGCCTCCAACTCACAGAAGTCCTCCTGCTCAGCCTCTCAAGTGCTGGTTTTGTTTTGTTTTTTTGAGACAGGGTCTCACTCTGTAGTTAAGGCTGGCCTTGAACTCACTGTGGAGCCCAGGCTGACCTTAAACTTGCAATGATCCTCCTGCTTCCGCCTCCCCACCTCTGGGATTATAGACATGCACCGCCATACCTGACCTACCTATTTTATAATTCTGATATTCTGTTCTTACATCAGTTGCTTCTGCTGCCCATACTTTCTCTTTTCTTTTTTTCAGGTGAGAAATTCTTTTATCATTTTTAGAATCAAAATATCCCTTAAAATATTTGCATTTTACAGTAAAAAGGATAGTAAAATACAAGATCCTGTACAAGCTTAAGTATTGGAGTTTCTGAAGAGCCCAGAAATGAAAAGAAAAATAATGGTCTATCACAAAGCTGTCATATATGGTAATAAATATCTTAAAGAGTACAGATAAGGTACTAAAGTAATGAATGTACTCTTTGGATTTCTGATTCTTGGTAAAAAATTGCTCAACTGGATGATGAGTATACTCTACTTATGAAGTTACTTGACTTTTTTTTTTTTTTGCTACTCTACAGTTTCTTTAATGACTGCAATTTTAAAACAAACTTCCAGCACATACATTACTCTTAAATCAGTCATTATATAAAGGACATTCACTAGAGGTGGTAAATATATTCCACAGTTAACCATATTCACCAATTAAGGAATAAAAACTGAAATTTCTAAGCTTTAATGCATATTAATGAAATACTCTTTGAATATACAGCAATGTAAAAACTTTAAAAAGTCTTACATTTCCGTAACTAGATTCAGGACAAAGCAGGAATGCTGAGCCTAGCAGAGCACTGTATACCTATAGACAGAATCTCGGGTTCTGTAATCATGCTTTCAAAGTCATTTTTAATTTTCCTGACTTCTTTTTGGAACCCTTTTAGGGATTCTGGTTCTTTGCTAGATTGGTCATTCATGTTTTGAATTGTTTTGTTTCTCCTTCTCTCCACCCTGTTTGGAGGCAGAGTTTTGCTGTATAGTTTAGAAGGCCCTGAACTCACTACATAGCCCAGGTTGACTTCAAACTCGGGGTAATTTTCCTGCCTCAGCCTCCTGAATGTCAGGATTATAAGTACGTGTCACCACGCCTGCACAGCTCAGGTGTCTTTTATTAGTTTCTTCTGTAAGATCCCTGATCATTTTATCACCTTCATTATCTGGTCTGTCTTCTGTGAGCCCATGAAGCACCTTATTGGTCTGTGTTAAGTTTCATTTGTTAGCTTTTCAAATATGCTTTGACTGAATGGCTTTTGCTCTGCTCCCCATTAATGTCCTGTGGGCCAGCTTTGGGGGATTTGGAAGTTTCAAGAAGCAGTTTCTTGCTTCGCCTTCTCATGTTTCTATTATTTTTTGTTTTGTGCATAAGTATGCAATTGCTTATGGTGAATAGGCTTTATTCTTGTTATGGAGAGTTCTTTAGATGGTCTGCTCTGCAGTGATGGTTTTAGAGTGTGGGTAATGAGTTCTCTGTCTCTGTCTGAAGATCTGACCACCTCTGTTAATTGTGGAGGTGGACATATATCACATATATCTCTGTGGCATGATGCTTTCAATTCTTCTGGGAAAATACCCAGTAAGGAATAGCTGGATGGAAAGGGATCTCCAATCCTAGATTTTTGAGGATCTCCATACTGATTTCCATAGTGGTTGTACTAGATGGTTGTACCAGTCAAAACCCTTTTTCCCCATATTCCCACCAACATTACCTGTTCTCCTCTGTATCTTTAACTTTTCCTCTGGAACCTTCTATCCACAACAATGCAGTTTCTCTGAGTCTAAAAACAAAGACAGAAGCCTCCTCTGCTTACTCTATGTTTCTAATACCATCGGTCTTTCCTCCTTTTATAGTCAAGCTTGAAGGGATAATCTATACTTTTTAATTCACTTCATATCCACTCTTCGTTTGCTTGTTTCTGTCTTGTTGAGACAGGGTCTCACTATACAGCTCAGGCTGGCCTCAGATTCACTTTGTAGCCCTGGCTGGTCTCGAATGTGCAACGATACTCCTGCCTCAGCCTCCCAAGTGCTGGGGTTATAGGCGTGAGCCACTACAGCATACATCTAACTTGTCAAAACCAATAAATACAACCTTTTTGTTTTGAATGCACTATGTAGTCCAAGCTGGCCTCTAATTCATGGCAATCTTTTTGCCTCGGCCTGCTAAGTGCTAGGATTACAATCAGGCATCACCATGTCCAGCATATCTCTCCCACTTTTAATTTTAAACAGACACATTTTCCTGAATTGATTCACTCCAAAGGCTTTAATTTCTACCAACCCTGGCCTTTTCTTGGAGCTTCCAAATCCTGTATCTAGTTGCTGATTCTTCACTTTCATTACATTATCTATTAGCAGTTGAATTTTCTCTTTTCCTTCTATTTCAGTTGTTGACTGTGTAACCCATAAAGCTAGAATTTTAAGATTCTTCATTTGCTGCCTAACCAAGCATTTAGCTAGTGCCGTTCATCTGTTTTCTCCAATTTTACTATTCAGTTACATTCTCTCCTACAGATCAGGCTTTTTTTCAAGACAGGATCTCACTATGTATCTCAGGATGGCCTTGGACTTACAAAAGTCTCCCTGCGTTAGCCTCCTGAATACTGGGTTTACAGGTAATGTACACTTCCATGCTTGGCTCCTGCCTTTACTCTTGTCTGTAATGAACCCATTATTCACTCTGTAGCTACAGTAGGATGTTTTCTCCTTACTGTTAGGATCCTTCATTATTTTCTTCACCCATAGAGTGAGGTCCAGGCTTGTTTTTAAAAATTTATTTATTTGGAGACAGAATTTCACTATGTAGCTCAGGCTCATAGTGATCCTTCTGCCTCAGACTCCTGAGTACTGGGATTACGGGCATATGCCACTATGCCTAGCTAAAGTCCAGGTTTGTTAACATGCCTCACGAGTCCCCTGGGTACCTTGTTGTTTCCTGACTCCATTGTTGATGGCATAATTGTCTTGTAATACTGAGTTGTCGTGGTCCATACCATACTTTTTCTTTTCTTTTTTTTTTTTTTTGGTACCATGAATCAAACTCAGGGCTTCGTGCTTGCCAGGCAAGGGCTGTGCCACTGAAATACATCCTCAGCCATACTGTCCTTCTTGCCTGGAGTACCCTTTGCCTCTCATTCATCTACTTACCCTGCAGGACTCTCTCCACTACGTTGTCATCCTCCATGAAGCTTTCCTTGGTTGTGTAAACTACGTAGGCTTTCAGCTTCTGTACAGTACCCAGAACACAGCCTTGACTTGAAAACACAGTACATACTGCTTTAGGTCACACTCTCCCCTACTGGACTGGATACTCTCCAAGGCAGGGAACCCAGCAATCTTTTTGTTGTTTTGAGGCAGGGTCTCATTGTGTGGCTCAGGCTGGCCTTGAATGTACAGTCACCTTTCTGCCTCAGCTGCTCGAATCCTATGATTGCAGATATGTACTACACCTGGCTAGACAGCAATCTATACGGTGCCTCTTGTGTTGAGTTTTTGCTGTTTGTTCAATAGTTACTGAATTGGAATTATTGCTTAGCCCTCCTCAGTTTCTTCCTCAGTGTTCTTGAGTGAATTAAGTCCCTGTGAAAAGCCTTCTGTTATCTATGATGTGCTGGAAAACAGAATTAACACAGGACGGAATTAAGCCTTTCATATAAATGAATCAAAGGTTAATGAAGCGAAAAAAATAATGTGAGTAAAAATCACTAGTAAATACTTAAAAAGTATCTTTTAAAAATATATTCTAGGAATGTTAGGCAAATAAATAGTAGCAGTAGTAGCAGTACTAGTAGTAGTAGTAGTAGTAATAGTTGTAGCAGCAGCAGCTTGGGGTAAAATTTTCAGATGCCAAAAGATTAGTACATCAAAAATTTCCTTCTCTCAGCCAGGCATGGCAGTGCATATCTGTAATCTCAGCAATAGGGAGGCTGAGGCAAGAGGATCACTAGTTCAAGGCCAGCCAAAGCTACACAGTGAGGCCAGCTTGAACTTTACATAGTAAGATGCTGTGTCAAAATAAATAAATAAATAAATAAATTCTAAAAACTTTCTTTCTCTCAAATTATTTAAGTAGGCAAAGGTGAAGCTGATGAACTTAGTAAAGCTATGTCGGGGCTGGGGATTTAGCTCAGTGGCATAAGTGCCTGACTTGCAAGCAGACAGTCGTGAGTTCAATCCCCGGTACCAATAAAAAAGGAAAAAGACAAAATAAAATTTAAAAAAAGTAAAGCTATGTCCATGACTCAAAAGTGGTTCTAGTGATAATATCTGCACCAGTAAGAAGGATGCATGTGAAAATGAAGAAGAATAACAGTATTTCTAAACTATTTTTCAGTATGTATGTGAAAATAAAGTAATGCAAATAGTATACAGAATATATTGCATGTAGGGGCTGGGGATTTAGCTCAGAGTACAAGATCGTGAGTTTGATCCTTGGTACAAAAAAAAAAAAAGAATATATTGCATGTTAATGTACTAAGTACTAACTGAAATGTACTCATACTATGCAAACACTATTTACATTCCAGCACTTTTATTAATTTATTTTTATATATTTTTTTGGTACTGGGACTTGAACTCATGACCTTGTACTTGCCAGACAGGTACTGTGCCACTAAGGTATATCCTCAGCATTATTAATATTCTAGTTGTGCAGTAATTAATTCTTGTTTTTGAAAACAATCTGAACAGAATGGGTAAAAAAGGATATATCAAGCACAATGTATCAAAATAAATATTTATTGACATTTGAAGCTTTATATACACCTTTAAAAGCAAATGTGCAAATGTGGGGAATTACAAAAATCACCCTAAAGCTTTTATCCTTTAGTAGGTATAAACAAATACTCAGGACCAGTAGTGCCACCACCATCAGAATAAAAAAAATGAAAGTCTGCCTGGGTGCATACAAGTAATTATTTTAAACAGATATTCTCTTTTAAGTTACAACTCTAAAAATATCAACAGGCCAATTGTATTCAGACAACTATTTTCCTCTTAACTTATGAGTAGTGGTATATAAATATATTTCCATCTTTTTGTCCAGCCAGCAAATGAGAATCTGTACCCGACCATTTTACAAAAGACCAGTTTTGGTCGGAGCTAGGAGGAAGAAGAACCTTGCAGTGACCTAGAAGCAAATCCCAAATGGCAATTGTTCCAGAAGTCAGGACTGCTGCTGCAAAATGATCTTTAACATCCCCTTCTAGGAACCTGATACCAAGCAGAAAAAAGGTAATTTAGATTTGTAAAACAAAAAATCAAACAAACAAACAAAAAAGCCAAAACCATGCCCCTAAAAGCATTGTCTAGGATGAGATTCTCTGTAATTGTAAGTGGCAACACTTACAGTCCCACAAACCTGAGGGCTTGTGTTATAGTTTTAGACATAATCACACACCTGGTCCCCACCTGTTCTTTGATGCATCTTGTACCACTTCCATACTTGCTCTTGGTTTTCCTGTCTCTCCTCACACTAGCCAAAATCAGACTCCCTTCAGTGGCTCTGCTTTTACTGTTCTCTCTCCCCTCTGGGTTCTATCCTCAGGTAGAGCATGGCTGAGTTTTTGTCATCGTTCAGGCCTGTCACTGTCATAGATAGGCCATGCCCAGTCAGCTTTATGAAGAAGCATACACACATATTTTCTGCGTCTTTTTTATATGATCTGTTCTTCATGCATTTTTCACAGTAAGATTATTTGATTTTCATATTTAGTGGGTATTCCCCTACCCCCTCAAAAAAAAAAAATTTAAGTAACATGAAGCAGAAATCTGGTTGTCCTTTAAAAACAATAGCACTTCAGTCAACCATCTGGGCTTGAATTCTAAGTTTACAAGAGTTATGTGACACTGGCAAGTTAATTTCTTCAGCAAAATAGGGATGATAAGAGTACTTCACAGAGGCTGGGGATACAGTTCAGCAGCATAAGTGCCTGCCTAGCAAGTGTGAGGTCTTGAGTTCAATCCCCTATATCAAAAAAAAAAAAGAGTACTGCATAGGACTGTTGTAATGTTGAATGAAATAATTCATGTAAAAGAAAAACAGCCCAATGCAATGGCTCACAGGAGTGCTCAGTAAAAAACAAGCTATTACTATTATTTCTTGTATGAAGACACAGTAAGTAAGAAAGTGCCATGTATGAACAAGGAAATGGATCAGACACTGAATTTGTCTTGCCTTGATTCTGAGCATCCTAGCTTCCAGTACTGTAAGAAATAAATTTCTGTTATTTATAAGCTACCTACTATTTGGTGTTTTGTTATGGCATCCCAGAGAGACTAACAGGTGTTTCTTAGAGTTTTGACACCAAATAGGTATTTAAGGTTTAAAAAGTGACAAGATAAAATAAAATAAATAAAAAGTAACAAAATAAATATTTGATCAGGTAGCTATCTTTACCCTCCAATTCTAATACTATCAGTGTGGTTGTGTCCTTTTATTTAGCTGGCATGGTGGTACACACCTGTAATCCTAGCACTGAAGAGGCTGAGGCGGGAGGGTGTTTGGGGCCCAGCCTGGGCTACACAGTGAGTTCATGGCCAGCCTGAATACCAATGAGACCCTGTCTCCAAAAACAAAAACAGTTGGGTGTGATGGCGTATACCTGTAATCCCAGCATTTGGGGGGCTGAGGCAGTAGGATCACTTGAGTTTGAGACCAGTCTGGGCTACAAAGTGAGCTCAAGGCCAGCCTGAGCTGCATAGTGAGATCCTGTCTCAGAAAGACAAAGGGCTGAAGGTTTAGCTCAGGGACACAAGCACCTGCTGGCAAGTGTAAAGTTCATGAGTTAGATACCCAGTACAAAAAAAAAAAAAGCAAGTTCTATGTATAAGAACATCCTACAATTAAAGTTCTGATGTTCTTGATAACAATATTTATAGAAGTGTCATGCCTGGTTAAGAAAATAAGCAAGCATTGCACAAGGTTGAAAGAAATGCATTGTAAATTAAGTTTTCTTATCTTTTTGAGTTATTAAAGCTAGACTTTGTGATCTTGATTTGTCTATTTTCAATTCTTGCTGTTAAATTTCTAACATTAATAAACAGAGTCTTTAGGACTTACACATTCAGATGTTTCCTGATTGACAATTTAATAATACCAGCATGTCTTTATAGTTCTATACAGCCCATAAAACTTGGTATGCTAATAGCTGTGCACTAAAGCAACAACTGCCTGCCTGCACAATGGAGTCCCAATCAGATTTCAAAGCAAAGATGTTTTCCTAAGTACCTTTACAAGTTCCTTAACATAGGTCAATAAAAATAACATATACTGTAAACCTTTGCGGAAAACATTCATTGCTTTGTGTGTATTTAAAACATTTTCCTATGGGGAAGATGCACTGTACCCCTAGGGATTGGGACATGGGGATTCAGGGATTTGCCTCAAATCTATGAAACTTCATCCTATTTCTTAACACTCTCATTAGGATCTATATTATCTCATGCATTCCACTTATCAGAATGACCCAAAAATGTGTTTGCACAGCGTCTTCCAAAATGTCACACCCACTGAGTGGCAGTCACACACACTTGCCTTCCAGCCTGCCCTTGTGGAAGACAGTACAGCATCACACCCGTGTTCAGGGTCGTTTTTGGGTTAATCACAATCAGCTGAAACACCGGGCTGCCCAAGGACTCAGTCTCTTTGGCACAAGGATGACTTAGCACAACAAACAGGAGCCCCTAATTTAGGAGAAAAATAACCAAATAGACCATGAGAAGTATGTTTGGCAGAGATAAAACCACAGCCAAGATTTAATCATTGGCTCCAACTCCATTTTTTCAGACAGGAACTCTTGAGACTGTCACCAGGCTGGCCCTCAGTGTCTCCGGCTCAGGGCTGTTTCCCGGCCAGTCTTACACCTCATGACTGAGCTTGACTCACCAGTTTCCACTTTAGATACTAGTCTCATAGCGTCCATTTGGGGGTTGCCAGAGGCAAAGGGGACACATATAATGTGTCAGGGCCTGAGTGTACACTTAGCACTCCCCATCTTTTTTTTCTTAGACAAGGTCTCATTACGTTGCTCATATTAGCCTCAAACTTATGATGCTCTTGCCTCATCCGTTGGAGAAGCTGGTATTACAAGTAATCACCACTGCACTTGGCAAAAATGAAAATTATTTTTTGAGACAGGGTCTCACTCTGTAGTTCAGTCTGGCCTTAAACTCACAGTGAGCCTCCTGCCTCAGCCTCCAAGTGCTGGGACTACCGGCCTGCTCCATTATGCATGGCTGCATTTTTTATTTAAAAAACAACTGTTCTCAGTTGTTTTAAACTGTTGTTTAAAACAGTTGTTTTAAACTGTTAAATGCTGTGCATTTAATAAAAGATTGAAAAACTATAGTCCAAAGCCCAATGCTGGCTTAATATTTATTTTTGTATGGCCCATGAGCTAAGAATGGTTTTCACATTTTTGAAATGGTTGGAAAAAGAGACTAGAAGATGAATACTGCTTTGCTGATCCCCAGCAATGCCAAGAAAAACATAAAAACTTATTTTGTGTCATGAAAATTGTATGAAATTCAAATTTTACTATCTATAAATAGAATTTAATGCAGCCACAACTATTTATTTATGTATTATCTAAGGCTGATTTTGTGCCATGATGGAATAGTATTACATTTACAACAGAGAATGTATTTTTAGTGGACCTGAAAGTATTTCTCTCTGGGTCCTTAATGGAAAAGGCATGCCAATCTCTGTGGTAAAGAACAGTGCAGTAACAAACTATTGTTTCAGTTGCAATTCTGTGGTAGAGCACTTGTTTTTCTTAGGATCTGCAAGGCCTAGGGTTCAATCCCCAGTACTGCACAGTAAATAAAGAAGAACAACAAAAACTATTTCTGAAGGTTGAGTGAGAAAATGTTACTAAGTATCTGTGTTAAATGTGGTTTTTTTGAGACAGAGTCTTACTATGCATTTTAATGATTCTCCTGTCTCAGCCTCCCTAGTGCTGGGATTACAGGTGTGCACCACCATCCCTGATCTTATGTTAAATGTTTCAATATCACATAAACATTAATGTTGTATTACAAAAGGTAAAATTAAACTCACATTAACTAAATTCTAAAGATGAATTCAATTCAATCCCTTTTTAACTAAAGGATGAAAACAGGCTCAAATTTATGTGATGCCTAGGCAGGTGGCCTGTAATTCTAGTACTCCAGAAGGCTGAGGTGGGAAAGGCAAAAGTCTGAACCCAGTATGGGCAACTTAGCAAGACTCTGCTTCAAAATTAAAAATAAAGATAAATAAATAAAGGCTGGGGATATAGCTCAATCCAAAAGCCCAAGTTCAACCTCCATACCACATTAAAAATATAAATATTTTTAAAGATTATGGGACAGATTTCTCTAAGGTCATACAACTTTTGTGTTTAATTTCATAGTTCCTCCTAAGCTAGGAAAGATACGTTCTTTGTATTCAGAGTCTCTGGCTGCTGATGCTTTCAGGGGCACCACTGACATCAGGCAAGTCAGTCTCCACTCAGCACCAAGCTTCTTACTAGTGTCTCCACTCATGGCTTCAAATTTGGACACTCATGGAGTTCATCTTCACTCCTGGACAACTACCTTCAACCAGCTCAGATGTCAAAACTAGAAGGTAGGCTAAGTTTATTAACACAATGGCTTAGCTGAGGACATTATGTCCTAAAAGAAAAACATGTCTCAGACCATCATCCTAAGAGTATCCATTCAATCATAAACCATTTATAGCAATGTGGCTGGGAGTCAAGTCTCATAAAAGGCATATTTCTTAGTACAGATTCAAAGTTGGGGTTAAAAGTTTGTCTTTAAACCATGTAGCCCAAAATTTGATAAACTAACATTTTAATCTATAAACGTGAAAAAATAAGCAACAGGAAGGGTTTGTCAATGACCACAGACAGTTATTATTCTCACTGGTGAGATCAATAATCACATGCAAGTAAACACAAAGTGGTCCTACATCATTACTTACCATTTCAGAATAGGCTTTGTGACAGACTGTAGCTTGGTAAGAATTATCAATGTACATCTTTTTCAGGAGTTGGCCACTTTTTAAATTCCTTAAATCCAAAAAAAAAGCTGATTATATTCTCCCAGCAAAATGGCTTTCACATAATATTCTTATTTTTCACAACATCTTTTAGGGGGTGACTGAGAGAAGGATGAAGGGAAAAGGTGCTTCAGTTTTGTTTAGTCACTGATTAGCTATAAGAAAAACTAGAGGTTAATAGTTTAATTCAACAGCTTAACCTTAGAGTGAATCTGCTAATCTTCTAGAGATAGCGTTTCCAAATTCCTTGAGAGGCTGAGTACGGTGTTGCATGCCTGTAATTCCGGCACTTGGGTCAGTCTAAATTACAAAGTGAGTTCAGGGCTAGCCGAACTGTACAATGAAACCCTGTCTCAAAACAAAATAGAACTGAACAGAACTGAACCAAATCGAACCGAACTGAACAGAACAGAACACAAAAAAGTAAAACAACAACAACAAAAAGCAAAACCAAATTCCTTGAGAAAAGTTTTCCATTATTTCTCTTTTTTAATTTTTGGTATGCAGGTGGAGCCTAGCTATCAGTGCCTTCACACTGATCCACATTCAAAGATCCTTTATATTTTGGAGCCCAGTACTTGCTAAATTGCTAACTTCCCCAAGCTGGACTCAAATTTGAGATCCTCCTGCCTCAGCCTTCCAGAGAGTTAGGATTATAGGCTTATATCCTCAAGCTTGGCCTATTTTGGGACAGGAATAGAATTCCTTTCTGTAGTCAGAAAAGAGGCAGCAATCTTATCACAAATTTATTAATTAATTTGGTTCCTATAATTATATGTGTGTATGAACACAAACACTAATTTTAGATTTGTCTTTGGTACAACAGGTTGCAAAAATTATATTCTGCTAGGTTCCTCTGAAGAATATTGACTTTATTTGCTTGTTTTAGTAAACATTTAACCTGAATGAATTAAAACTTCAAATTCTAAAATTCCAGTTCAGTTTTTTCAGCTTTACCTGGGCTGCATGAAGTCTGCAATGCAGTTTCAAGGTTTGGCCAGATATTTAGGGAATGGTTATACTCAGAACATAGGATTCGTTCCTTGGCTTTCTCCTTGTGGGATTTTTCTTTCTCGCTTTCTAGCTGCTATGGCTGCTCTGGACTCTGTCCTTTGGTCTTTTAATCCATCAGGACAGGTTTTTTACTAGGCCTTTGGTCACCCAGTGCTCAGCCTGGGGCCTTTCTCTTGGCTTAAAGTCCTAAGAATGAGAAGTTTCTCAGCTCCATTTTGTCTCCTTCTTTTTTGTGGAAGGTACATGCTGAGTAGTGAAGCCAGGGCCTTGTGTATGCCAGGAAAGTACTCTACCAATGAGTTACATCCCCAGCCCTTTTTTATTTTTAAGACAGGATCTCACTAATTGGCAAGGATGGCCTTGAATTTGTAGTCATTCTGCCTCAGCCTCCCTGCTGAGTAGCTGGGATTATAGGCGTGTGCCCCCAGGCCTGGGTCATTTCTTTCTTCTACATGTAGAAACCCCTCATTATCTTCCTTCTTTTTCTTGCTCTCTGGTGCCTGTAGACAGTTACTTTTTATAGTCTGCCTACAGATTGTGGTTGTTAGGGATGTTCATCTGACAGATGCTACTCAGCCATTGAGCAGAAGCAGAAATGACTATGCATTTTTGACAATAAAATTCCATTTTTATTAAAATAGAATTAGAATAGAATGGTCTACTTGAACTGATCTTTTTAACAAGCAGCTGATAGTGAAAGATAAAATAACCACACTCACATTTCTATATGGTCTCTTACTAATCTTTACACCCTGTAACATAGAGGCGTGTCCTCACAGGTAGATGAGGAAACTGAGGACCCAGAAGGACAGCTTACCAGATAACAATGTTGTTCATGGCAGTAGTACCAAGCAGAGCTTCCTGCATCCCTTGGACCTCAGCAAAAGTTAGAATAGTTTCTTCAGGAGACATCAAAAACTGTTTTTCCTTGCATCTTTATTTAAAACAGTATTAAAAATCAGTGCTTTGAATCAAAGCAGTTTCTAAGTAGTTACTCTACACATAACAAAATTATGCATAACAAAACTACACATAACAAAGATTAACCTAATACAAAAAAACCTTTTAAGCAGAAAATATGTATCCTAAACTTTCTACAACTGAATACGTACTTCTTTCATATTATATTTACTTGGACATATTACAAGTACCTCAGATTTATCACATCCAATATTAACCTAATAAACTTTCTCTTTATATCTCATTTCTAGACTGCAGAGAGAGCTCAGCAATGCAGTGCATGCCCAGCAAGCAAGAGACCCTGGGTTTGATCATTAGTACCAAAGAAAGCAAAAAAATCTCATTTTCTTAGCCAGGTGTGGTAATGTATGCCCATAATCCCAGCACTCTGGGAGGCTGAGGCAGGAGTTGGAGGACAGCCTGGGCAGCTCAGTAACATTCTCAAAATGAAGAATAAAAAAAAAAGAGCTGGGATGTGCTCAGTGTAAAGGCTGTGGATTGTAATCCCTAGTTCCACCAAAAAACAAAAGAAAACCCAATGTCTATCATTAGGAACATGAATAGGCAATAATAATAAAGGTGGTCTCAAGGCATAGCTCAGTGGTATTGCACATACTTAGCATGCGTGAGGCTTGGGGTTTAAATGTATTACATACATACATACATACATGCAAGGATACGGTAGATTGAGAAGATGCTATGAGCTCAGTTTTCTACATGTTGAATTTGAGGTGTCTGTAAGATGGCTAACAAACAGCATGCAGGTCTAGGGTTCCAGGAAGAATTCAAAGCTACAAATGTCTGCAATAGGCAGCACCTAGTTTGATGAAGCAGTGGTCACCACATACATGGAACAAGAGAAGGTCTAAAACCTTGAGGCACTCTAATACTGAAGGAAGAGACACACAGAGATTTCAAAGAAGGATAAGCGAAACTACATGTGCTGAGCTTTTCCACTCTGTTGATTTCATCCCTACCATGACTAGCTCCCACCTCTCGGAGCTGCCTCTCGATTATAATAACCTAGTGTTAAGGTGCACCTACAGACAGAGAAACAAGATTCTAGTAATGCATTTTCTCTGAAACTTGTAACACGCTTTTTCACCCAGCAGTCAAAATCGACCAATGGTTTTCTTACCCTCCATCTTCTGCAAATGTCATGACTTCTATTTGTTGATCACAAAGGGTCCCACTGCTATTAACAAGTCTCCTCCGTGTCAGGCCAAGCACAGCTTTTATGTTTCCAGATTTCAGTAGTGTTTGCTTTTCATTTCTATCATCAGAGAAACAAAGTAATGCCCTAAAGCAATTAAGGAAATTGGGGAGAAGTCAGGAGCAAGCCTTTGATATACCAAGTACATGTTTTTAATGGAAATTTCAGTCAAGGATGTCATTCTATTTATTTTTTGGTATTGTTATTTTAAAAAATGTCTTGTAGACCTAATTCAGATTCATTTAAGAGTACATCTGACTTATTTCAAGACTTATTTTGAACCTGAATTCAAAATAAGCCAACAAAGATTAAAGAAAATAAATAAAAAAGAAATCCCTTTTTAGAAATTACATACCTGATTTCTCTGATTTCCAAATTTCCCAAAGCTACAAACACAAGGTTATAAACTTCAGGTACTGGAATTATTTGTAATACTGGAACCTATATATAAACAAAAAGTAGACATAAGTAATATTTGGCTGCTTCATTTTAAATTAAAAGTTAAAAATTAAAACACTGTTTCATGTTTTCACTGTAGTAGGATTGTTTCTAACATTTGGAAAAATGTGAGAAAATTCAGAGAATACCCTTTTAATAAGCTATAAATCCAAAGAAGATATATATGCATAATTTTTTTCTTCTTTTTGGTAACAGCAGTAGAACTCTGGACCTCATGCTTGCCAGGCAGGCATTTACATCGCTGAGCTAAATCCCTGGCCCCTATAAGTGTTTAGTTAGTCCTTATCTTGAATTTATGGAATAAGCACTACTGTGTTGCTCAGGCTAGCAATGAACTTTTTTTCAAATCCATTTTATTTCAAGGAGAAAAAGAAAAAAAACTAAAATTTCAAAACATGACAGTCAGGGGGCAACAATGATACATACATTGTACATTGTCATCCCCAAATCATTTACCTAGAGCACAAGACATCTGCATTCAATTGGTTGAACAACACCAGCACAAAGCTTTCTCTTCAGTCAACTCAAAGAAATCAGTAGTGTAAGTATCTTAGCTATTTTTAATATACATATACATACACATGTTGTTTCTTTCAGCTTCTCACACTTACGTTTACACTGTGGGTCATATTTATTTCACTAATGAGTATGGTCTCAAGTTGCATCCATTTATCTATAAAAGTCTCACAGTTTATCCTTCCTTATGGCTGAGTAGTACTCTGTTGTACAGTATGAAAATGTGGTATAAAAATACCACATCTTTTTTATCTTGGGCTCAAGCAATCCTCAGGGTCTCATTATGCAGTTCAGGCTGGCCTTGAACTCACTTCTATAGCCCAGGCTGATCTTGAACTTGCAAAATTCCTCCTATCTCAGCATCCCAAGTGCTAGGATTACAGGTGTGCACAATCATGCCTGGCTCTGCCATGGCTTTTTAAGTAGCTGTAACTACAGGTGCACACCAAGCACCTGCATGTTAACACTCAAGTGCAATTCACACTTCTAACAACAGGGCAAAAATTAAGTAAATTGTAGCAAGCAAATGAAGAGATTACATAGTCATTTAAAATTATAACCTGGGCCAAGTGCAGTGACACATGCCTGTACTCCTAATGACTTGGGAGGCTGACACAGGAGGATCACAACACAAAGGCCAGCCTAGGCAACTTAGCAAGACCTTGTCTAAAAATAAAATACAAATAAGAAGTGGGGATGTAGCTGTATGGTAGAGCACCCTTGACTTTGCTCCTCTGTACCACTAAATTAATAACTAATTAAAATCAAGTTTTTATTCAAAAATTATATATTGGGATGAAAATATGGCTCACTGGTAAAGCACTTGCCTAGCATATGTCATACCCTAAGTTCAGTTCTCAGCACTGCAAGATAAAAGAATATAAAGTTTACTTCAGATGTTTTCCCCAGCTCCACAGGAGGCTGACGCAGGAGGATCACTTGAGCCCAGGAATTTGTGGGAGGTCTAGGTAACATAGTGAGACCCTCTCATTTCTGGTTTCTTTTTTTAAGAGTGGCTAAGCTGGATGTGGTGGTATATGCCTGTTATCACAGCACTCAGGAGGCTGAGGCAGGAGGACTGCCATGAGTTCAAGTCCAGCCTGGGCTACATAGTGAGTTCAGGGCCAACCTGAACTACAAGACCCTGTCTCAGAAAACCAAAAAAAAAAAGTGGCTAACTACTTTTAGTAATCTTCAATAAATTCCTCCATGAAAAAGATAAAGTACTTTTGATACCAGTAACTGAAAACAGAGAAGAATGAAGCCTTGGTTAGAGAACTCCAGTTTTTAATTAAAAATTTCATAGTATATATTTATGGTACATAATGACTATAGTCATTTTGGAATGTGTAGCTAATTCTTATTTCTTTTTCTCCTATCCCCAACAACCCCCTGCCATCTCTCCTCTTCTTTGTGTGTATATGGTATTAAATATTGAACCCATGGGCCACATCACTATCCTTGTTTTTTAAATTTTGACACAGTGTCTCACTAAGTTGCTAAATTGCTTAAATTGGGCTAAAACTTGCAATCCCATCTCACCCTCCCAGAGTGCTGGGATTAAAGATATACACTACCACAGTGTGAGATGCTATCTCTTAAAAAAAAAAAAATGGAAAAAGAAAACAAGCAACCTCTCTCCCCCTTTTTTTTTGGTCTTTTAGAGACAGATTTTTACTATGCAGTTCAGGCTGGTCTCAAACTTGTGGTCATCCTCCTGCCTCAGCCTCCTGAGGGCTGAGATTATAGGCTTGTACCACTATGCCCAGCACAAAACCCAATTATATGTTTAAGGGCTACGCATGTAGTCCAATGACAAAGTATTAGTATACACAAGGCCCTCAGTTCAATTTTCAGCACCTAAATAAATAAAAATAACTGTTCATTTGCTAAACAAATATTTATTGAGCTCCTCTGGAGAAACACAGTGCTGGAAGCTGTTAGTATAGTAGAGAACAAGACTGAAGTGTCAACATGTATCAAGAATATGTAGAAACAAAATATATGAAAAGCCAGGCTAGAAAATCATAGGCTGGGGATAGAGTTCAGTGGGCGGGCACCTTCCTGGCAGTCACAAGGTCCTGAGTTTGATTCATGGTATCAAAAAACTTAAGCACATCATGACTGCTACCATGTAAAATACATATGAAAGTAGACAAACCCTAGATAGAAACACTTCTAGAAAAGAAGCAGAAATAATTCTTTGGTAAAGGGTAGAGCATACAGGCATCAGCAAGTCTAGAAATCAGAACGCCCATGACAGTCTTAGCTCCTCTCATAGGTTTGGGTGAAATCCATCTTTGGAGAAACATATGTGTGTGAGTGCTCACAGTGTAATTGCTGTATGTTTGAAAATTTCACAATAGGATGTTGGAAAATAAACCTCTCTCTGTTCAGCTACACCTAGTCATAGATTCTAATTTTGTTACGCTGTCCATCTATATTATTACACAAGTGACTGCAAAGATGTCTTTTAGCTCTAAGATTCTGACTTACCTCTGTGAAGTGCCAGGTATGAATTTTTTCCCATTGACAAGGGTCGACAGGTTTCCAAAGAGAAACTACATATTCACAAGCAGTTATGATACATGGCTCTCTAAAATCAGCTTCTTCCCACCACATGACACTCACATCCACGGAACAGGAACTGGAAGGATTCTGATCCAGAATGCAAGCAACAGTTATGTTAAACAGATACCTAAGGTCTGTTTTTCCAAGAGTAAATATAAAAGTGATGAATTACAAGGGTGAGATAAAATACTAAGTAAGTGAGATTAAAGTTTTATGGCAGTCATAAGAAAAAGCTTTGTGGGTCTTATGCAATTAACAAAAACTGCCTGTAGCCATTCACATAATGGTGCATTTAAAATATATTACTTCAGAATGGGATAAATGGGATGTTACTCCAGAATGGGATAGGTGAGTATAACCACAAAAACTAAGCCCATAAAAACTTATCTCTCTGTAAATTAAACATCCTGATGAACCACACCTGGGTTGAAAAGGGAATAACTGAAACCATAACAACAGACCAGTGATGGCAAGCCTTGTAGAGATTAATGTCCAACTGTAACCCACAACCCACTTAGTTATCACAGAGTATCAACATTGCAATTAAACCTGAATATTGAGGTTTTAGTTTAGAAAAAAAATTCATACATTAACATGTTTTGTCTTAAAAGAAAAACAACGCACATGCTGTAAGTTCACCACCACAGCAATAGATCCTCTCTCATTAAGTCAGAGACAGAATTTTGAAGTTTTACCACCTGCAGAGCACCACCAAAACAGTATTTTCAAGAAAACTCAGAATCATAAGTACATTTATTAGAGAAGAAAGATTAAAATAAGCCCGATAAAGTAGTTTAAAAAGTTAATTTAATTTTACGCTATTTTTATTTATTTATTTTTTGGTACTGGGGATTGAACTCACGACCTCGTGTTTGCCAAACAGGCATTTACACTGCTGAGCTAAACTCCCAGCCTTAAAAAGTTAATTTTAAAAAAAGAAAACACAAATTTAATAATCAATATAATAAAAAACTAGAGACCCTGTTTCAAAAACAAAAACTAAAAACATGGATGGGATGAAGTAGTATAACAGCACTGAGTTCAATCCCCGTACTAAATAACAGGAAGCTTCAGGCATGGTAGCATGTATTTGTAATCCTACCACGCTGGGAAGCTGAGGTAAGAGGACTACAAATCTGAGACCATCATCGGCAGCTCACTGACTTAGCAAGACCCTATCTCAGAAAGGAAGAAAAGAAAAGAATAAATGGTCAGGGATGTACCTCAGTGTGAATCTTAGATTCAAACCCCCAAAACCACACACACACACACACACACACACACACACACACACACACACTGGACAGAAAGCTATAGCATTCAATTCTTTTTAATTTTCTTATCAGTGTTTAAATATTTTACATGTAACATACAAGACACATAATTAAAATATTCTTCTGACCTTTAACTTTGAAACCAATTGTAGGCTGCACAAGTTTAAGCTATCAGAAACAGGAAGATCTGCTGTTTCAGCCTGTGGGAAAGTAAGTCACTTCATTAATCTACAATTTATGTATTATGTCTCCCTGCATCACTTACACATCAAGATATCTACTTTATTAGTTATTTTCTCGGGTAACAGCACCGAAGTTCCACATGCAGTTGCTTCAGTGATGAAAAAATTAGGATCACTTCACATTTAAATATATATATTTAAATTAACCTTAATTTCTCCAGCATGAGCTTAACATTTACAAGGAAAGCATGTCAAAGAAACATGTTAAAATATCCCTAAATACTAAGGGGCAACTTGAGGCAGTCATATTTTCCGCATTTGTTAAGGTAATTTATTCTTTCAGAGAAAATTTCATGAAAGAAGCCATTTCTGGGTGTGGAGGCTCATGCTTGTAATCTCATCACTTGGGAGGCTGAGGCAGAAGGAATTCAAAGCCACCCTGGGATACACAGTGAGTTTAGGGCAGTCTGAACTACATAGTGAAGCCCTGTCTCAAAAACAAAAGACAAACAAAAAGAAGTTATTATACCTGTTCAACAGAATGTTTATGCCACTCCGGGCACGTATTTCCATAGAGCTGATTTTCTCTGAAAGTAAGTGACTCAGTAAGTAGTGGTGTTGCTTGGGTGCCAGAGTCATGGTCACAGGCAGTTTGTCCTCGCCCCCCTGACCCATGCAAGCTGGTATCCAGTTTTGGTGGGCTGTCACACTGCTTACTGTCCCTAGCAAGAATGACTGTGTCTGTCAAGTGAGAAGGTTGCGGGGTAAAGCAAATGTGTCCAACCTCAACAGACATTTTCTCAGAGTGTCCTTGGGAGCCAAAAGCAGGAGTAGTGCCTACAAAGGGGAACGTAGGCGGACACAGGTCTGTGGTCAGAGGGTCATTATCATTAAGTGCAGCAGTATTTAAAGGAGTAAAAAGCAATATGGATGAAGAAAGGCCCGGGTTTGTAGGCTGGCATTTTTGGTTTAGCACTGGAAGATGTGCTTTTTCTGGTAGAACCAGGTCCTCTTCCAAGTCTTCAGTGGCTGCATCTCTCTGTTTAGGAACTGGCTCCTGCTGAACGATCTGATTTCCCTCTTTCAGATGTCTTTCTCCATATGTTTTTGAATCAAGAGGCTCAATTGGTTTTTCTGAGCAGGACTTCAGTTTTTCAAGCTTCAGATGCCCAAAATCCTCATCAGGTAACTCAAAGTCTGTCATACTGAGAAATGGCAATGATTGCTTTAAATTCAGCATTCCGTCCTTATGAAATGGAGAAGCGAAAGCATCATCATTTGAAGCTAAAGAAGCATTATCGCTGGGAGAAAGGGATTCTTTTTGACAATGATCTTTCTCCCCTAAAATAGAAAAATAAGGAAAACAATAGTAATAAAACCCAACAAGAGATATTAATAGTCAACAAAGAATAAGTTTCTAAACCCAAATATAGTAGAAAATGTTCTTAACTTCTCCTACCCATAACTTCCATTTTTTCTTGGCTGGAGTTGAACCAAAGGCCTTCACATTGAGCTACATTCCTGGCCTTTTTTATTTTTTATTTTGAAATGGTATTTCAATAAGCCACTCAGTTGCTAGGCTAGGCTCAAACTTGTGATTTTTCTGCTTCAGCCTTCCAGAATGCTGGGATTTTAGGCATGTGCCACTTTGCTCCATCTGACTTTGGATTCTGGATAAAGAGTTTAAACGATCATTAAGTGGGTGAATAACTAGCAGCTCTTCTTTTGCAGGACCTAAAATAATGTAGTCCTGGCAGTGTTAACGGGACGAAGGAAGACTGGGAGACAGTTGCACCTTAACCACGGCTTGCTCTGTAACCTCAGGCAAGTCAACTCATTTTCCTGCTCTTTTCCTTCAGAAGGGAACTGAACTAAACCTCCCTCTCATCTCTAAAAATGATTCCAGCTAGGTGTGGTGCATGCCTATAACCCCAGCACTTGAGAAGCTGAGGCAGGAGAACTGCCACTAGTTCGAGGTCAGGCTGGGCTACACAGTGAGACCTTGTCTCAAACAGAAAATTAAATGAATAAAATAAAATAAAAACAAGTTTCTAGCAGGCTACTGGTGGATAACCTACAAAATGCTAACTTTTCTCACCAAAGAACTTATTTCTCCTTTCAAGCAAAAAGTAATTTATTGCTCTGTGTCTGGAATCCTATCATATTTAAAATATATCAAACTGATGAATGGATAAACAGACATGTGGTACATAAAGTAACAAATGTTATTCTGCCACAAAAAGGAATAAAGTACTGATACATGTCACATCCTGAATATAACTTGAAAATATGCAAAAATGAAATACAAAGTATCACATACTATATAATTCTATTTATATGAAATCTCCAGAATTGGGAGCTCCATAGTGTTTGGTTGCTGCTTGAGGGTGGGGGCTGGAGGGAAGAAAGACTGTAAGAATCAGCTACTTACACAGTATGAAGTTTACTTTTGTTGAAAGTGTTTTGGAACTAGAGAAGAATGGTGCTTGTATAACATTGTAAATGTGTTAAAAACCATTGAGGGCCGGGGATTTAACTCAGCAGTGTGAGCGCCTGCCTGGCAAGTGCAAGGTAGTGAGTTTGATCCTGGTACCAAAAAACAAACAAAACAAAAAACCATTGACTTATTCCTTAATTTAAAATACTTAATTTTATGTTAGGTAAATGTCACCTCAAAAAAAGGCTTTTATTTTATTTTTTCTCCTTCAAATCTATTTTAAAAAGAGAGGAAAAAAACTGCAGAATTTCAGAACACAATAATTAGGGGGGTAATAATGGTTTAATGCATTATGCATTCCTTACACACACACACACACACACACACACACACACACACACACAATATATATATATATATATACATATATATTTATACATATACACACTATATATATATATATGAAAAAGTTTTTAAACGTAGCTGCAGGTTACTAAGATCACAGCAGATTACTACAAAGTCTAGGAAAATGTTTCTAGATTATTACTAGACTGCATATTTGATTTCTTTGTATTCTTGTCTTAAACGATGACAATGAAAAACATTAATATTATTTTAAAATTAATTTAATGAATTATAGCTCATAAACCAAAAACTATGTTTGCTGATACAGAGCAGCCTGCTGCCTATTTTGGAGATTAAAAAAAAATTATGGAAACAGTCATATTTACATATTGCCTATGGCTATTTTGCACCAACCTGGGTAGTTCAGACAAAGAGAAAGTAAAATATTATCTTTACAGGATGTTAGCTGATCTCTTGTTTAAAACTATGATAATGCTATACGGTGGAAAATCTCTGTAATCCCAGTACTCAGGAGGCTGAGGCAGGAGGAATGCTGCAAGTTCCATGTCAGCCTGGGCTACAAAGTGAGTTCAAGGCCAGCCTGAACTACACAGCAAAACCTTGGTGCAAAAAGACACCCCTCCCCCACCAAAAAAGACAAAAATATAAATCGATAAAAAAGCCATAATGAATGATCCAGTTTTGGCACTCAGTTTATCAGATATAATTAGCTACTGAGAAAATGAATAAAAAGTTTAAATCATAATATATCCTTACTTGCTGTCCTCCAAAACTGTGTCTGCAAACATACTATGTATTAGATCCAAAAAGTTGTTTGGGCCTTTTTACTGCATGATCATTTCTAAGAGGTTTTCAGTAGACTCTCACTCTAGATAAGTATCCTACCACTGAGCATACCTCTAGGCCTGGATTCTCTAACAAAATAATTTTATTTGAAAACACTTCCTATATTAGGATATATAAAGATTCTACCTGCAATGAAATATGTGCTGTATCTGAATAGAGACTAACTTTGGTAAGCATCCAACATATTTTCCTTTGCAGTGCTAACTTTTTCAATCACATTAGTAAAGGAAAAATGACTCAAAAAATTTTAAAAACCCGTATGAGTGATGTTTGGTATCATTTTAATTAATTAAAGTCATTCTCCAAGCCTTACTTTTGAAATGTAATGGTAAAAATAGACTATCTTGGATGGGCTGCTGTGCTGATACAGTGAGCTATTATATGTACAGCACTGTGTGTTTGTGTGTTTCTCTCTGTGTGTCTGTGTATGTCCTGGCCACTTAACTACTAAACTCAGGGCTTCACACTGAGTAAAACCTCCAACTCATTTTTTAACTTTGAGTCAGACTGTTCTTAAGTTGCTCGGCTGCCTTGGCTAGGCCTGAATTGTGATCCTCCTGTATCACTCTCCCAAAGTACTGGGATTTCAGACCTCACTGAACTTGGTTGTATACAGCATTTAGAAAGCACCACCACACAGTAATTATTAGCTATCACCATCATCATCAAACATAATCGTAGTTACTTTTAACTCTCTTCTTACCATAAATAACTGCTTTTTCATCCTGATGTTTGTACAAGGTAACTTCTTCAGACTTGTTAACAGTAACTATGCTGGAAGCTGGCAAAAGCAATTCACAATCTAGTGCTGGAGTGCTGACTGATCTTCTTTTCCTTCTGTTTCTTCTACCACATGGCTGTGAAACAGCCTTCCGAGAACAGTCATCATCTCCAGCAGGTCTAGCAGGAGAGCTGACTTCAGCTAATGAGAGAAATTCCAGAGGAATTTTTGAATGTGGGTGAACCATGCATGTATCTGACATCCTAACTTCATTCTGGTCAGTTTCTTCATTGGAAAGCTTTAAATCTTTAGTTGCTTCCTTAATTTTATTTTTAAACTCTTTCTTCTTGGTACCCAAATGACTTTGAATGACAGCTTCCAGGGCTACCTTCCTCTTGTAGTTTGACATGTGACGCGTTGTTCTAACATAGTATTCTGCAGGAAATAGAAGGCCCTCAAGCATCGTGTAAGAATGTATTTGATTTTCTGTAGAAACAGTAGAGACTGCCCTAAGGCTAAGATTTTCAGGTTGACTTAGAACTTCATCTTCCTGAGGATTTATACTTCTACAACTGAGAGTATTACTGGGAGATTTTAAAGATTTCTCTGTATGATTGTTTTCATTTATCTGTTGGCTTTTATCTGCTGATGAGTTATTGTAAGTGAGTTCATTTAGAGAACATGAATTATCTGCCTCTAAATTAGAACTTTTAGGCAGTTGTCTCCTTGTGCTTATACCTTCATTTAATACTGAATTATCTGTGCAAACAGTCATTTTTATCCCTTGTGCTTCCAGACTTATGGATGAAACGTTTTTAAACCCCTGAGAAGTAAGTTCATAGTAGTCTTTAGGAGGCGTATGTTCAAGGTATCCACTGTTACTGCTGTCCGATAAAGTATGCAAAGGAACTGTAGTCTCCTTGAAAAATTTATTTCCTCTTGAGGCTGTATCAACACCTCTTTCTGACTTGGCAGTTGGTGGGATGAATTCATTCTTTTCATCATCTTCTGTAACTGGTAGTGAAAAATCTGGAATTTCAGATTTAGGACTCAAAAGGTAAGTTACTTCAGTTACTGGTAACTTAGAATTTTCATTATTGATTGCCTCCTGTTTCTTTACTCTTTTGCCAGAGAGTATGAGTGAACTGATGTCAAAGACATCTTTTCTTTCCTGTGAATTAAGTGTTCTCTTTGGCTGCTTTTTTCTCCCTGGCAGCTCAGTCTGTCTTTTTTCACCAACAGGATCACTGTCCTTGTAGGGTGAATGTTCTTGGGTGTCACCTGTCCCTTGTAAACACAACTCTTCTCCAAGGCCATCTTTATAGTTTAAAGATTCAGTTTCAGTATCAAGTGTCACGGATGTCTTTTCTCCAGTTTCCTCATCGACATGGGTACTGATCTGTAATTTTTCACAAGGAGATCTTTCATTTTTATATTCTGAGGAGAAAAAAAATGTGTTAACTAAGTTTCTTTTTAAATTCAAACAAACAAACAAACAAACAAAACCCCACATTTATTTTAAAATATTATAGGGCTTTTGGGTATGCTGGCATACGCCTGTAATCCTAGCACTTGGGAGGCTGAGGCAGGAGGATTGCTACAGAGTTTGAGGCCAACCTGGGCTACATGGTGAGCTCCAGGCCAGCCTGAACTACATAGTAAGACCCTGTCTCCAAAAGAAAAAAAAAAAAAAAAGAAAGAGAAAAACAAAACACAGAGACAGAGACAGAGAGACAGAAACTGAGAAACACGCTGAAGGGCTGGAAGTGTATCTCAGTGGTACAACACTTGCCTAGTATGTTTAAGACCCTGGATTCAATTTCCAATACTGTAAAAATAAATAACTAAATAAAAATATTATATATATATATTTCCAAATATTTATTTTTAGAAGACTCAAAAGCATATCACTGAGACATATCAATGTTCAAGTCTTAAAGATTCTAAGAACGATAGATTTTTAAGTAAATGAAAACAAAACATTTTCAATCTCCTCTAATTTCTTCTGGTGCTGGGGCCTGACCTCAATGCCTTGTGAATGCTAAGCAAGTGTACCACCACTGGAGTATATATATTCCCAAGCCCACTTAATATTTTCTCAGGTTTCTTACCTTTGTTCTTTCTTTTTTTTGCGGGGGGGGGGGGGGCTCAAGTAATTTGAGCACCACTATCTCATTTCAATAGCTACCAACTTTGCAACACATACTGATCGCATTCCGTGTAGAGGATTTGTACGTGTACATAACATTTGTCCTCTTCCCCTTCCCTCCTTCCAACCTTTTTAAAATTTTTTTCCTGGTACCAGGGATCAGACTCATTGCCAGGCAGGCACTTGTGCCTCTGAGTTAAATCCCTGGCTCATTCCAGCCCTTCTTACTATTGCTTTTTAAAGAGTATTTTCTTCTGTGCATATGTGCATCTTGGTTTAAAAAATTATTCCAATATTTAAACCTTAAATATAGTTTCTAAAAGTTGAAGAAAAATGAGCAACTAAATAAAAAACCCAAGTGGAAGTAGTTTACTGCTTTAATGTTATAGCATATGAATTTACGTTAAATTAGAAATCTATTGCTTCTTATCCACTGACTGTGGAAAAAGAATGATAGGCAAATAAATGAACTTGAAACATAAGTGACTACAAGTATAAGTGACTTACCTGAATTGTTTAGCTGTGGTGAGATTTTATGCTGAAGTGAGCAATCCTGCTCTGTTTTCTTAATAGAATTCTTAACCTTCTCAGCTCTTTGGGCACGCTAGAGAAACCAAAAGAAGCTCAAGAAAGAAATTTCCTTTAGGGTTTTATTACTGTCAGAAACTTTTTAAAACTGTCTGTATAATACCCTAATTTGAGAGAATACAGTTCACTTACCTGAAGACGGGCCAGTGTCTTGGTGTATTCCCTTTTCAAAAATGCTAATTTTTCCTTCAACTGGAAGAAGAAAAACACCAACCATAGTGAGTATTGGAAAGGTGGAGTTGGAGGGAAGCAATAGTTTCTATCACTTAGAAGCAGCAGTCAGTGCTCAGCAGGATTCCTCAACTTCCAGGAGAGGAACCAAGGCACCCAGACTATTTCCAGTTCTCACAAAGCAATAAGCTTTTTACTCTCCAGACCTTTGCATAAACCATTTCTGTCTCCTGGAACGTTTCTTTCCTTTGTCAATTCCTATAGATTCCTCAAGAGTCAGTTTAAGATTTTTATTTCCTTGGGGCAGAATTCTAGGTTGTTCTCCAAATCCAGGCGAGACTCCCCATCTTTCCTTTGTTCTTCCTTTATCAGAAATCTTTACTGTATCACAGTATGTGGTCTGTGACTTCCCTGTTCTCCTGCATGGCTATGAAGATAACAGGAATTATCACCTTAATTCATCAAGTGTCAGTTAATGGTCAGGTATTTAGATACTTGCAGATGCTAGAGACACAAGGTGAAGAAGGCAATTTGCATACAATATACAAGAAAACAAATGAATTTTACAGTATAACAAATACTTAAGGGTGATATGAGTGGCTAGGCTCCTGAATGGACTGCATCAGGTAGAGTAGTTAGGAAGGCACTTCTGAGAACTTTCTTTTTTCTTTTTTGAGAAGGCCCAGGCTGGTCTTGAACTCGAAATGATCCTCCCACCTCAGCCTCAGCCTCCAGAGTGCTGGGATTACAGGCATGAACCACCACACCCTGCTCTGAGAACTTTCTTGAAGCCTAGATCTGAAAAGGGCAGGAGCTAATTTTAGGGAGATTGGGGCATGGGAACCACAAATGTGAAAAAGCTCTACGGTGGAATGGGCTAAGTGTATTTGAGGATCACTCCAAACACCAGTGAAATAGGAATTTTCACAACTGAATTCCCAGCTAGGCATACGGTAGGTATTCAACAAAGACTTTCTGGAACTAAGTTAAATCAAATTACTAGTCTCTGAAAGTTTATATTTCCTTTGTTTCTCTGACTTCTGTGACTCAAAGGATAATTCGAGTAGCAAAGTCATCCAATTTTTTTTTCTTTCTAGGAACCTGTTATGAAAACTCACCCTTCCCTAAATCATGCAGTTTACAAATACAATTCAAATCCTAGCAGCAGATGAGCAATAGTCTGTGTTCTGCATCTCTTTATTCTCACCAATCTTACCAATATCGAGGAATTATCGTGTTTATCATAAATGATCTTTTCACCCTAACAGCAGGTAAAGTAGAGTAAGATTTACAAGCTGATTTGAATGTGAGTTCGGCTCGGTTTAGACCAGCAAGCAAATTCCGGTTAAGAGTACAAGTGCCTGGAAACAAAGACTCTATAAGTAGATTAATATTTTAAAAAACCGGTACACCTCCAAGCTACATATTAATGTATAAGGTTTTTTTTTTTTTTTAAGGACAACTATGTCCTAATGTGGCTGTCAAACGCAGAATAATACTAATATTGCAAACCCACTCGGATCACACTGTTTATGAACATTCCTCTATTTGATAAATACGTACTGTCTTTAGGTGGTCAGGGATACTCAGCCGCTAGCCCTAACAGACACAAAAAGATCTGAAAGTATCAAACTGAAAAGATTTGATTGGGTGGAGTGAGAGAAATCAAGACGGTGCACGTGGGAGGGTTAAAGGAGAGGAAAAAGACAATCGAAGGGCATTCAAGTTTTGCCTATAACGTTTTGCATTTTGTTTTATGCATTGCTACAGTAATGAAAATTTGTTTTCTAAGCACCACCACGTAAATGCGCCAATCGCCTACATTTTCACTTCCTGTGCCCACTCAGACTTGTGAATGCAAGTCTGAGGATATTGCTGCCGCAGGCCGCGAGCAAAGCAAACCAAGCCTCAAGTCTGGAAGGGGGGTCAGAATCTCCAGTCAGCCCTCTGCACCTTTTCCTTCTCCGCACAGCTGAGGGGCTTCCAGGGAGGCTCCTCCATCCGGATGGAGGCCGAACGAAAGAGCAGCCGTCGCCGGTCCTGGACCTACAGACACGGAAACCCAGCCAGACTTGGGTGCAAAAAGCACCCGGGAAGGAAAGAGGGACCGGGAAAGCCCTCAGAGCTCAGTCAAACAGCCCACGCGAGCCACAGGCGCCATCAGCTCCAGCCAATTAAAGACGCCGCTGGGTTTGCGCACGCGCAGCCGGTGACAGCAGCTGGGGGGCGCAGGGCAGCCTAGAGGAGAGCCGAGCTGTCGAACATAGACTAGGCCACAGAGAACGGAAGTGGAGACGCAGCCGGAAGTAGCAGGAATCTCAGAAGGCAGGTCTTTGACGGGATTCTGAGGTGCAGAGGAGGTGGTCGCCATGGAGTTGGGCGAGCTACTCTACAACAAGTCGGAGTACATCGAGACGGTGCGTGTGTTCAGACATCCGTTCTTCATCTTCCAAACCTGCGACCTTTTGAGGCCTGGCCTGCTGCTCCATCCTGCCCTGCCCCACTCTCCTGGGTCTCTTGGGCAGTTCCTCGGGAATTACCTAGAGACGCTTCGTGAATCTGATTTTGTTGTTTAGTCCGTGCATGGCCACTTCAGGCTTTTTAATACGTATTTCTGATTTCCTCATAGGGATAAAGTGCCTTCTGAAGGCAAGGAAAGCACTAGCTACCCTGACATTAATTATATCTTAAGAAAATCACGTCTTCAGGCTTCGGACCCATATAAAGTTTTTTTAAAAAAAATTAATGTTAACCTGTTAACATGTCCTGAAAACCAACAAGTTCTTTATATATTCAGCGCTTGAAATGTGATGAAATGTTGAAAACAGCAAGTGCGCAATAAAACTCGCAGTTTTTTCTTTGCGTTCTTGTAACTATTATAATGGTAACGTCATTATCCACATTTTAGGGTTTTAAATTGAAAAATGGAACTGGTACTTGAATCCACATCTTTGCCTGATGCCACTAAGCTACAGAGTTACCACACACTAATTCTGAATCTATTCCTAAATCTTAGTTCGCATCCTTGCTTTTAAAAATCTGTTTTAGACCTCATTCCATTTCAGTCCTTTTCTCTCCGTTTCGAGTTTTGTTTACGGAAACCTTAGCCTACAAATTCACTCATTTTTCCGTTATTTCCTTTTAGGCATCTGGGAATAAAGTTAGTCGCCAGTCAGTGTTGTGTGGAAGTCAGAACATTGTTCTCAACGGCAAGGTAGGTACAAAGACAGCCAGCTCTAGGATATGTATACCTTTGCTTGTTTTCCACTAATTGCCACATTAGCAGGGTAGATTAAATGTGTCTGGTACATATTGTTGTACATTTCCAAGTCTTTTTTTCTCCAAATTGGATTTTTTGAGTGCAAAAAAGGTCGATAAAAGGAAGTAACAGATAATATTTTTCCTTTTTATAACAAAATAAAATGCAGTAGCACTTAGAACCAAAATTATGGTACAAGCTTAGCATGGTGGCACAGCATGGCCTGTCATTGTAGCAGCTGGTTTGTTCAAATCAGAATCCCAAAAGAGTCATGGATACACTGCATTTGGTTGTTATGTCCTTTAAGTGTCTTTTAAAAATCAGTAAGAGTTTGCTTTTCTTTCACGACATTTATATATTACAGAAATAAGATTACGTCTTGTCACGTTTTTAAATTCCTGAGTTTGGTAGATTATATCTACATAGAATTGTTTAATATGGAATTTATTTTCCTCACTTCCTTATAACTAGTAGGTGGATATGGAGGCTTGATTATTTGTTTCTTGTATGTTTTTCATTTCCATTTTACTGTTGTAAATAAGGCCCATTATCTATTTTTACCTTGATCCAGTATACTCATTTAAAAGATTATTTTCCCTCCAGTCTTTCTATTTAGAGTCCAGACTGCTTCCAGAGTAATATTTCTAAAATGAAAATTCAGTTCTGTTATTCCCCAGTTAAAGTATTTTATTGGTTCCTGATAACCTATAGGAAAATAAGCCTAAGCATTTATGCTCAGTGTACACTATTCCTCATAATCTGCTGTCTTGGCAACTTTTACAGCTGCAAATCCAGATATATGCACTTAAAAAATTCCATTCATTTGTTCATATATTTTGAGAATGCCTTCTCATTACCAATATGGAGCATTTAGTCCCCCTAGATTTTTTGGTGTGTTTTTCAGCCCCTTCTACAATCTTTGGGGAAGCCAGATCTTACTCCACACAGCATAGGAGACAGAGTCCAGAAATGGAATATGAACCACAATTTAAGTGGATCCACCTTTGGGAGCATGAAGCTGGAGACAGTAGTGTTAGGAGATTAAAAAAGAAGAGAGAGAGTGGAACAGCCAGGACTATTGTTGAGCAAATGGCCAATACCCAAAGGGCAGGTGAATTGAATGAGTCTAAAAAGACTTATAAACTAAGTCCGTTACAGGCATGCTTATTAAATTTTCATCGTTGAGTTCTATTCATAGAATACTAAGGAAAAATCTTCTAATGTAGTAGAACATCTCCAGTGTCAATTTGCAATGTCATGAGAGCTGCTCTGCCTTATCCCTTTTGGCAGAATATTTGATGCTGTAGATCATAATAGTCAGTGTCCTATTATCTATCATAGGGAACTGTTGAAGCTGGGGCTACATCACATGTGGGGCTAAAACAGGGCCAGCCCTAAAAACAGAACCCAAAACAAGCCACATAAACAAGCTGTTCCAGTTCCAAGAAGGCAAGGCCCAGGCCAGTCAGGCAAACAAATTGTTCGGCAGTGGAGTTAAAATTGGTATCTTTCTCTTGAGTGTTAAATAAACGTGCTATAGTGGTTGAGCAGTTCCTTCTCTCCCATCAGGAGAGGAAGGGCTCCACCTGACCTCAGCCTTCATCTCTTTATTTTCTTAACCTCTTGCCATTCTTACCCCCAGGAATGTTTAGAGTTACAGCTGTTGCTACGGTCTATCCTTTTGGTATTATGTTTTGGTCTTTTGGTCTGCTTAGATAGGTTTTAAAAATGTGCTTTGTTTTATAGACTATTGTAATGAATGACTGTATAATCCGAGGGGATCTGGCCAATGTAAGAGTTGGACGCCATTGTGTTGTGAAGAGTCGTAGTGTTATAAGACCACCATTCAAGAAATTCAGCAAAGGGTATGTCATTTAATTACCTCGTTCCAGACTTGCTCAAGGTGCTGCTACTAATAGTAGTGTCCATGTGTTGGTTTTACCTTTTTTTTTGTACCAGGAATTGAATTCATGACCTTGTGCTTGCCAGGGAGGTGCTGTGCCACTGAGCTATATCTCTGACTTGTCTATGTGTTAAGATGTAGCATAGGCAGTTTATCTCATTGTTTGTGGCATTGAGTAAGTGTTCCCCATGAAATGACCAAAACTGTGGTGGTAATTATCTTAATCCTGTTGGTTGTTGGTTGCCAGAAACAAAATCCACTTAAGCTTGCGAAAGCAAAGGGACTTCTGATTTAACAAACACAGGCATATGGATAGACTCTTACGAGTAGGATAAGGGGCAAGGCTTCACAAGGGACTAAAACTTAAAACTAGACAGCTAGCCACAATCAAGACATCTGATACCTACTCCTCTGTCTCCAAGATTATATTGGTTCTTGTATTCTGTCCTCTGTATTTCTGGTTTCATCCTCCTATCCCTCAGATTGGCTGTATCTGTTCCCTTTGTGCATAGAGCCTACTTTGCTGCTTCAGCTATTTTTTTTTATATCACTTCTCCATTTATGCTTTGAAAAACATGCCAGTCAGAAATCTTATATTTTGTTTTGTTTTGAGACAGGGTCTGCTATGTAATTGAGGTTGGCCTTAACCTCCCTATGTAGCCCAGACTGACCTGAAACTCACAGCAATCCTTCTGCCTTAGCCTGAGTGCTGGGAGTACAGGTGTGTGCCACCACACCCAATGAGACTTTATATTTATTTCCAAAATCGTGGGAGACAGAATCTCATTGGAACAGCTTCATGAAAGTATCTACTTCTGGTCTAAATAACTAACCCAGGGGATCCAGTCAAGTTAGACCCTGTGACTCCTCAGTGGGAGTAAAGATAGTCCATAAAAGGACAAGAATAGGGCCAAATGTGGTGTACACTTGTAATTCCAGCACTCAGTGATTGGGATGGGGCTGAGGCAGGGATATTTCTGCAAATTTGAGGCCAATCTGGGCTACAAACTGAGTTCAAGACTAGCTTGAATTATGTAGTGAGATCCTATCACAAACAAACAAACAAACAGGACAAGAACTGAGGAAAACTGACCAGCATGCCTGCTGTGTGGTAATAACCCCTTTGCCTCTTCCACCTTTGCTAATTGCCCTCCTGGTTTCCACCTATGGTGCCACCTGCATTTCATCTGTTAAGTCAGTATAGTATATTTTATTGAACACCTTATGCCCACTATTGGTTATAAACTTGGTGTATAGAGTTCCTGGTCTTCAAGGTCTCAAAATCTAGTGGTAGGAACAATTACATAAACAGCTGTTATATAATGTGATACTATAATGTGGTAGCTCCTGTATAATGTGCTATCTGTCATAGATGATAACTCTGAATATAGTTAAGGAAGAAAACAGAAAAGAGAAAGTAAATCACCTAACTGTAATACCAGAGTGTAACATGCAGGAATAGTCCTACATTTCCTACAGTGAACCATATAGTCCCATATAGTGACATGGAACTAGAACAGTGATGCTGAACCTTTTAGAGACTGAGTACCCAAACTGAAATCCAAAACTTACTTATTAATTGCAAACTGTCAACACTGCATTTAAATCTGAATGCTTGGTTGCTGGGGCAGTGTGGTTCATGTACCGACAGACAGGGCTCCGTATGTCCTTTGTGTATGTGTGCCGTAAGTTTACTGCCATTGGACTACAGGCTTTCCATTACATTCAAGAATTGGATCAGAGAGTCACTGTAAATCAGTCACATGAAAATATTCACTTAGTAGCTCAAAATAGCTACTGATAGGAAAACCAGAAAACTCTGTGGTACTCTTTTTTTGTGAATTCATGATGATACTCAGCTCTCATTGTTGCTTCCACATTCTGATAGTGACATTGCATGGTTCAGGAAGAGTATCAGAAATCAGCAAAGGGTTTACTGGTAAATGGAAGGGTGAAGGGTAGATGTTACCTTTGGCTAAATATTTCTGACAGAACAGAACAGGGTGGGAAAGAACTAGTGAGCAAATAGCTACTTTAAATCAGTTCTAGTGCAGAAATTTAAAATATGACCTAATAAATATGACCATAGAATTATAGTTAATTACATTGAAGATCTTGGAGAATGGGAATGATATCAGAAGTGTGGAGAAAGCCTGTCAGCTCTTAATTATCCTTTAACTCTTGTCTTAAATAGCACTTTCAATTAAGTTTTCCTCAGGTTCCTGATCTAGGTAAAGTCTTTATATAACATACTGTCATATTCTGTCTCTGTGACACTTGTCAAAGTTGTAACCAATTCCAGTGTTATGTAGTCATTAAGTCTGTTTCTTCTCTTGATTATAAACTCATTGACAAGATTGTGTGTGTGTGTTTGTTTGTTTTCTTACCATTGTATTTCTACAGGAATATAGCATTGAGCCTGGTGCATAGTAGATGCTCTGTAAATATGGTAAATGAATAAACTGTAAGAATGTTTGGTGCTAAAAGTTACAGCTCATGAACCTGAAGTTACTACCCTGAAACACAGGGCAGATTACTAAAAATGTGATCTGTGAGCATTGTCAAAGAAAGTAGAAATGAGTAGAAATACCCATTAATTTTTGTTTGGTGCCTGCTGTTTTAGCTTTGAAGATTTTAACTCCTTTACCCTGCTTTTTCCTTGTGTATTTCTTCCAGTATTTCTGATTTTTGAGCTAGTAGTCTGGGGTTGTGAGAGGATCACCATGCCTTTGGCTAGAGATTTACTATATCATCTTCTTTGGAGAAAAAAAAAAAAAAACCATAGAAACAGCTAGTTCCAAGTTTAGATTCTTATTTTATGGTTGTGAAATGTCCACATTCTGGTAAGATTACCATGGATTTTGGCCATGCTTGGACAGTGGTTCTTTGTGTAAGTTGTTCAGCAGTATTTTGCCAGCCTAAAACAGTAAAGGCCATAGAAGGTTATTCATTTAGAAGACTAATGATCTATGTAACTTGCTAAATTTGTGTTTTCACACAGAAAGCTTTAATTAATTTAACTAGCTAAATCAATTAGCTTTTAACTAATTGTAGTTAATCTACTAAGACAATGCAATTATGTTTGATTTTGTAAGATATTCAACAATGATTCCTATTTTGGTGTCAGTTTTTCAATACAGTTTTGATTACGAACCAAAAAGTTAATAGGTTTTCTCTAGCCTGAGGATTCTTTCCTTGCTAGGAAGATTTTATTAAGATAAGATGAAAGCTAGACCTTGTGGTATGCATCTGTAATTCCAGCACCCAGCAGGCTGAGGCAGGAGGATCACTGAGTTTAAGGACCGCCTGAACTATATGTAGTGAGACCTTGTCTCAAAAAGCAAAACAAACTAAAAAAGACAAGATAAACTTGTTGAGATTATGACCTATACTGCTATAAATGTATATCACCTTGATATTGTTTTTTTACTATTGTTCATCTCTTCCCTCTCTAGTGTTGCATTTTTTCCTTTACATATTGGGGACCATGTTTTTATTGAGGAAGATTGTGTGGTCAATGCTGCTCAGATTGGTTCTTACGTTCACGTTGGCAAGAACTGTGTGATTGTAAGTATGGTGACTCAGCTGACTAATCAGCCTTATTTTCCCCTCCGCCTTTCATCCTTCATCCCTGGTATCAATGGGACTTTGCTTCTCTAACTAGAATCTAGTCTGAGACACACATCTAAAAGATACAAAACAGTTAAACATTAAGGCAGATCTAGCCATTAACATTCTCACTAAGTTATGTTCTCAGGAATCCTAACAGAAATTAAGCTTTTCATCAGTGAAACAACAAGAAATCTAGGTCTTCATTGGTAAAACAAACTATTTTTGTTTGTTGTTTCTGTTCTGAGACAGGATCTCATGATGTAATTTAGGTTGGCCTTGAACCTCTGGTGATCTGTCTGCCTGAGCCTCCTGGGTGCTAGAATTAGAGGTTTATAAATAATGCAGAGAGTAGCTTAAAGATGAAAACATAAGAAATGATAAGGAAATGGAAATGCTTATTACTATAATTTGATCAGCACATATTTTACATATGTACTGAGGTGTCATACTTTTCCCTACACATATGTTTAATGTCACATATTAAGTAAAAGGTTTTTTTATTTTATTGAAAAAAGTTAAAATAGAATTTCATAAAATAATAGGATAACAATAGTTAATACATTACATCTTGTCATCTTCAAAGCAGTTACTGAGAGTATAAGAGTATAAAAAATTCTCTAGTCAATATTAGCACTAACCTTCCTTTTTTAAAAAATTTTATTTTAAAGAAATTAAGACAAAAGAGGATAGAACAAAGCAGATCAGAACACAGCAATTCACAACAAGATAACCAGATATTAACAGTAGCTACCATAATGACTCTTTCTTTGAAACACTTGAACATACCTTCACATACAATAATGTCAAACATAACAAAATAGTATAAAACCATTCAAGAGAATGAAAGTATTACAGGGCATTCAGAACCAAAAAACAGAAAATGAACAATGGCTACTATATTATCTCATTTTCCATAAAAAATTTGTTTATACTGTCACATATATTAAAATCCAATAAGACACAGCATGATAGAACCAATGGAAACAGAAGAACAAAAGCATGGTAGGATTTGAAAGCAGGATGGTATTAAATCAGCAATGGCTGCCATAATGTCTTTGTTTTTTTCAAAATAGCTGTTCATACCATCACACATAATAAAATCAAACAACAGAATAAAACCATCCCAACTAATGAATGAAAACATTACAGGGCTTCAAAGCAATATAATGGGGAATCATGATTACCATAAAATCTTATGTACTCTTACCATTTCTTACACTAGGGAGACTATACAGTATTTATACATGTGAATTTGATTTATTTCGCTTACAAGTATGGTCTCAAGTTGTGCCCATTTATTTATAAATATCTCAATGTGATCCTTCTTTATAGCTGAATAGTACTACATTGTATAAAAATACCACAACTTTTTTATCCGTTCCTCAGTTGGTAGACACTTAGGTTGTTTCTAAGATCTGGCTATTACAAATTGTGCTGCTATAAACATGGGTGTACATATATCACACATGATGTTTTCAGTTCTTCTGGGAGTATGCCTAGAAGTGGAATACCTGGAACAAATGGGACTGAGGAATTTCCAGACTGACTTCCACAATGGTTGCACCACTAGTGCAGAAGAGTTCCTTTTTCCCTGCAGCCTCTCCAACATTTATTGTTGGTAGTTTTCTTTATCCTGGCCATTCTTTCTGGAGTGAGATGGAATCTCAGTTGGTTTTAATTTGCATTTCTCTAATGAGTAATGATGATGAACATTTTTTCACATATTTATTTGCCATTTGTATTTCTTCATCTGAGAACTGTGTACTCATCTCGGATGCCCATTTTTGGATCGGGTCTTTGAATTTCAGGCATCTGAATTTTTATGTTCTAGAGAGAAGTCCTTTGTTTGAGAGACAGTTCACTAAGATTTTTTTCCCAGTTTGTGGGTTTTGTTTTCACTATGCTGGAGATTTTTTTTGACATGCAGAAGCTCTTTAATAAGACATGGTCCCAGTTACTGATTTTGGGAAGCATTTCCCGTGCAGTTTGATTCCTGTTCGTGAATTCTCTTCCTACCCCTGTCTTCAAGATTTTTACCTAACTTGTCTTCCAACATATTTACTGTTTCTGTTTTAATATTTAGATCTTTGATCCATTTAGATTTTAATTTAGTACATGGTGCTAGGCCTGGGTCTAGTTTTAGTTTTCAGGATATGGAGAGCCAGTTTTTCCAGCACCATTTATTAAAGAGACTATCGTTCTTCCAGTGAACATGTTTGGCCCCTTTATTAAAGATAAGATGGTTGAGTGTGTTTGTAGTTGTGGTTGTATCTTCTAATCTATTCCATTGACCTTCAGATTGTTTTTATTCCAGTACCATGTTGATTTTATTATAGTAGCTTTGTAGTATAACTTTAAGTCAGGGATTGTGATGCCTCCTGCCTTGCCTTGGCTGTTTAGAATTGCTTTTGCTATTCTAGGTCTCTTTTGGTTCCAGATGAATTTTAGGAGTGATTTCTCTAGATCTATGAGGTATGGTGATGGTATTTTGATTGGGATTGCATTGAATCTGTATAACAGTTTTGGGAGAATGGCCATTTTCACAATATTTATTCTTCCTATCCATGAACAGGGGATGTCTTTCCATTTTCTGAGGTCCTCTTCGATTTCTTTTTCAGGGTATTATAATTTTCCTTGTATAGATCTTTTGCTTCTTTCATTAGATTAATTCCTAAGTATTTCATTTTTTTGGATGCTAGTGTGAAGGGTGTGGCTTCTCTTATTCTCTCTCAGTGATTTGTTGTTAGTGTATAGAAATGCTATTGGTTTTTGAGTATTGACTTTGTATCCAGCTACATTGCTGTATTTATTTATTATATCTAGGAGTCTTTCAATGGAGTTTTGGGGGTCTTCTATGTAGAGTATCATGTCGTCTGCAAATAACGATAATTTAACTTCCTCTTTTCTTGTCTTTACTCCTTTTATTTCTCTTTCTTGCCCAATTGTCGGCAAGTATTTCCAGTACTATGTTGAATATGAGCGGTGATAAGGGGCATCCTTGCTTTGTGCCTGATTTTAAGGTAGACTTTCAGTTTTTGGCCGTTTAATATGATGCTGGCTGTTGGTTTGTTGTAGATGACCTTTATCATATTGAGCTAAAGACCATCTATTCCAATTTTCTGTAAGGTTCATATCATGAGTGAGTATTGCTCCTTATCAAAAGCTTTTTCTGCATCTATAGAAATGATCGTGTGATTCCTACTTTTGGCTCTATTGATATGATGGATTACATTTATTGATTTACATATGTTGAACCATCCCTGCATGCCTAGGATGAATCCCACTTGGTCATGGTGTATAATGTTCTTGATGATTTGCTGCATCCTGTTTGCCAATATTTTATTGAAAAATTTTGCATCTATGTTCATTAGGGAGATTGACCTGGAGTTCTCTTTTTTTAGTTGGGTCTTTCTCAGGTTTTGGTACTAGAGTTATATTTGCTTCCAGGAATGACTTAGGAAAAATTGCTTCCCTTTTGATTTCATTGAAGAGTTTGAGGAGTTTCGGCATTAAGTCTTCTTTGTATTTCTTGTAGAATTCTGCAGTGAATCTGTCTTGCCTGGGCTCTTCTTTGTAGGTAAGGACTTAATTACATTTTCAGTTTCATGAAGTATTGTTTTCCATCCTTTGACTTTCAGTCTGTGAGTTTCCTTTTGGGTTAAATGGGTTTCCTGTAGACAGCATATGGTTGGATGTTGTTTCTTGATCCATTCTGCCAGTGTGTGAATTGAGGCCATTTACATTAATGGTTATAACTGTGATATATTGGTTTGTTGTTGACATGTTATCTTTCTGCTGTTGCATCTTTATCTTTCCATTCTGTTTAATTGTCTGCTTTGCTTAGTTTTTTTTTTCCTAAGTGTATCTAAACTTCTTTCAGTATTTTTTGCAGGGTTGGCTTGGTGATCATTAAGTTCTTCAGCTGTTCTTTGTCATGGAAGTATCTTACTTCTCCATCCATTTTGAAGGACAGTTTTGCAGGTTACTTCAGTCTAGGTTGGAAATCATTTCCTTTAGGATCTGAAATACTTCACTCCATGCTCTTCTTGACTTCATTATTTGTTTTGAGAAGTCTGCTGTGATTCTGATAGGCTTTCCTTTATAGGTGATCTGTCTCTTCTAACAACTTTTAATGTTCTATTTTTATGTTGGATATCTGGGATGGTGATTATTATATGTCTGGGTGTAGTTTTATTTTGGTTATGGCTATTTGGAGTTCTATATGCTTCACTAATCGTATGTCAGTTTCCATTCTCATGTTTGGGAAATTTTCAGCTATTACTTCTGTAAATAGCCTCTTGATTTCATTTGTGTTTTCCCTTTCTTTTTCATTTATCCCTATCAATCTTATGTTGTTTTTCTTTGCATCATCTTGCAGCTGTTGATTTGTTATTTCCTGATTCCTTGTTATTTTTAAAATATCTTTCCTTTCCTATTCACTGGCTACAATTTTGTCTTCAAGGTTTGAAATTCTATCTTCAGTTTCATTGAGGCGGTTATGACAACTTTCAATGGAATTTTTGATTTCCTGTATATCTCTGAATCTGCTTCATGTATTGTTTATTTCTTATGTTATTTATCCAGGAATTCTGTCTTTTTGCATTGTTCTTCTAATTTTTTAACTGTGTCTTCTTTAGATGTGTTCAGCATTTCTTTCATTACTTTTATCATTTCTTCTTTTACCTGGGAGATTATTTCTAATTTGAGTTCCTTTATAGCTTTATGGAGTTGCTTCTTTATTTCACTTGCTATCATTTCAGGCATTTCAGGTATATGGCTTGTATTTTCTTCTATGTGCATGACTCCTGGGCTTTCTTGGAATGGGCTGGAGGTTTGAGTTTGCATTTTGGTCTTTTGATGTCATTTTCCTATATTTCCAGCGATGTTCCAAAGCTTCCCCCGAGCATGTTGGAAATTGCCTCCTATGCCCTCAGCTCCTGGGACTGAATGGAGGTTGCTGAGCGTGACCCAGTCAGGCCTGCAGGACCTCCCGTGCCACCTCCAGTGTTAAGGAAGCTGGGCGGGCTTGTAACTGCTGTGGGTGATGGTCCAAAGCTCTTCCCAGGCTAGCATAAAACTTAAAGGTCGCTGGGCATGTTCTAGTCAGGCTATCAAAACCTCCAGAGCCTAGTCCAGTGTTTCAGGAAGCTGGGTGGGCACTTAACCACAGGTAGCGATGGTCTTAAACTCTCCCCCAGCCAGCACCATGCACTGGAATTCTTAACCTGCCTTTTCAATGAACTAAGAGATACTAATAGTGTGACTAGATTACATTTACCCCCCTTTTCTCTTCTTTCTTTTCCTCTTTTTCCTCATCCTAGTTCCATTTTCCTTTTAAAGAATTTTTTCCCATTTGACAATATCTGTTGTACATTTTAGACTTTATATACTGTTTCAGTTTCTCATACCAGAGACACAATATGATGTTTACATATGTGAATCTGATTTAAGGATAAATGTCTTAAAAAGGTGAAAGAGAGCAAGGAAAATCTCAATCTGTTTGCCAGTAGCTAGGCTTCCAAACCACATCTATGTTTTTCTGGCATGTTCCTTAGCAAAGTAAAGACATCATCATAGCAGCCTTGGGCTATAACCCTGTCTTTTATCCTCAGAGCAAAATGTCTGAAAGGTCAAAATCCAAATTCTGTCCCCAGTGCTTAGGGAATGCTAGTCCTATCATCAGCTGCTCTGTTTTTTTGTGCTACTTTTCAGTTCATTGGTTCATGACCTGACTAATATTTTATATTGACAATAATTGCTGAGTCTTGACAAATTCTCAAATAATCTCAGGAAAAATTGGTTTTAGAATTTTAGAATCTCAGAGCTAGTGGGAACTCTTCAAGTCTTTTCTTTTTTTTTTTTTTTTTTTTTCTTCAAGTCTTTTCAACTCTCCTCATGACATACTTGTGAATGCTCCTGCAGGGTCATAATGGGATAGTCTACTGCTTGGATGGGGAAGGTGTAGGTGGGTTTTTTGTTGTTGTTTTTTGGTACTGGAGATTGAACTCATGACCTTACGCTTGCCAGGTGGGCACTTACACCACTGAGCTGAATTCCTGACCCAAGGGAAGGTGTAGGTGTTAATCAGATTATTCACATGTGTGAAGGCAAAGCTTAACAAACAGTGTTAATAGGACACTATGATTGTGCTATGAGTTTTATATTTGTCATTTCTAATATTGACAACCTCCTGATAGGTTTGATTTTTTTGTCATATCACAGATGAGGAAACCAAGCTCAGAGATAACTAATTTACTTACATAAAGATATATATAGATAACTATATAGGGAGGTGTAGGTAATACTAGCAACCTGACTACAGTTTTTGATTCATCTTTGGAACGTTCTCTGGTGGAGAATAAAGAAGTGGTTTTAGCATTTTACTTCTTTAGTTACTTCCATTCCATTTATGCTTAAGAAATACATGTGTTTTTTATATTGCTGCTACTAAGCACTCAGAATGCTTCTGAAACCCAGTTAACCATTATTTCTCTAAGTGGACAGAATGGCCAAATAGTGGACAAAGCAGGTACCTGTCTATGGGCTGTTTGGTGGCTGGTGATAACCCCATGAGAAGATTCTTTCCCACCATTCTTTTCCATGGTTCTGTATATACCAATCTCTTCATGGGATTGAATCATCCCTTTTTCAGTGCATTTGGTTTTCTTCTTCCATGCCCTATATATTTATGATGAATTAGGACAAAAATCTTAATAAATGTTAATTTAGAACTCCCCAGGGGAAGAAGCCAGTTGCTGTATCTTTGAAATAACCCCCAGCAGATAATTTACGGAAGAGAATCTTCAAAAGAGGAATGAAGAGCTGTACTTAAAACTTGCCTATGAGCTAAAGATGTTGCAAAGTATTGCCAATGCTATTATTTTCTGACTGCAGACAGCTTAGCACTTGAGAAATTTAGACCTGGAAGGTACAACCTTTTGTAAATACTCATTTGGCAATCTGCCTTTTCCTGGAAATACATATAATTTGGGTATTTAATAATAGTAGAAAGTTTGAACACAATGAAGTCTAAGTCTCTTCAGATTCTATGGTAGAATTTTAGTTGTGCATAGGTTAGCATTATCCTGGTATTTGTATAAATGTCCATGTTCTCAGTCAAGTGTATTTTGTCAGATTCTTTTTTTTTTTTTTTTAACCAGAACACAAGTGAACTTTCAGTCTCTGGTGTTGTAAACATAATGAAGACCAGAACTGTCATTAACTTAGTCTGAAGCACAACTTTTAACTGCATACATAAGCCTGTCTTTTTCTTTAATCCATCAAACAGATGACATTATTTCTTGCTCTCAAAATGCTGTGGATCATGACAGAACGAAACATGGTAACAGCAAATAAAAGCCAAGCATAAGGTTCAGTCAGCTCAAATGTTCAAGTAACTGTTCCTTTCTTATGGGCGAACAAACAAACTAATAATTTCATATACAGATGAATTTGTCAAGACTTTTCTAGGTGGAACTGACAAAAGAGCAAACAAAGTTTAGACTAGTAGGAACAAAATTAATGTATTAGCTAATATAAGCCAAAAATACAGACATGAATCATAATTTTGTGCGCAAATGGCTCCAGGGGTTCAACTGATATCATGAGAATTAGTCTTCCTGTCTTTTCTCTTTCCTCTGGAAGTTTCACTTCATGTTCAAGAAGTTCTTCCTTTGTGGAAATGGGATGGCTATTCCAAGCTTTCATCCTTCTGGAAAGTGTAATGGAAAACAATGCTTTCCCCAGTAGGCTTATCAGAAGCTCTGAGGTTGAGGTTCATTAAGCCAAATAGGTTCATATACCAGTTCCCTAAAGCAGGAACTGTGGTTAGGCTTGGAGTTTGGTGTGTAAGCTGGGGGTGAAACACATGGACTAAGATGGAAGTAAGAGTGGTTCCCAAGGAAAGTAGAGCTTTTCTTTTCAGGAGAAAAGTGCAACACAGTACATATTCACTAAGTCAAATAAGAGGTAAAATTGTACAGAACTCTCGGAGGACCATAGTTTTTATAGTCTCTGATGCCTAAGATGATTTATATTGTTCCAAGCATGCACGCCTCACCCAAGGTATATGCATGCAATACTCTCTTCAGCCCTTTCCTCCTCCTTGTAAGTTATCTTAAACAGGTGATTGTGATTTAAGACTGCTATTACTGTCTGTGGCTATTACATATCAGGAATGGAGAACATAGTCTGCTGCCTTTTATACAGACTAGACAGGCTTTGCTCCTATTTTCCGATCTACTTTTTATTGAAAAGATTTTCATTTCAGGGGCGCCGATGTGTACTGAAAGATTGTTGCAAAATTCTTGACAATACAGTATTACCTCCAGAAACTGTGGTACCACCATTCACTGTCTTCTCAGGCTGCCCAGGTAATCTTGGTGATTATATTTTATTTTATCTTATTTATTTATTTTTGACACAGGGTCTTGCTACATAGTTCAGACTGGTCTTGAACTCACCATATAGCCCTTGAACTCAAGGCAGTCCTTCTGCCTCAGTCTCTAGAGTACTGGGATTACAAGCATGCACCACTATGCCCATTTATTTTTTATTTATTTTTTGCTATGCCCATTTATTATTTTTATTTTAGTCTTCTCAAAATTTTGTCTTTTTTTCCATCACAAAAGGAATGCATGCAATTACTATGTCTGATAAGATAATGCAAATTTAAAAATTCTCCAGTTAAAAGGTGCCTAGAAATCCTATCTAAAATATGACAAGTTTATTTTTTTAAATACAGAAAGGTTTACAAAACTATAAGGAAATTATTGGTCATGGTGGCATACACTTGTAAACCCATCACTTGGGAGGCTGGAATAGGAGGACTAATAGTTTGAGGCCAGCCAGAACTATATAGTGAAATTAGTTAAAAAAAAAAAATCCAAGATCAAAAACAAAAAGGAAACTAAACCTAAAGTATAAGATTGTAGGAGTTGATCCTGTCTTCCTAACAGAGAGGTTTAGGATATGAAACTCACCTGGGGACAGGAGATAAGCCCCAGCCTCTAGATCTAAAAAGATCTTTTTAGATAATTTTTTACTATGGGTTTACCCTCACGTTAGTTGTTGGTTTGAATCGAATCTTCTTGAAAGGCTCAGGAATCCCCAAGCTGAAAAGTTAGCATAGAACATGATCTCAGTCCAGTGATACCCTTAGACTGAGGAGAAAATGCATGACTCTCAACCTTGATTGAAAAATATGCACAGATTGAGTCCTATGATCTCAGAGTTCAAAATTATAAAACGTGTGAGGAAACAAAAATTAGTATTTGCTCATCCCAGGAGATTTAGAAAACACTAAAAAATGGAAGAAAACCTCAGTCTTTCCCGCCCCAATCCCAAGACAGTCTCTTCTCCATAGTGTTTTTTAGTTTGTTTTGAGACTGGGACTCATTGTATAGTTCAGGCCATCCTTGAATTTGTAGTGATCTTCCTGGCTCAGCTTCATAAGTTCTGGTATCACACATCCAGCTTCCCCATAGTGTCTTACACATTTGAAATCATGTAGCATATACAGAGGCATATCATAAATTCACAGTTGGAGGATGATGTAAAGAGAAAGACATGACAGTACATGGAGTCAATGCAATGGGTAGTTAGTTGCTTTTCCAATTTAAAAAAATCTAACCATTCAGATCATTGACTGTGAATTTCATAGAGGTACAAAGTCATTACTTAGGTTCTTTGGGGGGACAGTTTGCTATTTTGCCATGTTTTGGATCTCAGCTTCTGCAGAGAGACTCTTGTTTAGTAATCCTCCCCTGTTGGGGGTCCCACTGTGATAGCTATTCTTAACAAATGATGGATCAGAGCAGCCCCAGTTGTTGTTTTCAGTGAATACCAGACAGACATCTGATCTGAAGTAAGAAAGATATTGCCAGAGAAATATCTTACTCTTTTTAAAATTTATTTAAGTTCCTCAGTGTGAACTTCTTATAATCATTGAAAAATTGCTAACACAAGGCAAGGAAGCCTTGCTGGTTATTTCAAATTCAAATAATAACATTGTTTTTGGAAGTTTTCATAGGGGATTCAAGCTGCACAAGACATCCATGTACATGAGGAAACTGAGACTTAAGAGGTTGTGTGGAGTCAGGGCTAATTGGGATAGCCTTGACTTTCTTGTAAGATCCCTTATTTAGAGTCTTAGTCCCTTTTGTACTGTGACTGGGTGCTTCCCTTGATTCTCCTATGTAGTTTCAAAGAGAAATGCCAACCCTCTGGATATGAATTGGCAGCTTCCATCTTTCAAACTGAGACTTAGTGTTACAGGAGAACTGGCATGTTTTTGGAAGACCTTTGAAGGATAAAACTGAGTTATAGAGTAAAATGAAAGGGTAACCAGCCACAACAGCACTGGTTCAGGAGCCAAGAACTCCATTACCTATAGGAGTCAGGCAGATGACTGAAGTAATAACCCTTCATAACTGCTTAATACCAGTCTGATAGCATGAGATAATCTGATATCTTATGAGGAGCTAAACGTTAGAATTTTTATGTGATATTTTTGTATTGTAAAACATTTCTACTAATTTAAAAAAATTAAATATCATATAAGACCAAACATGTTTGCAAGTCAAACAGAATAATTTTCAGAAAATTTGTTATTTTTTAGACCTATTTTTCTTTTGTGTCAGTTATTTTGTATGTTTTCATGTAAATACATGTGTGTTTTGTATGTGAATCTACAGGTATGTGGGTATATGTTTGTATGTACAACATGGATATATGAAACTGTTTATAGTTAGAATCACACTCTGTATACGATTGTCTATACTGTTCTAAAACTGGCTTTCTTTGATTAACAAGTTCCTTGGGTGTCTTGTCAAATGTTTAGAGATCCACCTTGTTGCTTTTACTGGTTGCAGGTTTTTCACTGCATGGATATACCATGATGTATCTAGTTAGTCCACTAGTATAATGAATTGTTAGAAATTGTACCTAGTTTTTCACTGTTAGAAACTTTTGTTTCATTGACATTCTTGTTCATATATAGTGCAATTGAGCAGATTTATTGCTAAGATAAGTTAGTTATTTATTTATGGTTTTTTTGAGACAGGGTCTTACATGTAGTTCAGGCTGGCCTTGAACTCACTTGTAACCCAGGCTGACCTCTCTTGCCTTAGTCTCCCGATTGTACAATTACAGGTATACACCACCATGCCTGGCCATTTTTAGAGGTTCAGTTGTCAGGCCACAGAGCATTAACTTTGAAAGTTTTACTGTTTCTAAAGTGCCCTTCAAAGCCGTTCTATGAGTGTGCTTGGTACCTAAGAATACCTCTTTTCTGGAAGTTCTTTTTAATAGGAGAATAACAGTGATTGATACATTGCATTTTGTTTTCTTTAAATTCATTACTTAGAATACAAGCTATAGGCATTTGTCCAAACAATATTATTTAGAATACAAGCTATAGGCATTTGTCCAAACAATATTATTTAGAATACAAGCTATAGGCAGTTGTCCAAACAATATTAGCACAAATTTTTCTTTTCAATGAATTAAGAAAAATTAGCAGTGTAACTATCTTAACTATCTTGGATAGGTAGATAGATAGATAGATAGATAAATTTGCTTTTCCCTTTCTTCTTTCCTTCCCTTGGAAGTTGGTACTTGTGATTACTTCATCAATTTGTCTTTCTGTAGGACGTTTTTGTGTTTTGTTTGATTTATCTCTTATCTAGTGAGGTTAGATCTTGGGGTTAGTTTCACTGTACAAATTGCATGACAGTTTCTTATCTCATGTGTGAGGATAAAGCTGGCTTGATGGAGATCACACTAGAATCTTGGAGGTAGATAAATCCTCATCTGGAATAGCCTCTGAAGCAGAGATGCTTTAAATCTTCAGATGTCCTTTTTTTTTAGTGATACTGGGGATTAGACTGAAAGCCTTTGCATTGAGCTATATATCTTCAGTGCTTTTTTATTTTGACACATGGTCTCACTGAGTTTTCCCAGGCTAGGAGTGAATTTATGATCCTCTTGCTTTAGCCTTCTAGAGTGCTACCACACCTGGTTCTGAGTTCTTTTATCTGGAATATATTTCTTCATTTGCAGAACTATAATATTTGTCTCCTCAACCTTGTCACATATTCATATCATTCAGAACATTAAGGAGAGTAGTACATAGAGTATGATTGTAACTATAAACATATATTCATGTTACATATACAATATGATCAGTAAGCCAACTGTGGTAGCATACTCCTGTAATCCCAATACTCGGGACACTAAGGTAGGAAGATCATTGCAAGTTTGAGAGCAGCCTGGGCTACAAAAGTGAGTTCAAGGCCAGCCTGAACTATATAGCAAGACCCTGTCTCAAAAATACCAAAAAACTCCCCAAAACCAAAAAACATATGATCAGTAGACTACTCTATCAGTACTGAAGATGGGAAACCTAACAATTAGATAAAACCAGAAGTAGAAGTCTCTAGCAATTTGAATAGAAGTCAGAACTGTGGACTTCTCTGACTAGGTTTCTTTTGTCCTTAGGACTCTTCTCAGGGGAGCTCCCTGAGTGTACTCAGGAACTGATGATCGACGTCACCAAGAGCTACTACCAGAAGTTTCTGCCTCTGACACAAGTGTAGTGAGACTGCTACAAGTCCTGAATTTGCTTGAGCTCTAAGCTGAACTTGGGGACAGTGTGAGTGGTTAACATCTAAGAGTTCTTGTATGTTTGACAATTTCCAACTTCCTTTCCTTTTTAATTTAGAATTTTTCAATCCTTGAAGGCTCTAAGCTCTTAAGAATTTAAGAGAATGCATGGAGAAGTTACTTCACGTGCTATGCTTACATCTTATCTATTAACAGTCATGTTGTACCACTATCTGTTCCCAGCACTCCAGCCCCTGGTCCCACAGATGGCAGGAGCTTGTCTGAAATGGGCCTGCTGAGCAGCAGCATTTGCCCAGGATGGAAGTTATGTGGCTGGTGTACAGCTTAGAGCAATGCAGCACCCCCACTGTGCACCCCCTTACACAGATAGCTCCCAGCTTTCCTCCTGCGGCTGACACATTTGTCAGTGGCCACAATTGCAATAAATTGCAGTTGCTCATAATTCTTGAGAAAGTTGTTTGTGACTTCAGAGTCCAAATTTCTATGGCTACTAAAACTGAAAGGAGGATAGTTAGTGTATTTCATCTTCCCAGAATGACCTTAGCTGTTCTAAGGTGGTTAATAAAGGATTTTCTAGTACTCTTTTTTAAGACTTTTGACTTCACTAAAAGATGAGACCGCATCTTAGATTTTGCATATGCAAAGTTCCAGGTTGCAGTCTCCCCTGTGACTCTTACTAGTCAGCCGGTCACTTCTTTTTTTCTTCTTCTTCTTTTTTTTGTCTTTTTCCTTTTTATTGGTACCGGGGATTGAACTCACGACTGCCTGCTTTCAAGGCAAGCGCTTATGCCGCTGAGCTAAACCCCCAGCCCCAGCCAGTCACTTCTTGCCCAAGGTATTTGTCTTATGTCACTAAAGGTGAAGCATTTGTGACCACATACTTTCCAGTCTGGAACCACTGAACCCATTCTGAGTTTGCCAGGATCCCAAAGTGCAGACAAAAATATCTATACTTGAGTCTAATCATATAGATGCATGAGGGACTCTTAAAATTGTCTTGTAGGCACTGAGGTCAAAGAATAAGTGACTTTTCCAGGGTTTTTTCCTCTGGCTGACAGCACAAATTAGCTCTTTCTGGTTCTCACTGACCTCTCATTTTAAGAGGAAGATTGAGAAGTGAGAGGCTGAGAGGATTGCCCTCCTTTGTGCTGTGATCTACTGTAAGTGAGTAAAGCAGAAGTTTAGCCTTGAATGGTGGAACCAAGCTGGAGCCATCTTGACTTAATATGCAGGTGTGGGATGTGCAGAAACAGCTGTGTGTAATGATTTGTACTCATTTAGTTTAAAACTCCCCTCTGGTGTGTCATTTTTTCATGTTTGTAAATTAAAAAATTGACACATGAAACATATTGTTTGAAGGTGATCACTCTCCACTTGTAGTAATGGTCTCTGTTATTGCTCAGACACTCCACCATGTGCCTTGTGTAGTGCTGTAGGCTTTCATTAATTGGCTTGCTTATTTCTTGCACTGTCTGGATGTTATTCCTGTGTTAAACATGAGAAAAATCAAAAGACAGTAAATAGCTTGATCCAGTTCACATAATGAAGAAATGGCTGACGTAGGAGTCCCACCATGTCTATCTGGCTCCATAGCTTGTGGTTTTTTTTTTGTACCAGGAGTCACACTCAGGACCTTGTGCTTACTAGGCAGATGCTGTGCCACTGAGTCTATGCCACTGGCAATAGCTTATGTTCTTGACCTTTGTCAAGAAAGATGAGACAGGCTTGTCTTTGGAGCACAGCTGCTATGTGTCCTGTCTGATATCAGCAATCTGAAGGTCACAATTCTTCTTCATCATATACAGACATGTCCCTCAGGTCCTTTTTCCTTTTGTGCCACCAAAAATGTAGATCTTGGAATTTGCACTTAAATGCCTTGTGGGCTGACTACAGACATCTTCCAGGGCATGTCTAGCGCATTCCCAACCAGCTTGTATTTGAATGCCTCTGAAATGTAGCTTGTCACATCTTGCATATTTTGTTGGTAAACAACTGAAATTAAAAAGAATGGGTTTTTTTTTTCTTCCTTTTATCTAATACTGGGAATGGAAGCCAGGCCTTCGCACTGAGCTACTTTGAAATAAATTGATTAATTTAGTTTTTTGACACAGATTCTTGTCATGTAGTTCAGATTGGCCTCGAACTCACAAAGTTCTTTCTGCCTCAGCCTAAGTGCTGAGATCACAGGCATGTACTATCATGCCTAGCAACTAGCCCTTTTTACATTTTTAATTTTGAGACAGGGTCTCACTAAATTTACCAGGTTGGGCTTGAATTTGTGAATCATCCTGCCTCAGCCTCCCAGAATCCTGGGATTCCAGATGTGTATCACCATACCCAATATTTTTTAGTGTTTTAAAACAAACTTTGTTTTGTTTTGGTAAATAAATGTAATTTTTAAATCTTTAAGGAACTCAAGCACACAATTTCAAAATCTAATCCAATAAGTACAGAAGGGAGACATAAATGATACAGATTTTCTCAATCCAGAATCCTAGTTCCATATTCTATATCTCAGAGTTAACCTCACTGAAGTTTTTCTTCAGTGCTTCAAGAATTAGGCTGTGCGTGTATAAGCAGATTATTGATATATTGAAAACTCTCTTTTCATTCATACAATTTTGGAGCAATTACATGTGTTGTTCTGTGCCTTGCTTCTTTTACTTAATATGTTATAGATGGTTCCATATTAGCACTGATAGGTGACAAGAAATAGCAATTCTAACATTTATAGCATGTTTATCATATATTAAGTACTCGTGAGTTCTTTACATTTATTAACTTCTTCATTTCTCACAATTAACCATTATATACGGTTATTATTCTCAAGGAATAGAGGTTGTGTCAGTTGGCAGATGTACACAGTTGAAGTGACAGTGAATCCAGGCATTCTGGCTCTCAAGTCTATTATTAACTTCTGTGTTGGAATCTTTTTATGTTGTAGTACCTTCTGTTTTCCAAAACTGTGTCCCTGGCCAGAAAGCATAAGAAAATAAGTATTTTGCTTTCTGAGGCAGGCAAGGAAAAGGAAATAGAAATAGATATTAGATAAACTGTCCCATAATATCTACCACAGGCAGAAGGCTGCCTGTGCCTTCTAAGATGTTTCTTTGTAGTGTGCCTTATCTTGTAGCTATGGTTGTGGTCTGATGATTATAAATGAGAGCAACTTTCCTAGGAGAGTTGTACTTTTTGCAACCAATAAATGGTGGCTTAAACGTTTGAACTGTATGGGCTGTGCGCAGTGGCATAAGCGCCTACCTTGCAAGCAGGCAGTTGTGAGTTCGATCCCTGGTACCGATAAAAACAAAAAAGACAAGTGTATGGCTGGCACTCTGTAGAGGAATGTGCAGACTGAATTAAACAGGAATCCAGTAGAATGACATGTTGCAGTACTAGAAGTCCAGTTTGAATCAGTACATGGGGTAAGGAGTAGGTATTAGTGAATTTAGGAAAGTGACTTAGTCTTTTTGTGCTTTAGTATACTAAACTGTAAAATGAGAATAACAATGGCACCTCAGAAAGTTGAATTAAATGAAGCTCTGTGTAAACATTGAGGACAGTTCTTAGCACTTAACATTCCATAAGTAATAAGAGAATGATATCAAATGATGTCTACCCTATTGGGGTTTTTGTATCTTTTTTTTAAACCTGCATATTAGTAAAAAGACAGTCTAAGGTACTTGTCTTAGTTTTTTTCTTGTTGCTGAGGCAAAAATACCTGGCATCCAAAGTTAAGAGAGTAGAAGTTTATTTGGCTCACAATTTGTAGAAATTTCAGTCCATAGTTGGCTGGCTCCAATGCAGGGTGGCATGTCATAGGGGCATGGTAGAGGAGAAACAGTTTATGTTAGATGGAAGGTAGCAAAGCAAGCAAGGGGCCTTAGCAGTTGTGTTTTTTTTTGTTTGTTTGTTTGTTTTTTTTTGCCCCCTTTACATTCTATCTAGGCTACTGGGATTAGGGTGATACCAAAGCAATCAGTGGACTGATTTAGTAATTGCTGACTCTTAAACCTAGCACTCTTAATGCTTAGCATTGCACCATGAATCAGTCACATGCTGTAATCCAGCTACATCTGAAAAAAGCTCCCATTTGTGACTGCATGAGGCTTTGGGGGAAACATCTAGACACAAGCTATAACATTCTACCCCTTGACCACCAAAGACTTATGTGTATCTCTTTATGCAGGAGTTATTTAGTCAATCTCAAAGAGTTGCCAAGGTCTTAACAGTTTCAGCATTATTGAAAAAGCCAAGTCCAAAGTCTCCTCTGAGATTGAAGGCAAATTTTTAGCTGTAAGCCCCTGTACATATGAAAAGAAAGTGAAACACTTTCAACATACAATGGCATAGGGTGAACATAACCATTCTAAAAGGTACAAATAGGGAGATGGTAAAGAATGAGAACAAAGCAAATCCAAAATCTAGCAGGGAAAACATTAAGTTCCATAGTTCCATGTCCATCATTCTTACCAATCTGGGCCAAGTTGTGAATTCCAAGGGGCCCAAGCCTACCCACTATCTTCTGGTGATAATAGCATCCAGGGCTTCTCTCTGGGGCTGACGGCTCCCTCCTTGCAGGTTTTCCTCAGACAGTCCCATGTTCCAGGCTTCTCCAAACTTGGAGGTCTTCCCTGCACCTTCGACTAAACACACTCCTCCCATGAACACACAGGCCTCCTAGACCTTCTGAAATCTGGGTGGAATCCTTCCTGACTCCACAGCTCTTGCATTCTGCATGTCCCTAAAACCAGCACCACATGTATGATGCTAAAGTTTGCTTTCACCTGGCACAGTAACCAGACTTCCTTCTCTTTTGGCTGTAGAGATTGAATGCCTGGATGTTGTGCACTCTGAACCCAGTTCCAAAGAGTAAATTCTCTGTGCAGCCATCATTCTGGAACATGGTACCCTGAAGCTCTTTTCTTAATGCAGTCTTTCACCGTTGCAACTCTGAGGCTGCCAAGGCTAAAGTTCTGCTGGTTCTTATGATATCCTCAGGCCATCTTTTTATGTTTTTTTTTTTGTTTGTTTGTTTTTTCTGAAATACTTGGCTTTTTCTTGCTAGCCTTTTCAGTGACCAGTTTCTCCTCTATTCCATCTTTGTAGGCCACAGCTTTACTGCAGCTTCCTTTCTCACCAAACTCAAAATGTTTTAAATCATTTGGGCTTTTTGCTACTGATTCTCAATATAAGTCTGGTTAAAAGTGCCCAATAGGGGCTGGGGATTTAGCTCAGTGGCATAAGTGCCTCCCTTGCAAGTGTGTGGTCGTGAGTACAATCCCCAGTACCGATTAAAAAAAAAAAAGGTACCCAAAATTAGCCATACCACTGCATCATTAGACTACCTTGAAATTTTTTCTACAAGATTAATTAGTCTGCTACCCTTACTCTCAGTCTTAGTAAAAAAAAGACCATGACAATACACTGCCTTGGACAAGACAGGAGTTTGTCTCTCTCTTATCTAAAATTCCTATTGTCTTGTTATATGGCCACATTTAGTTACAAGACAGGGTGTAAATTTAGACTCTAGTTGAGCAGCTAAACTCAGGTTTAAACTAAAGTGAGGAAGGAGGGTCTGAGAATACAGAGGAGAAACAGAATGAACATTGGACAGTAGGCAAATCCAAGCTGATCTACACATTGGGTTTTTTTTTCTGCTAGTGCTAATGTTCTTGGAAACATGACAGCTGATGCTCTAGATTCACATTATTCTATGAAGGTAACTTTTCTGTTGCTGAGACAAAATACCCAATACCCAAAGTTAAGGAGGAAAGGATTATTTAGTTCACAGTTGTAGAGGTTTTAGTCTATAGTTGGGTAGCTCCAAAGCAGAGTGGCATGGCAGAGGAGCATTGCAGAGGAAAAACAGTTCAAGGCATGTAGAAGGCAGCAAAGCAGCAGCCTCTACCTCCCTTTTTTCCTTTCCAGGCTACCCCCCTTTCAGGTGGTGCCAGTTACACCAAGGGTGTAGGGCACCCTTAATCCCAGCATCACACACCCTAGACCCATCTATCTCTGAAAATCCCCACCTATGACCGTGTAAAACTTTGAGGGGACATCTAAATACAAGCCATAATAGTAACTCTAAAACAAAGGGTTCTTCCTCTCTAGTTTTAGTCAGGCAAATCCCAAAAAAAGTATTTAGTGATTTATGGTAAGTCACGGAACTCTTGATTCAATTATTGTGTCCAGTGGCATTTGGCCCTATGACTAACCCAATATGGGTTATGACTTTCTTTAATGGTCTGTTACCAAACCAATGTCATTACTGAATTGAGAACAGTTACCTACCGCAAACAGTAAACAAGTCTATAAATATGTACTGATATTGCTTTGAAATTATGTTAATAGTATTCAGATGTGGTGGTGCATATAATCCCAGTACTCAGGAGAGAGAGGCAGGAAGATTGCCTCAAGTTTGAAACCAGTCTGGACTACATAGTGAGACCCTGTCTCAAGAAACAAAACAAAATGCTGGGAGCTGATCAAACCCTCAGATACCCATTCAGGGGTTGATGAGGACACAAGAAAGAGACAAAATTTTAAGATGCAAAGGTGACATGGGAGAAGACTTGCTTCTAGTGAACAAGCTTACCAGCCTCTACAGTCAGCTCATTTTTATTAGCCAGCAAGAAGGACAAGGGGATGGCTTCATGTGTCATTTGTGACATAGTTGAAGAAGACTTTGAAAAATAAGGAACAGGTAAAACTTCAAAAGAGGTAAAGGTGAAAAAGGGAACACACCCTTCTCCAAACCTAGCTAGGGAGCTAGCTTCCTTTCTTTGTCCTCAGTGGATAATATCTTGCCCTTAAAGCATTGTGCCTGTGAATTTTCCCCCACACAGTTGAAAAACATGTAGCTTTCTACATAATTTTCTGTTCCCCGAGGCAAGACAGCACAAGCCTCAGGACTGTGGGGCTTAGGGCATCATCTTAACCTTTACACAGCCCTGTCCCCAAAAAGAAAAGTGAATTAACAGCCATGATGTGTATTCAAGGAATTACCAGCTGGACACTAGTTCTATGGTAGCTCTCCCCAAGGACAGTCTGTCACCAGACAGTTACTTTTATAAAAAGTTTCTTTGTTCTTGGAAAAGGCAGGTAGAAAGATCTTGCCTCAGTTTCTTTCCAGTTGACTTACAGCAAAAGTCTCACATAGCGGAGAAGGTAACGGCAAGATGGGGCTTCAGGTTGGCTCCCAGGACTTGGAACAATGTCTGTGGGGGATTTGTCTCTGGGCTTCACCTCTGCTTGCTTGCTTGCTTTTTTGTCTTTTTTGAAACAAGGTTTCACTATGCAGTTCAGGCTGATCTTAAACTCACTTTGTAACCCAGGCTGGCCTTAAACTCCCAGCAATTCTACTGTTTTAGCTCCCCAATGCTGGGATTACAGGATGTGTCCACCACACCCAGCCTCACCTCTGCTTTCTTTTGAGTTGGCTTTATTATGGGCTTCATACGGTAATCCCACAGCTCTAGTTATTGGTGGAAAACGCTCACCATTGCTGAAAGAACCTCAGATTGGGTTCTCATTGTTCCAAACCAGATATATATCTAGGCTCAAGTGTTCATTGTACCACGAAGATAAAAAATATCCTGATGGACTTGGCCTGGTTGTGTATCCAAGTGGACTGTGAGTGAATGCCTGCTGATTGGGCAGAGATGTTACCAGGAGAGTGGGTGTGGGCAGGAAAAGTCATCAGAGCCTCTTCTTTTTTATCAATCGTCTTCACTTTCCTTTTCCTAGACTTACTCCTTGCCCAGGCTCTCATTACTGTTTGTCTTGGGAGGGATAGCTGGACCTGAATTAATTAGCAGAGAGAATGTTTCTTGGCCAAAGTGGAGTTTTAAACAGAGAGCCTTGGAGGGTAGCCCTCTGTTTGGAACTGCTTCCTCATGGCCGTTCTACCCTAGGTAGAACTCTGTATGTGCCTGTGTTCTTGTCTCATTCCATGCTAACTTCTGTCGAGTTAGGCAGGGACCTGTGGGTTATCTACGACATATTTAATGAGGTGGTTACCTGCATGTGAGCTCCCACCATCCCCCAGACAAATTTCAAATTGCCAGATCCCTGGTGCAGGGAATAGGGGTGAATGATTGATTTCAGACCATTTTGGTGACTGATTCTGTTTTACATGGCTGCACAGAGCCTTGTGGTTGGTTGGGATAGTGGTGGCTTCTGAATTCGTCACTTCTGCATCAACCAATTAATTCACTCAGGACCTGGGGCCACAGTTCCTTTTTTAGTCACCAACCTATCTGGGCAGTGGCTGACTTGAATTCAGGCAGACATTGCTCCTATTTAACACATCCTCAGAAGTTTCTCAGTTATAAAGAAGACCTTTCTAAGTATTCTTTGTGAGTATCCCAGAGGGTGTTTTCCAGCCATGTTTTGGCTGGCCTCAATCACTCTAAGACAAATTGGCCTCTAGCCCACCTGGATGAGCACTGTGGATAGATTCAGTTGGCAGATTGCCAGTGATAGCTTCTGTGGAGCTCCAAGGTCCTTGAAATGCTTCTGACAATATTGGGACAATGTGTGCAAAGGCCTGATTATTTCAAAACTGGTCTCAGCAAAATGTTCTGCCAGCTTGGATAAGTTCCCTAAGTCCATGGTCACTGAAACACTTCTGGAAGCCTCAGCAACCACACTGCTTTTTGTAACGCATGTATTTGCTGCCTTTTAGTGGTAGGAAGTGGGACTTTGGCCACATGGTACATAGAAAAGAGAGAGATCACACTACTCTTTTATTCCTTTAACAAAAAATTATTGAGCCACAACTGAGTGCCAGGCACTGCATTTGGTCCTGTGGGATACAGAGGACAATAAGATGGATCCAATCCCTGCCCTTAGGAATCTTACAGTTAAGTAGGGAGAAAATGCCAAGGATATAAACTAGAGTTCTGATGAAGGCATGGGGATCTCATTTCGAGAATCGTCATAGTGGTAAAGAGTGTGGGCAATGGAGGCAGGCAGGTCAAGTCCCACCTTGCCATATTCTAGCTTAGTGACCTCTGTCCGCTTTGGAACCTCAGATCTCTCATTTCATAAAACAGGGAAAGTGGATAGGGTTGTTTTGAGAATTTAAGTGGGTTCATACATATAAAGCATGAAGGCTGGCTCAGGATAAGCACTCAGTAGATGGTAGCTATAACTACTGTCATTAGGAAATGGTACACTGTCTTGGTCATTTTCTTTTTCACTGAGACATAATACCTGGCACTTATGACTTAAAGGAGGAAAGGTTTATTTTGGTTCAGTTTCAGTCCCATGTTTGGCAGGCCAAAATATAGAAACAGTGTGGTGGGAGGAGCTGTTGGAGGAAAGCAGTGTCCAGGAAGCAATGGGAGGAGCAGGGGAGGGAGACATACCCTTCTGGGTCACCCCTATGACCTACTCCTAAGAATGGCCTCTAACTGGGCCCACTTCCTACAACATATTCAGCTGCTAAAATCACCAATGGACTAATCAGCTGACAGCACAGTGCTTCCATGATCCAGCCACCCTCCAAAAGCCCTCCCTCTGAGCACATGAGCATTTTGGCAGACATTCCAGATCTAAACCACAACATACATCTTGAGTGAAACCCCTTTAGTATAAGGTACAGTATTCTTATGTACATTTTAAATTTAAAAAAAATTAAGTACATGTTTGCCTTTATAATCAGTCCTCCACAAAGAAGAGATGGAAAAAAGAAATTGTGCTTCCTTGTTTTGCATCTGCAAAGTGCCAGATACTTAGGCAACTCTTAAATCTTCCCAAGAACTGTTTTTAAAAAGTACAGATTTTCAGATCCCATTTTACAGAAGAGGAAACCGATAATCAAAGAGGTTAAGCAAATTTGTCCAACACCACACAGCTAATAAATGACTGAGCTGTCATTAAAGTCAACTCTTTTTTTGGCTGCAAAGCCCATGTTTTATACTGCTTTTCCAATGTCTTGGCGTCCAAAGCAGTTGGCTCTGAGCCTTATAGTTTCTGCCCTGCTACTTAATTTGTTATTTGCCTGAAGTTTTCACCAGTGGATTGAGCCTACCTGCTTTCATTATAATCTCAGCCTCAAACCCTGAAGTGAGAGGAGTTGGCACAGGACAGCTTGTTTATCCAGACAGTAAATGGACTTTTCTGAATCCACGCGGCATTAGGTAGAAGGATCATGCAGATGAAAATCATCCAAGAAATACAGGAATGAAATCCATACCACCAGCTTGCAAGACCTTGGGCCTAAACATTAGCCCATGGTGTTTCTTGGCTCTACCAATTTGTCTCTTTTCTACTGCATTCATTTCTACCTTGAATGTCTAGGATATTCCTTCTAATTTTCCATGGGAGCACCAAAAGCCTAAAGAAGCAACAGACTGAGAAATGAATGGCCTCGGAACTGAAAAGCCCATCAAAGACTCTTGAGATCCTTGGGAATTGACATGGATTCTTTTGATTTTAGTTAAGAATAGCTGACATAATCATGAGTCTTGTCATGTTTGAAGTATGGTTCTTGTAGAATCTCTGCCCCAAAAACCTTCAGTAAATGGTTTACCTCCTAGAAGATGGACATTATTATTATTTTCATTTTACAGTCATAGAAATTGAGTCATAGAGAGGTTAAGTGACTTGCCCAAGGCCACATACATCTGAAAGGAAAGATTTGGCATTGGAACTCATTTGGTCTGTGCATTTAACATATTATATTGCTGAGTAGGCATGAGTGAGTGAGTGATCAAGCAAGTGAGCTATTGAGTAAGTGAACCTGGAACTGAGGCCTGGCCAGAAACACTGATAGCACTAGAGGCAGTGTGCAAGCATGTGTGTGTTTGGAGTCAGCAGATACACCGCTGTGGCCAAGTAACCTAATTCAGAAATGTTCCTTTCCTCATCTAAAGTGAGAATAATAATTCTTTTCTCTTAGAGTGGCTATAAAGATTAAATCAGGCCTGTTGGTAGCACACACCTATAATCCCAGTACTCAGGAGGCTGAGGCAGAAGGATTGCCATGATTTCAGGGCCAGCCTAAGCTACATCGTGAGACCCTGTCTCAAAAAATAAATAAATAAATAGATAAATCATACCATCTTTGCAAAGCTTTTAGTCAGTGCCTAGCACATAATTAGACATGTGTTGATCGTTAGTATTAACATGTCATAATTGCAACACATGAAATGGAAACTGTTAGGCCAGCTTGAGCATATAATGAGAGTCCTAGACACCCCTCAGAAGTAGAAACTAAAATTAAATAATTGACACTACATTTGACAAGAACAAGAAGGGAATATAAAAACAACTGTTGAAGGATTAGAAGGAACTAGGGATATTTTCTTGAATGCGTCATCATTTCTTAATATTGTTTCTAAATGGCTTAGGTGGAAATACATGTAGCAGGTGCTCAACAGGCCTTTGATGTGTGAATGCAAAATAACCCAGTTTGTTTTTATTGGTTGATTACCTTGCTTAAAAAATCATGTCTTATGATATAGATACCTCTTGGTGGGTTGTTACTAGACCTGTACAGAAAAAGAGTTAACATTGCAGCGTGAACCCTATAAATATCAAACTTAGTGCTGGAGTTTGAGTAAATTTGCAATGAGAAAAAAGGGACTTGTTTTTAAGACTATTGGGTATGGAAATATGATAAAATTGACTTAAAAGTATTATATGCAGGGGCTGGGATTTAGCTCAGCAGCATAAGTGTCTGCCTTGCAAGCATGTGGTCATGAACTCAATCCCCAGTACCAATTTAAAAAAAGTATTATGCTTATAGTTTCATCAGTGCTAGAGGGATTATCCCAGTGAGGGGGAAAAACTGAGCCAGGGTTATAGCTCAGTGGCACGGTGCCTGCCCAGCAAGCACAAGGTTGAGGTTGATTCCCATTCCAAACAAAACAAAACAAAACACTGCAAAAGAAGTAAACAGTGTTGGGCTAGGAGTGGTGATGCATGCTTGTAATCCTAGCACTTGGGAAGGTGAGGCAACTGCCAGGTGGAAGCCAGCAGGAGCTACAAAGTGAGTTCAGGGCCAGTGTGAACTCCATTGTGAAACCCTGTCTTAAGACAGACAGACAGGAAAGAAAGAAAATAAATAAGCAAGTAAGTGTTGGTGAAATCCAGCATCTTTGCTGTTTGCCATAAGCAGGTGGGTTGGAAATTAAATTCTTTGGGCATGGGAAGCAGAAGTCTATTTTTTTTTTTGTTTGAGGTAGGGTGTGGCTGTGTTGTCCAGGCTGGCCTTGAACTCATAGCAATTCTGCTGTACCTTCCTGAGTGCTGGATCACAGATGTGCACCACAGTGCCTAGCAAGTCCTTGTAATGGATAATACTTTTTATGATTTGTGCCTGCTAGAGTCTCTGGCAAAATGGACCACATAAAAAGAGAGGCAAACTGCCTGGAAATACACATTTGAAATTTGAAAAAGAAATTAAATTGCTAATGAGCCTTTATTGAAATCAAACATTTGACCTTTTGATGCTGAAAATTTTCTAATCTGATATTTTTGAGTGAACCAATGTAGAACTGTTTTTGAGACTGACAAGATGTAGAAACCTTGCTTGTCACTTCGGACTTGGACCACAGCTATCTGGCATTGCAGCATGTTTTGCTACAGCCCAAGAAAAGTACTGCTAGTCTGGAATCCCATAGTCACAGATCGTAATTACCGGGACCTGACTGCATGCTAAAACCCATTACTGTGTGCTGTGAACAGTTCAGCATCAGGAGTTCAGCTGCTTCCAGTTAGCAAGGTTGGATCAGACCCTGGTCTAATCACCAGGACCCAGATTGGGACATGGAAGACTAGGATGCCTTTGCAGCTCTCAACCATGAAAGCACCCTGGATGCTGGCTGATCATCCGGCTCACATAGATGCGCACAGGAAAAAGTTGGGGACCATCTAAAATCAAGCTGCCAATCAGCTCTTCATCTCTTAATGCAGAGGCTGATTGCATTCCTAACTTGTGTTCCCTGCTGGTTGAGGGAGGGCACATCACGTGGTCTGTGAGACATTTACCTCATCCTGCTTTTGACAGCTGAGATTCTGGACCCTCTCTGGAAGTTGTCCCCCAGCTGTTGATTTGCATGCAGTGTTCTGAGTTAGTTGCAGTTTGCAAGGATGTACTAACAAGCTGACTCCCACCTTACTCAGTTTTCTTCCAATACACACCATTGTAAGATAAGCTTTTTAATTAGAATGTAATATCCTAAGAAAGGCTTCTTGTAGGCTGCTCATTGGCTAAATAATCAAGGCAAAGGGGTAGAAGAATATGGAAGCCTATTTTGAAATTTTTGAAAATTCAGGAATTTATCCTTTATTAGTTTGTTAGGATTGCATAACAAAATACCATAAACTGCATTTCTTAATATAGATTAATTTTCTTATGACCGTTTTGGAAGTTAAAGGTCCAAGAGTAAGGTGTTAACAAGTTTGTTTCTCCTGAGTCCTCTCTCCTTGGCTTACAGACAGCTGCCTTTCTGCTGTGTGCTCCACATGTTCCTCTGTATATCTGTCCTAATCTTTTTCTTTTATAAGGACCATTCATACTGAGTTAGGGCCCATGCCAGCAACCCCATGTTAATTTAGCTACCTTTTTAAACCTATCTCCAATAAATAAAATAAAATCCATTTCTAAATACAGTCATATTCTGAGGTACTAATGTTTAATCTTTCAACATACAGATTTTAGATGAATATGATTCAGCCTGTCATACATTTAATTCCTCATGCATCTTTCTGATTAAGTTTTATATGAATATTTGCCTGCAAAAAGTGCTTTTGTACCTCCTGCACATAACCCACATGCAAGGCCTAAGAGATCATTGAAAAATGTAAAGTTGATTGCTGAATGGGCACACTAATTCTGTAACAACACTACAGAAAAAATTAAAGCCTACCACTAGAGAAGCTCAATTTTTTTTTTTTTAAGACAGGGTCTTGCTGTGTAGTTCAGACTGGCCTTGACCTCACTAGGTATGCCAGGCTGGCTTCCAGCTTGAGCTTCCTGCCTCAGCCTCCTGAGTGCTGGATTACAGGCATGCACCACCACCACACTGGAACCTGAATTTTGTTTTTAAGAACTCTTACTGCAACTGTTGCCCTCTTGAAGGAAACCTTAGATGTTGCCTTTTCACATGCTGTGAGTGCTTTGAGTTCAGATGGCTGACAATAGAATACTACTTTCCATACAGAACACCTTTAAATTACATTCATACTTGTGAGGTGAAAAAACTTAGGTCATGAACAAGTGAAACTTTGAAATTCACTATCTTGTGAAGTCCTTCAGAAAAGGACTCAGACTGGAAACAGGGGCAGGAGGCCCACCGGTGGTCCAATTTATACTGCCTAATATGTATCCTGCTTGGGAGCACCCTAACATTATCAGTTGTTTCCAGGAGTCCTGCCTGTGCCCTCTGCGAGTGTATTTCTGTACTTGACTCTGATCAAATGACACTGTTGAAGCCCTGGAAGGCTTTAAGGCCAGCTTCCACTTTCCTAACCAGTGTCATGCTTAAATTGGGGCTTCAAGTCAGGTAAAAAGGTTATACAGAAACTTGAGGGACCTGGCTAAGATAGACTTTTATGATTCATGGGATTTTAACTGGCTATATGTCAACACTTCCATCAAGTATAATGGAGGTCCATATGTAGGCTGGCCTCTTTTTAAAGGTTTCCTTTTTGCAAGGATCCTATTGATAATAATTTTGCAGATAAAAGCCTTGACAAGAGGCAGGCTGTTGAAAAAAAGAGTTAACAAAGCAGGCCTGAGATTGTCCTCCTCAGAAAGACCTGTCTGCAGGGTTAGCCTTTGGATAGATCTGGGAGTTTGGATTGCAGGAAGCTTCTTATCATACTGAGTCCAAAGGGTGGTACAATATCCCTAGACTGTTTGTGCAAACACCATAGTTTATGAATATCTGCTTTTGGTTTGAGAATCTAGAGGCATAGTATGTGTTAGGCAGAGAGGATGATGAGGTGACCAGTGTCCAAAGATACCCCTGGCCTTGAACGCAATGATTCCTGCCTCAGCCTTCTAAGTGCTGGGATTACAGGTGTGTGTTACTACACCCGGCTCTAACTACTTACTGATTAATTTTTTGAGTCTCCCTTTAATAAGCTTCCCTGGTAGACAGTATTTCACTTCATTGTCACAGTTCATTGCTGAGGAATTATGTGTGTCCTGTGACTTACTGTGAGAGTACTCTGGAAACTTTGTACCTGTTTTCCTCTGGACTTTGTTCCATGTACCTTATTCCTCTGCTGATTTTGCTTCTTAGCATTTTGCTGTGATAAAAGGTCAAGTCCTGTGATTCTCCCAGTAAGCCTTCTAACTGGGAGATGTTATTTGGGACCCTTATAGGTGCACTAGGGGGACTTTTAGGGTGTTGGTAGCATATTCTTAGTCTGGGTGCTAAGGCTGAGCACAGGTAGTGTTCCATTTGTGAAAACTTACTGAGCTGTACTTTTAAGAACATTTTCTCTGTAACTACTAAATTTCAATAAAAAGTTCGAGTAAAGGACCACACTCTATGGGGATTTAAAAAAAAAAACCTTAAAAAACCTCAAAGTTTTTAATTCAGTACTTAATAATACCCCTTCTTACCAGGCATTTTGCTTTGACCTTGGGACATGGGTGAAAGATAGCATTATTGTCATTGTTGTCTTAATTGGGAAGCAGGTAAGGACATTTTTACTATGCAATTGATGTTTGCTCTATCAGGGACCTCATAGGACAACCAGAATCTCAGGGGAAGAGCTGCTAATTTGGGTGCTTTGCCATTCCAAGGTTGCTGCTGCAGTGCCCACAGAAGCCAGACAGGCAAGTGGGCTGCAGGGGTGCCCTTGGAGGGGGCCAGCTGTAAAGAGTATGTGCGCCTAAAGTTGCAAGACCTTTTAATTTTATTTAGAAAAAAACCTACAAATTTGAATTGTTATGGGTGTTTATTTTTTAAATGCTGTAAGTACATTCAACGTTTTAAAAGTAAGAGATCAAACAAAATACCCCTGCAGGACAAATTTGGCTGTGGCCTGGCAGTTTCCTAGGCATCCTTTCCCGTCTCTGATTAAGAAATCAGTGTTCACTACTTTAGGCACTGGAGGATAGGACAGTAAGCAAGCCGAGCTAGGGTTTTGTGGGGTAGGTTTGTGGGTATCTGGTGCTTTTCAAATTGTCTTATGCGTAGGAATCACCTGGGCAGTTGTGTTTAAAGGTGAATTCTGACCGGGCAAGTCTGCGTAAGACCTAACAAGCTCCAGGTGACTGTAATGCCTCTGGGCTCTGGGTCAGAAGCAGCAGTGATTTCAAAGTGAGCTGGAGGACTTGCCATGAAGGGGCGTTTGTCTGCCAAGCATCCCGGTTTTTGCTTATATTTTAGTTTACTTTGGTGGTTTACCGGCGGAGACAAGTGCTCCCCTAAACTTACCTTTTGGCGCTGCCAACACTCTAGGCTTAGAGTTCATATTTTAGAAGGCAAAGTAGGGTGGAGAATGGTGTTAGGAAAAGTTTCCAGAAGGAGGCGCAGGTGAACTGCGTGCAAGCGCTTTTCGGCCGCTACACAAGGAGAACCCCAAACGAATTAGACCTCCCTGGGATTGGGAAAAAGCATTCTCACGCCGAGTAGGGTCTCCCAGAGTATTCCGCGAACTTACAGACTGCACATCCTTGTCAATGACGTTTTCTGCTGAGCTGGGTGAGTTTAAAGACTTCAGCGCAGCAAGGCGCTCCCATGGTGCCGCGCGGCGGGCGGGTTTGGATTTTAAATCCCTACAGCCAATCAGTGGCGCGCATGCATTTGTAACGTTCCCAGCGCTGCGTTTGAATTCGGGGAGGAGCGGAGCTGTGCGAAGCCTCTGCACCGACCCTGCGTGGTCCGTGGAGCAAAGCTGGGAACATGAATACGGGGGCAACAGCAGGAAAACTGGCGCGGGCACCAGCTGACCTAGGGAAAGCAGGAGTCCCTGGAGTTGCAGCTCCCGGAGCCCAAGCCGCTGCTCCGCCGGCAAAAGAGATTCCGGAGCTCCTGGTGGACCCACGCAGCCGGCGGTGCTATGCGCGGGGCCGCTTTTTGGGCAAAGGCGGCTTCGCCAAGTGCTTCGAGATTTCGGACACCGACACTAAGGAAGTATTCGCCGGCAAGATTGTGCCCAAATCTTTGCTGCTTAAGCCGCACCAGAAAGAGAAGATGTCCATGGAGATCTCCATTCATCGCAGTCTTGCCCACCAGCATATTGTAGGCTTCCACGGTTTTTTTGAAGACAACGACTTCGTGTTCGTGATATTAGAGCTCTGCAACCGGCGGGTGAGTATCGCAGCTGGGAGACTGGAGGTGCCTGGGGTCCCGGGTTGGAGCGTCCTGATCCGGAGCTACTGGGGGGGGGGGGGTTCAGAAAGGGGCGCCTGAGACTTGGACGTTCTAGAGAAGTGGTGCTGCGAACCACAAGCTGGGGATAAGAAAGGCCCCTGGTAGGACGTGCTTGGCTCACGAAGCTGCTAGGGAAGTGGGAACCAGTTGAGTGCAGACGGGAGTCGTGGTGTTACTAGGCAAGGCGGTTCCGGGACGGGGTGGGGGTGGGAGGCAGGCAATAGATGCTAGAGCCCGGGAGTTATCCGAAACTGGAGTCCCTTGGTAAGGGTGGGGGTGAAACTCAGAGTTTCCGAGTTAGGAGTTGGGTGGTTGGATCCGACCTCGGAGCTTCCTGAAAAGAGAAGGATCTGGACGAAGATCTGCTGGAAGGAAGCCCAGAGAGGGGATACTGGGAACTCAGAGCTCCGAGATAGGAACCCTAGGTAATGGAGGGACTCAATAGGAGAGGCGTATTATGAGTGATTATGACCACTGTTCAGGCAGGGTCCTGAAGAAATTGCGAAGAGGGGAAGGGACCTGTCAAGACTCCTTCATCCCCTGAGGCACTTGTTTGTAGCTCTAGGCTGTCTTTACCCAATAACCAGCCTCCTGAGTCTCATACTGACTCCACTTTCCGCTTCCCTCCCCAGTCCCTCTTGGAGTTGCACAAGAGGAGGAAGGCCCTGACGGAGCCTGAGGCCCGTTACTACCTGCGGCAGATCGTCCTGGGCTGTCAGTACCTACACCGAAATCGGGTTATCCACAGAGACCTCAAGCTAGGCAACCTGTTTCTGAACGAGGATTTGGAGGTGAAAATAGGTGAGATGCTCGTCCCACAGGGTGCTGTTATCATAGTTCAAGAGGTGGGAATGAGGAAGAGACTGTAAGAAAGGAAAGCAGAAGGATAGGAAAGGAGGAAGAAGATAGGAGAAAATCTAGACTATTTGCTTTTAGATATCTCTTTAGTCCAGAAAATTAAAACAAGTGCCCACAAGCCAGCATCTTGCCTTCAGATGCGTAAGTCTTGTTTCCGCCAAACAGTATTTTTGAAAAAAATTTGACTTAGTTTCCAGGGGTGCTTCAAGAATGCAAAGCAAACACTCTACTATGGTATTATACCTCCAGCCAGTTTCCATCTTTTTAAAAATTGGAAGGCTTGACCTAATAATTTGCATTTTGGAGCTCCTTTATTTATTTAGTTTTGTGCCGGGGATTGAACTCACAACGTTGTGCTTGCCAGGCAGGCACTTATACCACTGAGCTAAATCCCTTGCTTGAGCTTCTTTAAAAACAACAAAGGAACAGTATTTTTTGTGATGTCCTTCTGCTGAGCAGTGGTTCTTTTTAGACTCCTCTCTGATTTGCCATGGTACCCATTGCTCTATCATTTGTTTGCAAACTTACCAAGTAGCAATCTTGAAGTTTACTTGCTTGATCCCCAAGACACTTGAGGATGACTGTCCCTGTCAATTCTCTTGTGGAAGCATAGTCCTGCTTTCTAAGGGGATAAATGAGCAAGGTCAATAGGAGTCCTTTCCCTGGAGTTACACAGTGGGTGGATTCTTGGGCAAATCTTGCTGCACACATGTAGCAGAGGCTGTGGAATCAAATGACACTTATGCTCGAAGGTCAAGCTTGAGCCAGTTGTCTACATTGACAGATGGCAGAGGCTGGCATTTGAACATCTCTTTCTCCTCCTATCCCAGGGGATTTTGGATTGGCAACCAGAGTGGAATATGATGGGGAGCGGAAGAAGACTCTGTGTGGGACTCCTAATTATATAGCTCCTGAGGTGCTGAGCAAGAAAGGGCACAGTTTCGAGGTGGACGTGTGGTCCATTGGTTGCATCATGTAAGTTGGAAGTTGATTTCAGGACCTACACAACCTCAGAGGGGCCCTTTCGAGGCATCTTACTTGAATGACCGTATACTATGGCTTTTTCTGCTTAATGGAAATTTTGTTCTAAAGAACCCCTCTCTTGCCCCCAAACAAAGCCTAACTTCCATGTTATTCCTTGTCACTTTGGTGTATCTTGTAGGGGGACAGAGGCCTCCACAGCCTTGCACTACCCCCTTGCTATTTAGTCAGAATGTGATCTGCAGATCAGCACCAGCAGCATCTGGGAGCTTGTTACAGTGTAGAATCCCAGGACCCAGGTTACTTACTGGATCACAGTTTGGATTTTTTAACAAGACTCATGGAGGAGTCTCATGCATAATTTAGAAACATTGATCCATCTTGGGTGGGAGACATTCAGCCTGGTATTACAGCTGTCTGAAGAAGGGCTGTAGTGTCTGGATCAGGACCAGTGGAGGAGGAGGGGGGACAGAGGTTTGGTTGTTTTTAAGATTTACCTTTTCTTGTTTTTGGCCTGAGTGCTGGAGAGTTTGACATGAATTGCAGTGTTTTTCATATTTATTTGCAGAGGGGTGCTTTTTTTCCAAATAAAAATGAAATGTTTTAAGTACAGAACTAACTAACCATGGAGCTTCATCTGTACGGATAGGTGGCCCATTCACATTGGCTGTTGTGAGTGCCCAGTAGCCTCTGAGGCCCTTGCACAGAGTTCTTGATCACTGCAGGCTAGAGCTGTACATTGCCTGGCCCACTGAAATCCAGTTTTCCTCGCCTACATTTACCTGAGAGTTGATCCAACCGGTAATTCTGAGGACTGCTACGCAGATTTAGAGATTGTCCTCGGGGTCCTGTGAGTTAGTGAGTGTCCAAAGGATATCTATTCTCTTTTGTGTCCCTAAGGCATTTCTTTCTGTTCTGGGTTTTCCCTGGGTCCCTTGAGCCAGTTCCATCTTGTGCTTTTACAGGTATACCCTACTAGTTGGTAAACCACCTTTTGAGACCTCTTGCCTAAAAGAGACCTACCTTCGCATCAAGAAGAATGAATACAGTATTCCCAAGGTGACTAAGAGCGCTTTAAATTTAAATTTATTTCATTTTACTAGTCCCCAAAAGCTATATCCTGGACAGAGATAAATCAGTCCTATCCCTAGGACAACAGCTTTAAGAGTCTGTGTCTGAAATTGCCTGTAGAAGTTGATACATATGTACATATAAGCTTTTCTAGAGGGAGAGAGTTTGTAGACTCACAAAATGCCTTGCATACAGTAGAATGCTGATGGAATTGTGAACTGATGGCACCAAAGGCATCCCAGTGACAAACTGGTGTTCCTTTTTATAATCATAGGCTTAAATGAATTTTTTTTTTGTCTTTTTTGAGACATGGTCTCACTATGCAGCAGGCTGACCTTCAGCTCACATTGTAACCCTGATCTTGAACTCACAGTGATCCTCCCCACTCAGCCTCCCAAGTGCTGGGGTTGTAGATGTGCACCACCATGTCCAGCTTCATAAACGGATTTAAAGTTGAAGCCTGGTACACAGCCACTTTGCAGTTTAATTTCCTTGACTTGTGTGAAACCCAGAGTCACATTTCTGCAAGGACATTTGGAGAAAATATGTCCCAAAGAGTCATTTCACTGTCAGACAGCATGCTAGGTTATGTAGGTATGATTACTATATCTATTCTTAGACCTGGGATTTAATGTTCTGTGCCTTAATGTTCTTTGTCATCCATAAGTGAAGGATGATGGAGATCTTTGCCACTTAGTTTTTCGAGGGCTAAATGAGTTAATACATAGAAAATACTTAGAACATTTTCCTGGTACAGAGTAAGCGCAGTTAATGCTAGGCTGTTACTATACCTCTGATCTATGCTAGGTGATGTAAGTCTTCCTAGGAGATTCCAAGCTCATGCTGTGTCCTCATTTTATAGGTGTAGATTCAAGGACCCTAGAAAACCCAGTTTACTTGTCATGGCTGGTATTAAGAGGCAGAATTAGAATTTAAATACAGATCTTAGAATCTCAAGGCTTATGTGCAACTGTACCTGTGCAAGGCAAATTCAGGAGAAAATATTACCCTAAGTTAATGTCCACTATCAACAGGAAGGCAAAATGATCAATTGCACAATTTAAGCTGACACTTGTGGATTCAGTTAAACCACTGAGGAGAACTTGGCATTGCTTATAACCCTGAACTATGGCTTGTTTGAGGCCAGGAGTGGGAGCTGAGGGGGCTGAGCTGGGCTGCAGGCCCTTGGTGATAATGCTACACCTGCAGTCCCCATCATATCCACTTAAGGTTTTCTCTCTGCTGCAGCACATCAACCCTGTGGCTGCGTCCCTCATTCAGAAGATGCTACAGACTGACCCCACTGCCCGCCCACCTATTCATGAGCTGCTTAATGACGAGTTCTTCACTTCTGGCTACATTCCTGCTCGCCTCCCTATCACGTGCCTCACCATTCCACCAAGGTTTTCAATAGCTCCCAGCAGCCTGGAGCCCAGCAACCGGAAGCCTCTCACAGTCCTCAATAAAGGTAAAATGGTTTGTGTAAGCTGGCAGAGACAAGAGAACCCAGGCTGGAGTTGTATGTGTGGCTTGCTCCCTGGTCTCCAGAGCTTGCCTATAGAGTGGTCAGGCTTCTCTGTCTTTGAATCTTGGTTCCTGTTCCCTTTTAACCCATGTTAGGAAAGACAGACATTAATGTAGCTGGATCAGCCCATTGGATCTAAAAAGAAAATAGACAGAGTGCCAACCCTGAAAAAGTAATCTTTTTGATCACTTGTCTTAACATGATTCTTGTGTGGCTCATTAAAAAGGTAAGGAAAAATTTCATGGTATGTGTAAACCATACCAGGGGTGATCAAAGGATATGGTGACTGTTAACAATTTTCTTGCAGTGTAAGATACATTGCCATTAATTCCCCTCAGGATAATCCCCCTCTGCTTCAAACACACTTACCAATCATTCTTGGCAATGCATCTTTTTCTGTAATAAGTTAAAAGTTTAAAAATTGTATTTTGGATCGCCACTTATAATGTAATAGACTTTCTCATGCACCCTCAATTACCAGAGTTTTACACATTTGTTTTATCTGCTCTTTGTTGTTCCTCTGAAATGTTGTAAAAGACCAGTACTCTGCCATTTTACCCTTATATACTTCAGTACATATGTCTTTGAAAAGATGGACATTTTCTTATAAACCTACTGCTTAGGTTTCTTTATTTCTGGTCTCTTTAGAGGACAGAAATAGCAAATACATATTAGTGTGGGAACCTTAAGTTTATATTTCACAGTCTCATACTTTTTAGTATTTTACTTTGATATTGGTTCAATCTTATGAAAATGTGGAATATACAGAAAACTCCTGTACCCTCACTTCTTTTAGATCCACCAGTAATATTTTTTCCATATTTGCTTTATTGGTCAGTTAGTTTCTGTGTCTGTTTTTCATCCTTTCTTCCTCCCTCTATATCTATCTATATATCTGTCTTTATTCTCAAGACTTCAGGGTATTTTTCCTAAACAAGATTCTTTTACATAAGCACAGTACATGACAGATAGCACTATCAGGTTCAGGATATGTACCATTGATCCAATAATCTTTTCTACTCTGTCATTAGTTTGCTTTTTGTACCCAGATTGAACTCATGACCGCGCGCTTGCAAAGCAGGCACTTATGCCACTGAAGTAAATCCCCAGCCCTACTCTGTAGTTACTGATTTTTCTTTAATTTTGTGATTCAGACATAATATTAACAAGTTAATGATCTTCCTGCTTTAGCCGCCTGATTGCTAGAGTTGCAGGTGTATGCCACCATGCCTGGCTGTATATATATATTTTTCTCTTAAATTGAAAAGTTTGGGGCTGGGGATTTAGCTCAGAGGCATAAGAGCCTGTCTTGCAAGCGCACAGTCGTGAGTTCAATCCCCGGTACTCAAAAAGAAGGAAAGAAAGAAAAAAAGAAAATAATGTTTCCTTACATTAATATATTTAAATTTTTTCAACATAAACAGAATAGTTCCTGTTACTAAATAATGTTTTATTTTCCTTGTGCTTTGAATATATTTCTATATATAGGACAAATAGTTTTCAAGGATATAGTTTTTTATAAGGTAGCTTGAGATTCTTTACTTTTCTGTGTGAATATACCACCAATTTAGTGTGCAACTTAAGTTCATTTGCTTTAATTAATTTTTAGGTATCACTTGATTACTTTTAGTCTAATAATTTTAGGCTTATGCATAAAATTTGGGAAAAAAAATAAAAGCAGAGCATTCCCGTACACCCTTCATGGATTTTCAACCAATGTCAATATCTCACCCACCATGGGCAATTATCAGAACTAAGATAATACTCCAGAAGAACTCCAGCCTATATCTGCACCTAGCAGTGTTTTGCATTAGCACCCCTTGTTCTGTGCCAAAATCTGATTCCGCACCCTACACAGCATTTAGTCAACAGTCTCCAGCCTCTAGCAATGCCTTAGTCTTTGCTTGTCCATCATGATGTGGACACTTTAAAGATCACTGGAGAATTAATTTCTAAAATATCTTTCAATTTGGATTTAGTTCTTTCTTGTGACTACATTGAAGCTGTGTTTTTTTTTTTTTTTTTTTTTAGTTTTATTTAAGGAGAAAAAGGGGAAAAAAACAGAAAAAGGGTACAAGTTTACAGAATCTCAGAAAAAACAAACAGGAAATCACTAGCTAACAGATTACATATTGTCATCTTAGAAATAGCTGTTCAAGTTACAAAATCAAAGCATACAAAGTGGACATTCAAACAGTGAGACTGCAAACAGTTCTGTTCAATGATCCAACAAAACTCAGTAATACGGTTATCTATCTTATACACTTAAATATACATGGCAATTATATCCTTTCTTTTCCTCTCTTTTGTACAATGACAATTACACATTTTGGGTTTTATCACTCCCACAGTTTTTATTACTTTTTTTGGAAGAGAGTAAAACGCAAATGTGACATAACAGAACAGAGTGGGTCAAATCAAAAGGGTGGACATAGTACATAATGTAAAAACATAATACAAAGTGATCAACAATGGTTACCATAATGCCTCTTGCTCTCTTAAAAAGAATTGTCTATATCATCAGTTATAATAAAATTGAACAAAACAGTAAAGAACAAAACCAGTAAAACCAAAATATTGGAGACATTACAGGACTTCAAAAGAAGATAATAGTCAAGCCAGAACGGGTATCATAATGAATCTTACTATCTTCACAGTTGCCTATACTCTCAAGCTTGGTAGTATCAAGCAAAACAGAATAGAGGAAAATCAGTCAAAGATGGTGAGAGCAATACAGGATTTCACATCAACTTAATAGGAAATCAAAGTGGGTTACTATAATATATCCTGCTTTTTTAAATTTTTCCCTTAATTACAAAGATAAAAATAAAAAGGTAAATAATAAAAAAAAGAGATTGAGATAAAAGAGGACATAACAACAAAACAGCACAGGTCAAAACATAACCAACCATTTAAGCAAAATAGTGTTTCACCACCAGATATCCCGACATAAAAGTAGTTACCATAGTGTCTCTTTCCTTGAAATCTTTGAGTATAACTTTGTATACTGTAGCATCAAACATAAAAAGACAATATAAAACCATTCAAGAGAATGACAGTATTACAGGGTATTTAGAACCAACCAACAGAAAATGAACAATGGTTTCTGTATAATCTTCTTGTCTATAAAAGTTTTTGTTTATATTATCACATATAATAAAATCCAATAAGATACAACAGGTTAAAACTGATGGAGACAGAAGAACAAAAGTTTGATGGGACTTCAAAACAAGATGATACTAAATCAGCACTAGCTATTATGATGTCTTGTTTTCTCCAAAATAGCTGTTCATACCATCCAACCTTCTCTGCCTCATTTCTATTGAGCTCTTTTTCTGTCATTAATTGTCAGTTTGTCTTCTTCGTTTTGCTTTCGGCTTCATTCATTGTGGCCTCTGTGCCACTGTTTATGGAATCTTGGCATTTTTCTTTTTTTAGAATGTCCTACAGTATTCTCTGTAGAGTTGAATTGGTGGTTGCAAATTCCTGTAGTTCCTCTTTATCCTGGAAGCACCTTGTTTTTCCATCAGTTTCTAGGGATACTTGTGCAGGATATATCAGTCTTGGCTGGAGGTCATTATCTTTCAAAGCTTGAATTATTTCGCCCCACGCTCTTCGTGATTTGATGGTTTGTGCAGAGACATCTGCTGTAATTCTGATGGGTGTTCCCTTGTAAGTGATCTGTTTCTTGTCTCTGATGGCTTTTAATATTCTGTTCTTATATTGGATTTCTGGAATTTTGATTATTATATGCCTGGGTGTAGCTCTGTTTGGGTTGTAGGTGGCTGGGGTCCTGTACGCCTCATACATCTGAGTATCTTTACCTTTTGCTAAATTAGGGAAATTCTCTTGGATTATTTCTGTGAATAGCTTTTGTAGTTCATTTGTTTGTGTCCCTACTTCTTTTATGTTCTTAATTCTTAAGTTATAGATCCTCTTATCATCTTCTAGCCTTTGTATTATTGCTGTTTGTTTTCTTATTTTTAAGAAGTTTTTCATTTCATGCTCCCACAGTACAAATCTGTCCTCCAGTTCAGATAATCTATCCTTAGTTTCTTTCAAGCTGTTATGCCAGCTTTCAATAGAGTTTTTAGCTTCCTGGTAATCTCTTTGAACCTGCTTCACGTATTCTATGTTTTCTCTATTTTCTCCATCAAACAGTTCTCCCCTTTTTTTCTGTTCTTCCATTCCACCATCTGTTTTTGTTTTTTTTTTTTCCTGGGCGATGCTTAGCATTTCTCTAACTATTCTACTTATATCTTGCTTTAGGTCATTAAATGCTTCACTTTTTTTTTTTTGTCTTTTTCCTTTTTATCGGTACCAGGGATCGAACTCAAGTCTGCCTGCTTGCAAGGCAGGTGCTTATGCCGCTGAGCTAAACCTCCAGCCCTAAATACTTCACTTTTGAACTCATCTATGAGGCTCCAGAGATACTACTTTATGTCTGTTGGTGCCATGTCTGATATTACGTTTTCTGTCCTCATTCTCCTTTGCATTTACCTTTCCTGAATCAGTGTTCTCAGGATTGGGGGCCGAGGACCCTTTCTTGTTGCTCCCTTTTCCCTTATTTTTTTTGTTCCTTCCATAGAAGCGTGTATAGGAGGCCCAGTTTTTTTTTTCTTTGTCCGTTACAGTTTGTTTGAATCACCGTTGGCTAGGTGTTCCCGCCCACTGCAGTGTACTAGGAAGACACAGACCTGGGCAGCCTCTGCTGGGCTCGCCCCTCCAGGTCAGTCAACCTATTGAAGGCTTCACTGCTAGGGTGCACCTCCAGGTACTGGGACCTGGTTTGGGCTAGCCTACTGGGCCTTAGTCTGGGCGTCACCCAGGTCAGGGCTCCCTACCAATCCCGCTTGAAAGGGGAATATGTGACTAAAATCACTGCAGTGTCCTGTTCCGGCTAGTCTGTCCGGTCCTAGAATGTCCTCTGTTGAAGCCTCCTAGTTTATGGAGGGGTCCTCATTCCTCTCACTCACTGCAGATCGATGCAGGGCTCCCCGCCAGTCCCACTCTCAACTCCGTTCGCTGATTCCTGGAGAGCTTTTGCATCTCTGTCCCTGCAGTGCCAATTCAGACGCAGCAGTGGCAGCAGGAAATTCAAATCGCGATTTCCAGAGGCACGGGTTCCAGTTTCGGTGCTGAGATTTTATCTGTTCCGGTTATAGCACCGGGACTGCATTTCCAGTTGATTTCTCTCAGCTTAGTTCATTCCTGGGTCGGCAGGGTATATCTCCCCTTGCTTAGGACTCCTCACACCACACCATTCCTGGATTCTAAGCTGGCTTTCTCAGAGAGCCTCCATAGCTGCTGTTATCTATCCGCCATGTTCTCCTGGAAGTCTAAGCTGTGCATTTTGAGCAAGAATAAATGAGTAATATCCTCAGTGTATCACATCATGGACCATGTTGCTTTTTATGGATGATATTAAACTTGATCACTTGGTTAAAGTGTCATCTTATGAATTTCTTTACTGGAAAGTTACTGTTCCCCCATGTGATCAGTAGATAACTTGCAGGGAATTGCTTTGATGCTGTCCTGTTTCGTAAACTTTTTTTTTTTTGTCTTTTTCGTTTTTATCGGTACCAGGGATTGAACTCACGACTGCCTGTTTGCAAGGCAGGTGCTTATGCTGCTGAGCTAAATCCCCAGCCCCTGTTTCGTAAACTTTTGTCCACTGACTTTAGTACCAATGGGTAGATTTTAGTTAAAGAAATTATTACTGTGATTCTCTTAGTTTCTTCTTTTGTGGTGCAGGATCGCGCCTAGGGCCTCTTACATGCTAGTACTATGGTATGAAATATAATGGGGATTTTTTTTTCTTTTTTCTCTATTTCTACATTTTAGTAATTGGAATTCTTTAATGAAGAGCTATCTCTTCCCTCCCATTTGTTTATTTGGCTAGTCGTGTCAGTAATAGACTCTTGCGTATCTGTTTTATTCTTGGGGCTATAACACTGTTATTTTAAGGATTGCTTTTTTTGTGGTTTTAATTTTAAAATAATAGAACTATAAAAATATTTGTCATGAAAAATTCCATGCTTACCTAAATACAGAGAAAACTGCATTATACATTCTTAAGTGTTCTTCATCCATTTTCAATGATTGTCAGATCTGGTCAGACTTGTTTTTACCTATTTCACCTCCTTCCCTTTTTTTCTACTAAACTTTTAAATGAAATCTCTAGAATCTTGGTTTTTTACATTTAGCTTTTGTCATAACAGGACATTTTGGTTAAATCAAAAACTTATTTGATTTGATTTTAAATCAAAAACTTTTTTATTACATGAGAATTAGCACATGTTGGTAGGGAGAAATTAAATAAATAAGCAAAAAATAAAAATCAATTCTTCTATCACCAAAATACAACAAATGTTAAAATTTCAATGTTTCTTTTTGGATCTGGTTATGTATAAGCATATAAAGTAGATTTTTGAATGGAAAAATCATATACTTCCCTTTAATGCCTACTGAGCACTTCCTGCTGATGGACTGCAGTTTACTTGCTTTCTCATCTTTCTGAATGCTGAAAATGCCTCTGATTGTTTGCTTGAAGCAGGCTAGTTCTGAGAGGCTGGTGTCTTCAGGCTGCCTGTCTGAGGACTAGTGTCTTGTGAGGCCTTGCTGTTGGGTCATAGGCCTGAGCACTTGAAGCTCTGTGGCTTCTCAGTGATCACCACACATTTGCCACATGAACTACTGCATTATTAATCTGGCACTGACTCAGTTTTCCCAAAGCAGCGGTGGCTAAAGAGCTTTTCTCTGAGAAACTGTGGCAGGGAATCCTGTACTCCTTCTGAATTCCCCATTTTTGTACCTAGTTGATGAGCATGTCACCTTCCTAGGCATGGAGAACCCGCTGCCTGAGCGTCCCCGGGAGAAAGAAGAACCAGTGGTTCAGGAGGCAAGTGAGACTATTGAATGCCAGCTTGGTGACTTGCTGCAGCAGCTGCACAGTGTCAATGCCTCTAAGCCTGCAGAGCGGGGCCTGGTGAGACAAGGTGAGTAGTGCTTCAGGAGCCTGGGACATCTGGAGAAGGCAAACAGAGTGGTAGTAACTTAGCTAGACCCTTTTTCCATTATACTTTGGTTCCCTTACTTCCTATAAATGAGAACCCAAATGAGTTAGCCTGACATCCAAGTGCCTCCATGCCATGGCTCCTGTCTTTCCATCTCTTTTTGCTTGATGAGTACTTCATCTTCTGGCAGAGTAGGCTACGTCTGTATATCTGCACAGAGAGATATCCTGCTCACTGAATTCCCGTCTCTTCCTTGAGACAGACCCAGATGGACTCCAGTCTTCTTCTGGTCCCTTCCCTGGAATTGCACTTCCTCTAGGCAACTGCCTGGCTTATACTTGCCCCTTTCAAGTCCCTGCTCCAGCATCACCTCCATGACCTCTCCCTGTCACCCACAGCTGGCACTTTTCAACCTCCTTGCCTGTTTAATAGTAGTTTTCTGTAACACTTCTCACTCAACATATTCCAGTTTCTTTTGTTGTTTAGTTTATTTGAAATAATGGTTTTGTTGCATGCATTGAACATAACATTTGAATGTATTTGGAATTCTCTGTTCACTCACAGTGTCTTAATCTTCTGAACTGGAAAACTAGATAATCTCATTCTTATAGTGATAGAAGGAATTTATAAGTTTTGAACATACTTTTTTGATTAGTCTGTTCCTATAGTTAGAATATAAACTCTGTGAATCCTGGGTTTTGTGCCCTCTGTACCTGTGATAATTTAGTGGGCTATGCTGTAACTTTCTATCTAGGCATCTGTGCTGTGGCCTGTCTGGGCTTATTGGTGACAGAGGCCTTGCTGTGCCTTCTCTGGGGCCCCAGGCCTTTTGACAGTCCATGCAGTGCCCAGCAGTCTTCCCTGGGGCCATAAAGCAGACCAAAGGGGAAAAAGCTGTTCCTGACAATGGTCTTTCTGTTTCTGTTGCAGAGGAGGCTGAAGATCCTGCCTGCATCCCCATCTTCTGGGTCAGCAAATGGGTGGACTACTCAGACAAGTATGGCCTAGGTAGGTTTCTTCCCCAGGGAATGGGAGGCTCAAGGATGGTCACCTGACTGACCCAACAGTTGCTGAAGGCTCTGGCCCTTTGTGGCTTCCAAGTCCTCTTCTGAACACACACTGTGTGCACTGTGTCTCAGTGCTATCACTTCTTTCTGAGGGCTCCCTCTCCCTGCCTCTAGGGTATCAGCTTTGTGACAACAGCGTGGGGGTGCTCTTCAATGACTCTACTCGCCTCATCCTCTACAATGATGGGGATAGCCTGCAGTACATAGAGCGTGACGGTGTTGAGTCCTACCTCACCGTGAGTTCCCACCCCAACTCCTTGATGAAGAAGGTGAGCACCAACACCGTGGACCTGGTTGTCACTACAAGTGGGAGTCCTACCAGAGACTGGCTCTGATTGTGGAATCCCTTCCCCAATGCCCAACAGATCACTCTCCTCAAATATTTCCGCAACTACATGAGTGAACACTTGCTGAAGGCAGGTGCCAATATCACGCCTCGGGAAGGTGACGAGCTGGCCCGACTGCCCTACCTGCGCACCTGGTTCCGCACACGCAGTGCCATCATCCTGCATCTCAGCAATGGCACTGTGCAGATTAACTTCTTCCAGGTAGAGAAGGGCAGGGTGGTGGACTGGGCCTGGGAATGGCCATGTGGGTTGGATGGGAAGATGTGAGTATCTGTCCTTGGCAGCAGGTGGTGGGAAGGAAGTGGCATGGGTGACTGCCCCCTACCAGTCAGGGTATCTTCCTCCCTGCCCCAACCCCCATGTATAAACAGCCAGGATCTTCAGTCTCTGCCCTCTTTCCCTTCCAGGACCACACCAAGCTCATTCTGTGCCCACTGATGGCAGCTGTGACCTACATTGATGAGAAGCGGGACTTCCGCACATACCGCCTGAGTCTCCTAGAGGAGTACGGCTGCTGCCGGGAGCTGGCCAGTCGCCTGCGCTATGCCCGCACCATGGTGGACAAGCTGTTGAGTTCGCGCTCAGCCTGCAATCGTGTCAAGGTCTCTTCCTAGCCTCCTTTTCTCCCCTGTGGACTGGTGCCCTCTCACTCCACCAGCACCAGGGCCTACACTGGTGGGCTCTGTGGGCTGCTTTTGTCACATGCCCCTCCCAGTCCAGGGGCTGGGCAGGGAGCTGTGTCAGTCTTGCAGGTGGGGCTGCTAAGTTATTTTTGTACATGTTCAGGTGTGGGTTCTGCAGCCTCTGCCTCTTCCCTTTAGCCCACCGCACGAATTGTACAGAATGTTTCTATTGAATCCAAGATTGTCCTTTCCTTAGCTTTATACACATTAAAGATATATGTAAATCTTTTTCTTCTCAGTTCCCTGAAGGTCCTGGGGCTTCAGGGCATGTCAGCTTTATAGCCGTAACCTGCCAGGCTGCTGCCAGTCTTCCCTTATGCTAGGTCAGCTTCAACCACAGGCCCAGCTTCTTGGCTGGCTTTGGTGGAGGCCACTGGCAGCTTCAGCTCCCTGGCAGAGCCCCCTCGCTTCGGAGGCTGGCGAGTAGTAGGGGAGGAAGAGGCCCTCAGAGGCACAGCTTCTCATGGTGTGGTGAGTGTGAAGGAGCAGCCTCGGGAAGCGGCATGTGAAATACTGGACGAAGCTGTCAGGAACACAGCCTAGCACCTGCTGCACCTCAGCTGGAAGCTCTCTGTAATGGTGCTTCTAAGAGTGGGAAGAGTGGGAAAACCAGATTCAGCTGTGGCAAGTCTTCCCCAGGTACAGGTCCCACCCAGACCCTGGATCACACCTTGTTCCGCATGGCACGAAGCAAGTCTCTCACTGATGTCCCCTTATACGACCGGAACCTTCTCAGATCTGTGAGCAGAGAATTGGGCAGAGGTGTCCCTACTGAGCTCCCGTCAGCCTCCTGAACCCCCCGAGTGTGGCCTCTACCTGTCTGCAATGGCATGGAGATGTGATGGTGCCAGTTGTCCCGGACCACCTTGTAGCCTCCTGCCTCGAGTGCCGTCATCAGGGGACCATGCTCAGACTCCTTCTCCAGCCAGTCACTGACATCCTAGGATCCCACAGAGCTCCTAAGCCTTAAGGTCTGAGGCCCCAAGATGAAGTGTGTATAGCTTGGGTATAGCTTGGGGGTGGGATGTAGCAAAAGCCTGTCCAGTAGGTGACTCCTCTGTGCTGGGCTTCATGATGTTGTGACCCGCCCAGGAGGCAGCCACTGCTATCTCTGCAGAGGAGGATGCACCTCAAAGACAACAATTGGATGGAGTGTCCAGGCACAGGCTTAGCATGAGAGACAATTTGAGAGGAAAGAGCAGGTATATTCCCACACAGTGCAGCTGGGGCCAGGAAAGTTAGAAATGTGTGGGACCCCTGAGTGCCAACATGGAGATGAGTCCAGATTTGCCAGGCTTAGGTAAAAAGTCAGACTGTTTGGACCAGATAGGTATCCCTGTTCTTCTCCAACCAGTCTGACTTCACATTTTCTTGTTGCTCAGAACTAAATTTGGGTCATCTGAGGTTATTAAATTTTTCTCTAACCTGGAAGAATTGGAGCTGCTTGGCTCTGCTCCAGAAGAGAGGATGGGCCAGCACCTGGCAGGCAGAGGGGCGGGCCTGTGGCAGTGGACTCAGCATGACTTCCACCAGGTCCCGGGCCACTACCTTGTCTAGAGGGCAGAAGGAGAGGGATGCTCTTTAGTCTTGCCTGGCCTTATGCCTTTCTAACATCCCCCCCGGTGGGTCCAAGTCTCTCTCACCATGGGCCTCTTCCTCCAGATGAGCCAGACAGGGAGTACCTACAAGGATGTTGGCCTGCCGGTAAAGACTCTCTCCAAAAGGGTGGCCACCGCTGGAGAGCACATAATAGAACACACAGCCTGCAGAGAAGATGTCTACAGCACTAGTCTGGGGCCAGAGAAAGACGTAAGAAAAAGGAAGTTAGTTTGGCAAAAAATTCTCCCTTGCCTAATCAGGCAGCCTAGGAGCTGGTTCAGGGTAGAAATCAGAGCATCATCTCTTGGCTCTAGATCTCATCCCCAACTGTGCCCATGGTTTTTATCCCACCTTTGCTGAGGTTCTGGTTTGGGTCCCCAGCTGCTCTCCTGCAGAGTATGCAGGTAGCATAACTGAGTGAAGCTGGTTGGGCACAAGGCAGTAGGGGAGGGCCACTGATACTTAGGTCCAGTTGGTTGGCACCATGGGATTCTGCCAGGGTGGCACGGCTGAATTTTCCAAGAAAATCCAGAAATCCAGTTTTTATGTGGGAATTGCTATATTAAAATATTGACTGCTAATTAAAATAGTCAAGTGTATGGTTCACATTATCCATGCATTTAGTCCTTAGGTCCTTGAGTCTCCAGGCCACCACTTAGAATTTGCTTTTGATTTAAGGAGTGGGAGTGGCTTTACCTGGTGACTCCTTTTGTGCTACTGTCATCTATACTGGTGACTTCAACTCGTACCCATACACTAAGATTATAAAATCTATAATCATGAGGTCCCAAACCCAAGTCTCCATGGAGATCAGATGCTCTGTTTTAACTACATTAGCTCATGTTTAGCTGATACTCTTCAGACCTCCATATCACTGGTTATTGATGCTGACTGGACTCCACTTTGTTTAAAAACCACTACACTGGCCTATACATTTTTTCTTGTTTGTTTTCTTTTGCATTCCCCAGTGGTTATAAATAACAATGAGGACTGACTTCTAATTTAAGTTTCTCACCCTTGGCACTTGTGACTATGGGCCAGATGATTGTCCTGGGCACTGGTGGATGATTAGCTGCCTACCAATGTTGGGTGCACTCTCATTCAAGACACTCTTTCAAGTGAAGACACCAAAACTGCCTCCAGACATTGCCTAATATCTCCTGGGTAGCAAAATAGTCCTCAAGTGAGAACCATTGCTGTAGGTAAGAAAGGATAGAGTATCCCTACTTCTGCAGATAAAAAAAATGGAGGCTTAAAGGATAGCTCACCCATATAGCTAGTGACATTGAGCCAATGAGGAAGGAAACTGGAATAAGAATGAAGCCTGGGGCCTCGGGTAAGTGGGCAGACTCACCGGGCTTTCTGGGGGCTGGAGCTGAAGGAGCTCAGGGGCCATCCAGCCTTCGGTGCCCGGGATCCCTGAGTGGAGGCTGAAGCTGCAGCGGCCGACAGGCAGCTTCTTGCAGAGGCCAAAGTCTGAGAGGACCACCCTGCCTTGGCCTTGACTGTCTGGCCCAGTGATGAGAATATTGCCTGGCTTCAGGTCACGGTGCACTATAGGAGGGGAGCAGAGGAAGCTGACTGCTGATACAGGAGGGCAGAGGCTGAGGGTGGGATGGGAGGCAGGGGACGTTAGGTACCTATGTGTAAGGAGTGCAGGTGGGCCAGGCCTGACATTAGCTGCTGTAGCACCATCCTGGGTTCCAAACCCCAATGGTCCGGGTCCGGGTTCTCCACATACTGAGCAGCAGTGAGGGGCAAAGAGTCATTCTGCAGCCCAGGGCATACCCACCCTCCCTGAACTCCCAACTCACCTCCTGCAAGGAGGCCTGGCAGAGCTCCAGGGCAATGTAGTGGAACTGGGGGCTCCGCTCAGTACAGAAGTAGCGGAGTACATTGGGGTGCCGGTCAGACTCCTGCAGCAGCTGCACTTCCCGCTGAACCAGGCCAAAGCACTCCCTGAGGAGCCGCTTGACAGCTACTGCCCGCCCCTCAAATTGTCCCCTGAGAGGTGACCAAGAGGCAGGGGTTCAGAGAGCACATAAAGGAGAAGGTGGGACAGAGAGCACAGGGATCAACCTGTCCACACCCATGGAGTCTGGGAGAACGGCTCTCCAAGGGGTAGTGTTCAGAAAAGGCTGCAAGTGCTCTGTCTCTACTCACCGGAAAACAAAAGTTCCACCTGCTCCACGTCCCAGCACATCCTTGGTGTTGAAGGAAATCTTCCCCACTATGGTGAGCTGCTCGACTAGGAGAGAGGAGGGTGCATCTCAGGGAGCCTGTGCTGTTGCCCATAGTCGCCCTCCTCTGCCACCTCTCCATTCACACCTGACCCAGTCCAGATCCAACAGATTCTCACACTTCCATGCTCAGCCTGAAGCAGTGATAGCAGGAAGGAGCCAAGCGCTGGTCCCCCTGGTGCTGCCACTGGCTTTTCCTGAGTTCTTAGATAAGTGATTTAAACACTGTCCTTTTGCTTTCTCATCTATAAAGTAAGGCTAAAGCTATTGTTAACAGTCTTACACCACATTACATGAACATTAAATATATGGAGCCAGGTGTAGATCTGCATGCCTGTCATTCAGCTATTTGGGAAGCTGAGGCAGGAGGACCACAATTTCAAGGCTATCTGCGAACTTAAGGAGACCCGGCCTCAAAAAATAAAAAAGTCTTGACCCTGGTTTTAAGTTTGAAGGCCCTGGTTTCAGTCCCTAGTACTGTCCCTTCCCCTCAAAGAACGTATGGGAAGAGGAGGTGAGCAATGTTTGCAAAATCATCTTTTTGGTATCTTTTGTCCTATCTTCCCTCTCTGTTTCCTGTCATTACCCTGCTACCAGTTCTAAATGAATCCTTTTAACTGATGTAGAACCATGTCAAATAGGAAGGTGTATTTCAGCAACAGAAAGGATAAGAGTGAGCACAGTCACAGGCCAGACAGGGAAGCAGTGGGCACTGGGATGCTACATTGTTGCTGAATTGATATCAAGGTGGCAGGGAGTCCCTGGAGGCTGTGACTTCCTGCTAAGGTGGGCTGGGTTGGATCAGGTGGACAAACATCTTTTTGGGGCACTTGTTGCTTTTCTCTCTGGGTAGTCTGAGAAACTACCAGTGACCTGGGTGGTTTGTGAGAGACTTCTCCCGCAGATGTAGGCATGCGTCCTTCTGGGCTCCAGGGGAACCACACACAACTACATGTATATGGTACCTCTAGAGATGTGTAGTGCCGGGACTCAGATTGTTGTATTTAGGAAAAACTGCTAGCTTTGCAGTAGCCTCTAGGAAGGGTGAAAAAGCAAATAAGATCAGCGTTAGAAACACTTGAGAAAAGCACCCATCCATGCCTTAGTGGTGTTCTGGATTATTTGCTTAAACATTCCTAAACTGATAAAAACCGATGTCTCAGGAGTGCATAGATTCAGGGCCTTGTGGGAGGTCCATCAGAAATACTATCTTGTAGCTTAGCAGGGACAGAGGAGTCACTAAAAGCCTATTGGGATAAATCTTGCTTCTCTGACTCCCAGTAAGGGTCACCTTTCCAGCTCTACTTTGTATCACTTACTGGGTTCTGCTGAGTTTCACTTCTATTGCTTGTCTACCTTCCCTGTTCTCCATGCCCTGGTTGTGGGATAAACACTTGCTAAGTATGTGCTGTATTAAAATATTCAGTTGCACCCTCAACATTAGCTAGAGGTCAGCCTAATGGCCATGAAGGCCTTGAATACAGAAATAATGAGCTAGGAGAAACAGTCTGCACACGCTGATATTTGTCAGCCTTCAGCATCATTATAATGGAGAGGTAGCAAATGCAAGAGTTAAGTTATAAAGCACTCAAGAGTTGTCATGAAGGGGGGAATGCTGTACAGTCAGAATTACTTTGGAAATCCTGAGCACACCACACATTTTGCTGCTGCTCTTGGAGGCTGGGAAATGCTTAGAGTCATTCACATTCTTTAACAGGTGTTTGCCAGTATTCAAACAGGCAGCAGCTTCCTGCAGCCCATTAAGGGCACACACAGTAGCCAGCTTACCTGCATTTCATGCTTCGAGCTGCCTCCTAGCAGCTTCGTGAACCTGGCTAAAAGGGGAGGTATCATTAAGTCTTTCTGTCTTCAGTGTTTTCTTCCATGAAAGAGACATTATCAAAGAACCCACCTTATAGGAATGTTGTGACTATCATATGAATTCATACATGCTCAGTGTTTAGACCATTGTCTGGTATACAATAAAGCACTATTTAAATGCTCATTCTGGTTCAGGATTGATTGTGCCCACTTGCCATTAAATATTCAATGCAGTTGGCAGTCCTGAGAGATGTCCAACCAAGCACAGGTAGATGACTTTGTGTAAATTAAATGAGAGTAGAATATGGCTCACTGTAGATTTCTTGAGCCATAGGAACATCTCTGAGGAATGTCACTTTCCCCTACCAACATAGGAAGACCAAGGTTTCTAAGATTGGAGTTCCTAAACAACACAAATGTCGAAGGAATATAACAGGCTGCCACAGGTATTGATGTGAACTGGTTCTTGAGTTTTTTTTGTTTTTTTGTTTTTTTTGCCAGTAGGCATATTCTGACTCTTCCAGGGCTAAGTCAAGATTCTGATGCCTTGGACTCCAAATGGTAAGATGGACAAATCCAGGCTTCACTGTAACTATGCCTGTTCCTTGCATCTGCTTATCATATATTCCTTCCAGATTTAGTTATGAGAAGTGCTGTTTTATTTATTTATTTATCTTTTTTTTTTTTTTTTTTTTTTATCGGTACCAGGGATCGAAGTCACGACTGCCTGCTTGCAAGGCAGGCGCTTATGCCGCCTTGCATAATCCCCAGCCCTAGTTATTTATCTTTTTGAGACAGGGTCTCACCATGCAGTTCAGGCTGACCTTGAGGTCACTTTGTAGCCCAGGATGGTCTCGAGCTTCCAACAGTCCTCCTGCCTTGGCCACCCTGGTGCTGGGATTACAAGCGTGCACCACCATGCCTGGCTGAAAAGTGCTTTTTTAGACTCTCCAAGCTTGAAGTCGCTGATTCAATAGATACACACCGAGCCTGCATTGTGCCAAGGGTCCGTAGGAGGAAAAAGACAGGCACAACTACTGCAGGAAACTAGAGAACAGCCACTCCCTGTTTTGCCATAGTCCCTACCATTCCCAATTGCTCTTCCACATTTCCATTTCGTTTGTTTCATCCACTCAGCCCACCCTACAGCAACCCTGCATTCACTTCCAGAATATATATCTTGCTACCTGTCATCCCTGAATTTTCATTTGTGCCCCACTCTTTCCTGCACACGTGGAGAATTCCTTTGTGTTGTTCGTGGCCTCTCAGCTTACATATCACTTCCTGTTTTCCCCAGTCTGCTTCCGTACGCTGTTTCCACAGCTCCCCACACAACCCCACCATCATGGTCTCTATCACACTGTCTGCCCATAGTTGTCTGTCTGTTCTCTATAGCTTTTGCCTAGAGTTCATGAAAATGCCAAAGGAAAGATTTACTGACATTTCAAACAAAGTGAAAGAAATATGTAAGTTTTCTTTAAATAATAATATAATATTGTACAGAGTCCTCCTCCCCACTGAATTTAATAAAAAGATACCAGGCTCTATTTGGGTCAATCTGCTTTATTTTCTTATTTTCTTCTGTTCTAAAAAATTGATGTGATCTTTTCCCTACAGAGGATAAAGAATTTTTGGTATTTGGTTGAGCTAGATCTGAAATTCAAGGTCCTTTTGTTTTTTTCTTCCTAATCTCCAGAAGGTGTGTGTGTGTGGTGGGATGGAATCTAGGGCCTTTATGTGCATCCCTAGCCCTTTTAAAATTTTTTTTTCAATTGTAAAATCTTTAAATTTATTTTGGCTTTCTTTCATTTTACTCTTAGCAACTAAACAGCAATTTGCTGATTCAGAGGCACTCTTGCCACTCCTTAACTCCAAACTCTTCCACAGTTGAAATTCTACCCACTGAAGTTACTACCACATCCAGCTCAGTTATTTACAAAATTTTTTATTTTTTAAATTTTTATTTATAAAATTTTTTATTTTGAACTAGGGTCTCACTAAGTCACTAAGTTTCCCAGGCTGGGCTTAAACTTGCAATCTTCCTGCCTGTCTCCCAGAGTGCTGAGATTACAGGTGTGCACCACCACACCTGGCTTCCAGAGAATTATTACTACTGATGATTTCCTTCTGGGGAAGGAATGTCCTGCACATCAATGATAAGGGTCTAGTGAACTTGGATGGTAGGGGCAAACAAAGGAACACGGCAAGGAGGAATTAGATCACTCTTTGACAAAAGTCACCCCGGGAAAAGATAGAGCCTGAGTTTTGTGTGGAAAAGCTAGCAGAGTTCACTCCAGAGGCAAAAGGTCCAGAGAAGTAAGAATTTGGGGTGTTCTGGGAATGTTACTTCGACCCATTGTGAGTTAGTAAAATGACAAGAGCTACAATACCTTGGGGCTTAGGCAGCTCTGCTGTACACCTTCCCCCTCCTTAACCTGACCTTGGATTAGGGGAAATGGTTCAATGGTACAGTGTGTGTTTACTTGTGCAAAGCCCTGGGTTCAAGCCCATTAGAAAAAAAAAAAAAAAAAAAAAAGCAAAGGAAAACAAAGCAAAGCAAAAAATACCCCAAGACAGGAGAGACATTTTCATCTTAGCAGAGACACGGGTGACCACTGGGAGCAGGGCTGCAGCATCAAGCCAAGCATTGGTGGGCGCCAGCTCAGGTCCCAACAGTGGGGCCGTGGTGTGAGGAAGTGGGTTGAGTAGCAGCCAGGAGGTGCCAGCTCCTATCCACAAAGAAGCCAACAGCATCAGCCTCTTTTCTCCCAGAAAGAGTCAAAGGAGCGAAAGCCCAGACTAGCTAGCCAAGGCTTGTGCAAAAGCTCTCAGGAGCATTCTCCAGATTGCAGAGGACACTCCAGATTGCAGAGGATTAAGTTGAGAAAAGATGAGAGAAATTTTAAAATTATACCTAGGAAATTTACTCTTATTGCAACCAAATATGATATTTTTTGACATAAGTAGCAAAAACATTGCCTAGGTATGATTTGATAATGGTGATGGTAAGCACTCACGCTGAGGTGACAGAGGAGATGGGTATTATTATTCCCATTTACAGATGAGAAAACTGAAGCTCAGAAGTTAAGTAAATTGTCAGAGTCAAAAAAAAAAAAAAAAAAAAAAAGAAAAAACCACAGTGGAGTTCGATCTGCACTCAATTCTTCCTACATTCAGAGTCCAGTGTTGAAAATAACAATTGAAAATAACAATAATGATAGAAGACACTTCTAAAGTGCTGAAATAGGCAGGCATAGTTACATAGACCTGTAATCTCAGCACTCAGGAGGTTGAGACAAGAAAATCGCTGTGAGTTTGAGGTCAGCCTAGGCTACAAAGTGAGATCAAGGCCAGCCAACCACATAGTGAGACTTTGTTTCGAAAAAGAAAATAGAATGCTTAACTTTTCAACACCATTGTAACACCCTCTGATCTCATTCAGGCTTAGCCATCCATAATAGTGGCTCCTAATAGGGGCTTACTAGAATTAAATTAAATCTGCCCCTCCTTTTCCTTAGTCCCTGATTTGACCTTGTTTTGTTAACTCACCTTCAGGATCACAGAATGGTAAGGCTTGTTCTGAGGGACTTTGCCTCTTCTGGCCCTGTGAGCTGGCCCCAGAGGCCTGGGCCCGAGTATCCTGTGAGACATTAGGAGGGCCTGCAGGTGCCTGGGAAATCTGTTGCTGCTTCTCCACCAACTGCTGTTGCTGAAAAGGGAGGCTTAAGAGACCTTAGCGTGGGCAAGCTGTGCCTGAGATGGCCCGGCACAGTACAGGCTTACCAGGTACAGGAATAGGGAGGGCTTCAGGGGGATTCTGGGAGGAAGGTAAGGGACAGCTGGAGTACAGTGGCGAGAGTGCTGCTGAGCAGTACTGAAGAGGAGGAGCAGAGTTCTCTGTAGAGAAACTCTAAGAAGGACCTGAGGTCAAGGTGATGGGCTTACCTGCCTCGAGAAGAAAAGAATCCAGCCCCCCAGCAGAGTGGCAGTGAGGACCGCTACCAGCAGGTCTTGGTATCCCAGCCCTAGAGAAGATACTGGAATTTTCTCTTCAGGATGCAGCTCTGAGTCCCACGGTTCCTCCTGGTTCAGGTTCAGAACCTGAGGACAAAGAGGCTATCGCTCTTGGTGCTCCCTCCCATTGCAGAACCCCTAAGTCTCTATCATCTGTAGGCTGCAAGTGGTCTGCATGAGGTGGGAGATGTGGCACTCTCCGTGGTGCTGAAACAATATGGTACCTTGAAAGTGGTTTGCCACACCTAGCAGGTGATCAACAACTCCTTGAGTATCATTTTAGAAATACAATTATTGTACCTACAGCAGTGCGGTAGCATTTGCTGGTAATCCCATCACTCTGGGAGGCTGAGGCAAGAGGATCGCAAGTTCAAGCCCTGCCTGGGTAGGTGATTTAGCAAGACCCCATCTCAAAAATTAAAACAAGATAAAAAAGGGTTAGGAACATAGTTCAGAGTAAGGACTCTGAAACAAAGCAAAAACAGAAACAAGAACAAAAACAAAAAAGGAGCTTGAAATATAGTTCAGAAGAAGGGCCCCAATATCACAAAATAAATATAAAAAAAAGGCTGAGGACATAGCTCATTGCGAAGGTCCTGGGCTCAATCCTCAGTACTGCAACATAAATAGACATTCATGGGGCATTACTAAAAATATAGATATCCACTCCAGTGATTAGGAATTTTGTGGGTCTCAGGTAATTCTCATGTACAACTAGATTTGAGAATTATTGCTTCAATTCCGCTTTTCCTTCTAAGCTTGCACTACTTACTAGAAAGAACATGATTTTATCATTTTTCTGTTTTCAATTTCTCACTCGATGTACACGTATTTGCCATGTTTACACTGAAGAACAATAAAGAAAAAACAATAAACCATGCTTCATAATATCTTTTTAACATTTCTGGCAGTAACAACAAAATATTTGTTTTCTGGGAAACTACGTAAGGTCAACTGACCCTCTCGCTTCTAGGAGCTTGAGGAAAAGATCTAAGGGCTGCCCACATACCCGGTGCCCTCCCAGGCCCTCTACCCTTTTATACTGACCCCCAAGAAGGGAGCCAAAGCATGAGTGCTCTCTGAAGGTCTTGTTTCAGGAGTGCCACTCCCTGGGGTGGGATGGACCCTCAGCATGGTGGTGTGCAGGACTGGGGGTGGCTCATGGTGTCCTAAGAGACAGGGATAGAAAAGACTCAGACAGATAATGACCTCAACTTGCCACTACAACACTGGGCTCATAGGTCCTTTATCTTTCTCTATTCCAAATTTGAGCCAGGAGACCTCACCAATGAGCAGCCACTGGCTGGGCAGGGCCACACTGCCTGAGGGGTATCTGACTGCGGTGCTGGGTGATCCCTCTCGCTCCCCTGAGACTTGCAGTGTCACCTCATCAGTGGTGGGGCCATCCTTGGGGGCCAGGGTGAGTCCACGAGGCTACGACAAGATGAAGAGCCACAGGTGAAGGAGGCTCCTCTCCTTTTCCATCCCTCTTCCCAGTCCACTCACAGATCATTTCTCACCACTAAGGCTACACCTGTGTGGACCAAAGCTTTGGAGACATAGAAGCCAGCCTCATCTTTCCCCACATACAGCGTCATCCTAATGAGGAAAAGAAAAAAAAAATGAGAGGGATGAGCGAGGGATGGGTAGTTTCCAGTTACCTCTGTACCCATGTCCTTGTACAGTTTCATTTCCTATTGACTCTGGGCTTGGCTATGTGACTTGCTTTAACCATATCAGTAGCAAATATAATATAAGCAGAATCTTAAAATGTGGTTGGGCCTGGGGGCTTGCCCACTATGTTGCTCTTTGTTGCACTATGTTGTTACCATGTGAGGAAACCCAGGCTCTAATAAGGGATGAGAGATCATGTTGAATAGAGTTGAACTATTCTTTTTGACCTGCATAGACCAAATAGTCTTCCAGCTACAAGACAAGTGAGACTGTCCTAGATCATTGACTGTACTGAATCATCAGCTGACTTGAGAGATCAGAAAAATCACCCACTAGCCAACAGAATCTTAAAAATAGAAAACATTTGCTGTTTTTAAATTCTAAGTTTTGGGGCTAATTGTTATGGTGCAAAAAATAACTGCTACAAATTCTCTAGTCATAATTTCTATGGCTAGCCCAGACTTCTTTTAATATGTCAGATTTCTAAATCTGAACTCCTCACTTATTTTCCATCTTATTCTGTTTTGTTCTTCTCTCTTAGTGCTCCCTACTTAGTGCTCCCTTATTTGTACCAGGAATTGAACTCATGACTTGTGCTTGCTAGGCAGGTGCTGTGCTGCTGAGCTATATTTCTGGCCCCCTACTTCTAAAAATGGCTGTGCTCATGTGCTTCTAGAAACTTAAGTATGATCTTTGACTCCTTGCTCATAACAACCGAACTCCCTAATCACCAAATTCTGATTAATTTCTCCTCTTGATATCTTTCTTTTACATCTACTTACTTCTATCTCTACTTTTTGTACTCTAGTTCAAAGTGCCACTTTTGCCTGAGCCAATGCAATATTCTATAGCTGAATATTTCTGCAGGTGCTTCTCTTTCATCACTCTAAGATATTCACATCGCAAACAGAATGAACTTTATGAAATGAAACTATGATCAAATTACTCTTTGTTTAAAATTTTTCAGCTGGGCGTGGTGCACACCTGTAATCCCAGCACTTGAAAGGCTGAGGCAAGAGAATCAATGTGAGCTTGAGGCCAGCTTGGGCTATATAAGTGAGTTCAAGGCTAGTCTGCACTACATAGTAAACCCTGTCTCAAAAAAAAAAAAAATGAAAACAATTTTTTCCCAGTGAATTCTCCTTACATTTGTGAGAAAATGCCCCAAAGTTTCAAGTAATCTTACAAGATCTCTGCTTAACTTACAGCTTCAGATATTACTCTAGTATCAAATCTATGCTTCAGCTTTATTAATTTCTGTTCCTAGATTGTATGCTTTCTCCTTCATGTTTCTTATTTATCTTTTAGGCCTTAATTTACATGCCCCCTCAGGAAGCTTTCCATGGCTTCTTCCTGGTGCCAGTATTAGCTGGGTATCTTTCCTACGTGTGTATCACCTTCTGAGCTTCCTTTATCTCATTTTTTATACACCATGTCATAATTGCATGCACACTACATATGTGTCTTGCCCCTAAACACTGAAACTCTTGCAGACAGAAACAATAGGCCCACTACTCTCAAGCCCTAGCAATTGATACGCATATAGCATATGCTCAGTTGATAGTTGTGGGACAAACTGAATGAGTGGACATTCTCTGATTCTCCCCCATCTGTTTCCTGGTACTGAAAAATGGAAATAGTAGAGTATTAGGTGACTCAAGGGAAACTGGCACTGAAAGTACTGAAAATCAGAACAGGTTGAAACCTGCAGGGTCCTTCCTAGGCCAGATGATGCTCTACCCAATGCTGAATGGTGGGACTATTTAGGGGATTCCAGGGACAGTTTGAAGGTACAATATTTTGAGCCTCTGGTTCAATATCATACCTACCACTAGGCATTGACTACACCACTTTCGGAATTCTGTAAGGGACACTTACAGAAGCTGAGTGTCTGAAGCAGAGAAGGAAGTGGCTGTGTCCTGGGTGCCTAAGGCAGACAGCCGAATGTGGCCCCAGCGGAGAGCGAGGAAATGCAAGGTATCCCGAGCCAGCGTGAGATGGGGCAGCTGGCGCAGGCCGTCCTGGTGCCAGGTATAGACACCCGTCACGGGCACACCCAGGTCCTGAGTCCACAGAACCGTCCCGCTTCCTGGGTCCACAGTTAGCAGCAGGCCCATCCCACAGGATGCCAAGTAGCTCACATCTGCCAGGAGAGACAGCTGGGGAGACGTCAGAAAATTCTCACGGGAGGCATCTGGGAGCATGTGTGTGGAATGTCATTTATGTGTGTGGAAGTCAAGTGAGGCCACAGAAAAACCAGTCTGAGTTTAAGAAATCACTTGAAATATGAGGGGATCAGTCAGGGACATCCACAGATGACTCAGTTGTGTGTGCCAGTCTGGGCCACTTGAGAGAGATCTAAGGATACAGGGTAGTCATCTATGGCCATGGGAAGACTGATGTCCACCCAGGGTGGGAGTCACTTGAGTGAGAAAGGGTCAGTTGGGCACTTGAGTAACACTTGTAAAGTATCAGGGTTACCTCAATTTGGTCTCATGTAGAATGACGAGTCAGGATTTGAGGAGTTTGCTGCTAGGGGCACCTGTAAGGTACCCAGGCAGCAGGGCAGGAGGAGCAAGATGCCAAAGGAATGGTTCAGGGTTGAGTTTGGGAAGAGGTCACTAAGGGTCATCTGCGAGGGTCACTTAACATGTAGGGTTCAGTTAGGGTGCATGTGGGTTGCTTGGGGCCACAGAATGTGGGGAGTTACATAACACTCCCTTGTTGGGGTCATCTGAATCATGGAGGAGTAGTGAGACCTTGCCCAAGGTACCTGAAAGTAAGTCTGGGTTTGGGGGAGTCACTTTGGGTCAGTTGTCAGGAGTGTGTCATTCAGCATGTAGGGGTTAGATGGGTCAGAAGGTGAGTGGGGAGTTGGATATGGGTGCTACTCAGGGACCCTTGCATTTATTTGGTATCTTGCTGTCAGGTGGGGACAGGGAAAGGTGGCACTCACATTTCCCAGGTGAACCACCCACAGGGAGCGCTGAGTAGCGGCGGTATGTGATGTTCCAGCGCAGGGCTGGGGTCCTTGGGTCATGCATGGTGACCGTGTACTCTGGGAATCCCAAAAGCAAGGTTAACAGAATACTCATGTGATGCTTTCCTCACTCCAACCAGGGGCTGTTCATTTTATGGGGTGGCAGAGACCTGTTTTGTTTATTGCTGTACCCTCAGCTCTTCTCTTAGTGCTCAGTAAAATGTTTATTGGTGCCTGACAGATTGGTCTGATTCAATTTGGATAGCAACTACCAGGTCTGGACAAATAAAAAGGGGTGCATCCCAGCTGGAAGAGCAGCTAGGGTTGGACTCACGTGTTCGGCCAATGTAGAGGCGGGCAGCAGAGAGACCCTCTGTGGTCAGTGTCATCTGAGTCTCCCCTGTCTCGGGATCTACCACAAACCAGGCATCCTGCTTTCGGCCTGTGGAAATGGAGTTGGTCATCTTCCACGATGGTTTAGGAGAAGGTGAATACCCTGGCGCTCCTGTCCCGAGATGATCTATCATGGCCTATGTCCTCATCCTGGGCTATGCTTGACTGCACAGGCTGGGGAGATGCTTACCTGTGTAGAAGACTCCATCAGAGCTTCGACAGGGGGAGGTGTGAACCAGCTCTGGGATGGTAAATGGCAGTTTCTAAGAGAAAAGGTCCAGAAAGGAGTAAGAATAGAAATATACACACAGCACTCACTGGGCAAAGGCTGACCTACAGCAACCTTTGTATTAGGCACTATTATTACCATTTCTGCTTTCTTGCTGAGGAAACTGGAGTGCAGGGAGACTGAGTAAACTGGCTTATTTCACATAGCCAGCAAGAGCCAAGTTTATTTTTTTTGAGACAGGGTCTCACTATATAATGCAGGTGGGCTTTGAACTCACCCAGATGGCCCAGGCTGGCCTTGGATTCATGGTGACCCTTTTGCCTCAGCCTCCCAAGTGCTAGGATTACAGGTGTGATCCACCACGTCTGGCTCCAAGAGCCAAATTTTAAAACCATGTGGATAGGCTTAAGAACCAGCATACGTAAGCTCTGAGCTATACAACCTCTCTGGGAACTTCAGAAAATTCCATACTTAGTGTTAGGGTCTCAATTCATTTGACCCTTGCCTGTCATCCTCACAAATACACACAGAGATTTCAAAATTGTCAATGTCCACAAAAGCCCCAGAGAGATTGAGGAGCTGTTCTAGAATGAAGGGAACCCTGATCCAGTGCTGGCTATGAATGGAGATCCATTCTCTGGGCTTCTCTGCCCTAGAGTTAGACTGATTGTTTCCCTGGAGTCAGATTTGGCTGGATTATGTGAACAGGTGCCCTGCCCTCTAACTTCCTATTGGATTTAGGGGGCACAGGGTAAGATCAGAGGAGGTAAACCCTATTGTTGCCCAAATACCAACCAACTTTCAGAATCACAGTTGTCCCCGTGATCAATAGCTGACTATAGACACACAAATAATCAGTCAAGATCTGCAGAAGAGTTGCTTTGCTGAGTCTAGCCTGAACTGTCATTCCACCAAATTTTGAGTTGTTGTCTTTTAAATCTTCTGGGGCAATTTGTTATTTAGCAAAAGCTAACTGATACATACATATCCCTTTAAAATGCCCAGAGTTCTTGAGAAGTCTTTTGATACCCCAAGTACTATGGTCTTCTCTGCAGACACAGCCAACTCCCTTGCTTTCCCATAATGCTCAGAGCTCTGACTCGTGTCCTCTTCAAGACATTCAGATTCTGACTATATTGCCTTCTACCCGTTGGCTTCTTGTAGATGGAAGCCTGGTTTTCATTCATGCCCAGACCCTATAGGAAACACACCATTAACCCCTGCTGTTTCTGGGTCCCCAAGATATACAGACTGCCATCAGCTGGGTCTGAGAGAAAGGCTGTCCTGTGGAACAGAGAGGAAAACAGAAAAGGTTCAGTGCATGCTACTGACTACTGGCCATTCCTTTCCCTCCAACTTCTCACTTACCAGGAGCCAATCCTCGTAGGAGAGCTTTGGAGCTTCCAAGATGCTCCCCAAAGTCACAGCCAGGCACAGTTCTCCCTTACTTTTGCGATGCCCCCTTCCCTAGACCTCCAGATAAGTATGGCCCCCATCTCCTAGCTTCCCCTGCCTGGAAGACCCCAGGTTTACTTACTCTGTGACATACATTGGTCCTTGGATGGTGGGATCTGCAAGGACATGGTCATGGGGCATAAGTCTCCTCTAGGCTCTCATTGAAAAGCAAAGCGCATAAGTCACTGAATTCTTACTGCCTGCTAGACACTAAGCCAGTGTTTAACCAGCACACCAAGCCAATGTTTAACGAGCATACAACATCATCCTCCCAAGGATTCTGTCAGGTAGGGTCATTACCCTTCACCCCATCTTATAGATGAAGACACTGAGGTACAGAGAGATGAAGAAGAGAATTTCCTAAGTCCACACAGCTAGCAAGTGTTGAAGTTGCCTCTGGATACTGACTTGTTAGAGTCTACTACCCATGTTCTTATTTCTATGTCAAAGTTATCCTCCCTCAAAGTTAGGAGCCCAAGTGGCAAGAATTTGTTTACCATCCTTCAGGGTCCACTTCAAGTCCCCTGTCTGCTTGCTCAGTGCATGGAGACTTCCATCCAGGGTGGACACCAGCAGGAGGCTCTCAGGCTTGAAGGTTTGGACCTGTGCTGGAAAAGAGTCAGCTTCTCTGAGGGGCCTGGGCCACACCTATCTCCCACCGAGGGGTGGCTATGACTCCTCTTCTCCAGGAGGTGGACAGAGAAGGGAAATATGGATGGTTGGGAAGCAGCTGGCTCCCTCCATCATCCTCTGATCTTATTGGGGGGGGTAATGAGAGTTGGGGGCTCTAGGGTAGAAAACTCCCACTGTGTCTAATTCCCACTTCCTTCCCTCATGTCTCAACTTTTTTCTCCCAAAGGTTTTTACAAAAGGACTTCACTGACTGCCCTATGATATTGGAACTAGGTGAGGAACTATTGTACAGGTGAGGAAGACTAAGGCTCACGAAGATTAGATAATTGGCCTAAGGCTACTCTGATCATAAATGATACAACTGGGACTTGAACTACCATCTCTCTGGCTTCAGCTCTGTCTTTCCCCTTTGCCGCATGTCTACTTCTTTGGAGATGATCTTTTCTGCCTCCTCAAACTGGCCCAGCTACTTTTGATGCCAGGCTCAAGCAGGTCCCCTGAACCACAGCTGTGGGTGGCCCAAGGAGATAAGTCTGGAGCTACGCTTACATGTGGCCCCTGGGCTAACTCACCTGTTCTAGTCCCTCCTTAAGCAAACAGGGTGAGGCTAAGCTCACAGCAGGAACCCTAACATCCGGGTAGCCTGGCCACACCCCAAGGACCACATCCTGCTTAAGGACCCTCAGGTTTGGGGCCAAGCCAATGGTGTTTGGTGGAGAGTGAGGAAATCGTCTTCCAGCCTCTTTTTTGAATTTCACTTGTGCCATCTGTAAACAGGTAGGAGGAAGGATGGTCTAGAGATGAGGCCACAGACCCAGCTGCCTATAACTGGATTTTGTTTGCCCAATAATACAGTGTTTAAAAATTTGTTTATAATTAGCTTCTAGTTTTCTAAAAAAAAAAAAATTGGAAGGTTTCACTTTTTAAAAATCCAGATTTTCAAATTGTCCTCGTTTCTAATTTTTCTCAAAACGCCAGATCTGGTTATACTGGGCTTCCATTATTCCTAGGAGGACCCAGAGCTGGGAAGGATGTTGGAGGTGCCTGACATCCGCACTGTCTTTTGCTCTGCGGGGCCTCAGGCTAGAGAACTGGATCTTAGACTAGGCCACCTCTGTCTTCAGGCCACATTTCTGTAAGAGTGGACTGTCTGGAGCCCAGCAGGGTTGTACTAGATCCCAACACCAGAAGGTCATTTGTCCCTGGGGTCCGGTCATGGGAAACAGGATCGCGTTGTGAAGCGTTTAAAATTGTAAAACTAGATGTGGAGGCTCATTTCTCAACCAGATCTTTAAGCCGAGCTCGAGGTCGGTTTTAAAGGAAGCTGGGATCCCCTGAAGCGTTAAGAGGCCTGATTTTACTGCCACACCGTCCCCTCCTCTCCTCCAGACAAAAGATTGCTTTGCAGCCCCTGGTCTCCCTGCGCCTGACCATCCCGGCGCGCTTCCCTACCCAGGTGGTAGTAGGGGCAAGTGACAACTCCAGTCTCAGGAGGTTTTCACACCCGCCAGGAGGGACCAGCAGGCGCCCTCAACGCCCCGCTGCGCCTTTGCCCGGGTGCGCGCCCCAGCCCGCTGCGCGGGGACCCGGCTCCGGAGGCTCCGAGTCCGCCGCAGCTCTCTCACCTGCGGCCCGAGCGTCCCGAGCAAGGCCGCCACCTGGAGCAGCAGCCCGCGCGGGGGCCACGGCCACGGCCCCCAGCCCGCATCCGCCATCGCGCCTTGGGCAGCCGCACGGTGCACGGGCCCCTCGGTGCCTCGGGGATCGCGCTCCCGGAGGAGACTCCGCCCCGGGCTGGGCCAGGTGGGGGCGCAGAGCTTGGGCGCCACCCCAGTCTCCGCTGCCCCGCCCTTCCTCGCCGTCACCTTCACACCTGCGTCCCTCATGCTGTCTCTTCCTGCCGGTCACCTCGCAAGGCCAGCTCCGAGCTCACGGGGAAGGGGTTTTACTGACCGAGGCCGTTTAGAGGACTCCGAGTGTCAAATACTGTGCCAGCCGGTCCTGGGCTCCTTCCTCTCCGCAGCATCACGCGTAGCGAAGCTCAGGCTCAGAACGGAGGTCGAAATTCAGATCTGCAGCCTCGGAACGAATGCTTTTTATCAGTATGGTAGTGACCTTCGCTGAGCTATTGTGAAACACAAATTAATTGCTGATTTCAGCCATTCACTCAATAAATATTTCTTATAACATTATATGGAGCCTGGTGAAAAACAGAGAACGTCTTCCTAGATAGACTCCTAAGCTTTACCTGTAAGACCGTGTCTAGGCGTTAGCTGTCGGATAGTGCCGCTGCGATGGTAGTGTAGTGACCATTCCTGCTCCAGGCACACTGCCTTTTGCCGATTTGGGTTAGGGAGGGCTGCAGAAAGATGCTTGAAGGCAGGATCCACGTGGGTTTCAAAGTTTGGCTCATTTACTTTTCCTTCATACTTGTATAAAAACCCCTGCCGTTCGAGAGTCATGCAGCCTGGCTCTGCCGAATTCTCACCCTCCTTTCTGTTATCCACCCCACTCAACCTTCCCCTGTAGTCACCCAGGACCTATAAGCTGGCCCCTAACTTTCCTTCATCTTCAACCCAAATCTGGTCACTGTCATTGATGTCTTCCAGTGGCCACATCGCAGCCTCACAGTTTGGTGACCTTGCTTTCTGAGAGCCCTTATTTTTTATGCTGCCCCATGCAAGCCTGTGCCCTAGACCTTTTTGCACACTGAATTGTTTTCTTCCAATATCTGTTTGTCTGACTGCAACTTCTTCCTCTTACAGTTGTTTCATTCCCTCACCTCATCTTCCTTATACCTGTTCCTTGTCCAATGTGATTCTATCAGTGCCTTGGTTTCCCGCCTTTCTGGCCCTTGTCCAACTTGGGCTTCTTTGTTGACTATCTGGACCGCATCTGTGAATTAGGCTGTGGACAGAAAGGAAGCCTTCTACATTGTTGGTAGGAATGCATACTAGTACAAGCACTATAAAAGTCAGTATGGAGAGTCATCAAAAAACTAAAACTAGTTGACCCAGCTAGTCTCCTTCTGAGAATCTTCTTAGACGTAGAGACATCACATTACCCTGATACATGCGTACTTGTTCTTATGGCAGCACAGTTCAACATAGCTAAATCTTGGGAGCAGCCACATGTCCATCAAGAGAGATAAAGAAAATGTGACATTTACACACAATGGAGTACTAATACTCTGCCATAAAGTACTTGAGTCATTTGTAGGAAAGTGAATGCGCCTTGATGGTAAGTGAAATAAATCAGACAGACAAGCTTAAATATCACATAACTGTAAATAAATAACAGTGAAAGGCAGATAAAACTAAGTAGAGAGAGCGCTTTCTCAAATGGGAAGGGGATCAAGAGATGGAGAGGGGGAGAGGAAAGGTAGGGGGAAGGGGTGAAAAAAAGAGAATCAAGATGTGTCATGTGCATGCACCAGCTCCCCACAAGGAAGGTAAATATGTACTGTAAACATGTACTAAAAAACCCCTTAAGAGCACCAAGGAACAAAGAAATATAGAAAGAAAGAAATTAAAATAAAACAAAATCAGTATGTCATACATCCTTTGGTTTCTTTGTTCTTTTCTTCATGCTGAGCCGCTCTTGTACTCCCGCATCTGTGTAGTAGTCTTTCACGCTAACCTAATAACAAAAGCGATTTCTTGCCCTGTTAGAAGCTACCCTGAGTTACTGGGAGTGAATGAGCCCTTCTTTTGTGCTGTGTTTTCCACACACAAAACACTGACTTGGAATGCACATTGTGTTTGTTCAATGTGGTTGGATTCATAGTTTTTTGGTAATTTTTATTTTAAAGAAAATAAAACCAAACAAAATAAAGCCAATCAAAACAAAATAGTGATAGTGATACAGGACTTCAAAAAAAAAAAGATAATAGAAAAAAATAAAAAATAAATAAAAAAAGATAATAGGAAATCAAAAATGGTTACCCTAATGCCTCTTGTCTTTAAAATAGCTGCCCATACCTTCAGACATAGTAAAAATCAAACAAAACAGAACAGAATACAACCAGTAAAAACAAAACAATGAATACAACAAAGGACTTCAAAATGAGACAATAGTATATCCAAACTGACTATCATAATATATCTTGTTATCTTTGAAATAGCTGCCCATGCTATCAGATACAATAAAATCAATAAAACAAAGCAAAACAAAACAGAATAAAACCCAACCAAATAAAACAGTGAAAATGATATAGGAGTTCAAAAACAAGATACTAGAGAATTAACAATGGCTACCATTTCAGAAGTAGATCTCCCATAGATGTTACACTGCATATTGTTATCCTCTTAATAGATGATCAGACTACCGGCGTTAGGCCTGCAAAGTCAGTGAAACACTGAACATTACAAGCATCAAGTTGTATTTTACCTCAATAACTATCATTGCAGTCTGTGTTTCTCCAGGTCAGCAAATTGCTGATGAGGGAAGGGCAGTGGACCTTGGTTTTTCTGGTCTCTCAATCTGTGCACTGGAAGGGGCTGGTGGTATTTCTCCCCACAAGCAGCCCGCACATGGCACCGACTCACAGGCAGGGCTTGGCTTCTTGTTGGCTTCTTGTTCTCCTCCCCTACAGGCACCAACTCCTGGATTCATAGTCTTTTCTTGTCAGTAAACTTTACTTTGTGTAGACTGTAAGTTACAAATGAATAGGAATAAGTTACTTATGTGTGATAATAAAATAATACATATTCTAGAAACTTTGTAAAATTTAGAAAAATATTAATAAGAAAGCAAAATCTGTTTCTGGTTCTTTCTCTTGGAAATAGCATCTGTGTCGACAGTCTACTTTATGCTTTTCCTTTATGGCCATCTGTCTGGTGAGAGCCTATGTCGAAATATTAATATGTTTTCCTGCTTTGGAGCGTCCTCTTTCCCTGCAACCCTTTTCCCATTTAAGTGAGGCTCCTCTGACTTTATTGCCTCAGGGAAATGATGAGAAGCAGAAAGAGAGAAAATGAAAGTTCTTTTGGCTTTTGAATTATCAAAGTACCCAGGATATAAACACAGATTTGAAAAAATAAGTAATGAGAGTAGAAAAGATTCCCTAGCCTTGGAAAGAAAGAAGGATAAGGAGGAACAGGGAGAAAATGCTCTAGGGTCCCGAGGAAGAAAGATTCATGCTTGTAGCCCCTTCACCCAAGGACAGGATAGAGCCCACACAGCTTTGTGGGGTTTAAGTGAGAGAGCATCTCTGTCCAGCTTCTCAGGCTGGCCTGGGAAAAAGGGACTGTAGCAGCACGCTGTCTGGGCAGAGAGGCTTTTTTTTTTTTGTACCTGAGATCAAACTCAACCTTGCACTTGCCACGCAAGTGCTTATGCTACTGAGCTAAATCTCCTGCCCTTAAAGTTTATGTTTTAGAAACAATCTCCAAATTCCTGAGTTTGATGATATTTGGAGGTGAGGACTTTGGGAGATAATTAGAATGAGGTTAAGTCATGAGGGACTCCTATGGAGGGATTTGGGGTTTTATAAAAGGGGAAGAGCAACCTGAACTGATTTTGTTTCTCTGTCTGTCTGTGTGTCTCTGTTTGAAGTTTCCTGCCATGCAATGACACAAGAAGATACTGGCACCATGCTCTTGGACTTCCTGGTCTCCAGAAGCATGAGACAAACATGCTTTTGACTTCTGTTATGGAAACATAAAATAGACCAGACAGAAATAGACACAGACAGATAGATAGATGGATGAAAAAGTGCACGTGCACAAGGAGTGGAGAGGAAGGAACGGAGGACTTCAGAAAGAAGTGCAGGGGAGAGGAGGACAAGAGACAGGCCATAAGGAGACTGTGGGTGTCTCAGCAGCCCTCTTATCACTCGGTCCTACGTAATCTCTAGAATTTAAACTCATCCTGGAAAAAGGATAGAAAAACCAGATAGGACTGAATTTCTTCCATCTGGCACAAAGAGAGTATAAAATAAAAGTTGTATTTTATAACTCTTCATGACATTTTATGAAGTTTAGACATTTATTTATTTATCATTTTTTTATTTTAAAGAGAATAAAACCAAGCAAAATAAAACAAAACAAAGCCAATCAAACAAAAACAGTATAAGTGATACAGGATTTCAAAACCTTGCAAAACCAACAATAGTTACCATAATGCCTCTTGTCTTCGAAATAGCCGCCCATACATTCAGACATAAGAAAATCAAATAAAACAGAGCAGAACAGAACCAATAAAAACAAAACAATGAATGCAACAGAGGACTTTAAAACAAGATTATAGTAAATAAAAAATACCATTACATAGCTTGTTATCTTTGAAACAGCTGTCCTTTGCATCAGATATAATAAAATCAAACAAGACAAAATAGAATAAAACCAAACCAATCCAAACCAAACAATGGGAATGATTCAGGACTTTAAAACAAGATAATAGGGAATTAATTACTACCTTCAGAAGGAGATTCTCCATGGATGCATATTGTTACCCTCTAAATAGATGATCAGATTGTCAGCTTTCGGCCTTTAAGTCAATGAAACGCTAAACTCTATAAGCACTAAGCTGTGTTTTGCTTCAATAGCTATCATCTTAGCTTATGTTTTTCTGGATTAGCTCGTGGCTCACAGGGTGTGGGGCGGGCGGGTGGGACAGACTTTGGCTCTTCTTGTCTCTAAGCCAATGGGCCCGGAAGGGCTGGCATCTTCTGGTTGTTCTCTCTGTGGCCTGCGTGTGGCACTGACTCACAGGTTGGCTTCTTGTTTTCCTCTGTGGTCAGCAAAAATGGCTGAAGTTTGGACATTTTATAAAGTTATGAAGAGGCTGGGGGACTCAGTGACAGAGCACTTGCTTAGCTTGAAAAAAATGCATTAGCACTGAACACATGCAGACTTTTTTTGAAAGAAGGTTTTGCTCTGTAGTGCAGGCTGGTCTTGAACTCACTCTGTAGTCCAGGGTGGCCTCAAACTCACAGTGATCCTCGTGCCTCACCTCTTGAGTATTAGAATTATAGATGTGAGCTACCACACATTACTCAAACTTCGTTTTCTTTTCTTGTCATTCACTAAACAATAGGGCAATTAATTACATAGCATTTATACTGTATTATGTGTTAAAAGTAACCTAGAGGTGATTCAAAGTACATAGGAGGATATACATAGGTTATAT